CCGTTGCTAATTCATGATTTTCTAGTAGTGAGAGTCGATAATGAGGAAGAGAGGAATAGAAAGTGAGAGAGAGAGAGAGAGAGAGAGAGAGAGAGAGAGAGACGGTGAGGGAGAGAGACGAGTTGGGGAGAAAAGAAGAAACGTTGATGCCAAAGGAGTATTGTGAATTGACGATATACACGTCAATTCCATTCCTATCTCAACTATAAATTCTGAAAGTTCTTAATTACCAAATAGATGCCATAACTTTAGATATTTACAATTTCTACACTTCCCATCAAATTCAAAATATATTATAATCCCATATCGACACATATCAACTAAATAAATTCAATTATCCCTAGACTTAAACAACTTACATATTTATGGGGTGTTACAAAATATAAGATATTAAATGTATAATAAAAAATGATAAATGCAGTTTGTATAATAAAGGATGTGAAGCAAATGTTTAGTTTCACTTGTCATTTAGTTATAATTAGTTTTGTCACCAGGGACCTATATCTTAAGCTTTTTTTTCTAAATCATACATCTGCTGAAATATGTTAGATTATATTATAAATTTACACTCAAATTATGTTTTTTAGTGTACTAGTTTTATTATATAGTTATGCCTAAATAAAATATCTCCGTTTCTCCTAAAAAAAGGAGACTTACTATATTTTTCTAGGAATATTTAGGATTCAAATTACGTAATTCCGGTTATTTCTATTCTACACCCGGTGAAGATTACACCGGTTGATTTTTTATCGTTGATCTACACACACTAATGTAGGTGTGTGTATATGAATGGAACAGATCTATCCGGTGTATTTCATCCGGTGTAACATAGTATAAGCCCGTAATTCCCTACTTTCTCAATTGTAACAACATAATTTGAATTTTAAAAAATAATAAATAAATAAAAAGAAATACCGATTTAAGCAGCAGGGGTTATTAGTACATGAACTGGACTGGACTGGACTAAAATAGGGTTTCCAGGGTTAAGTGAACTGGACTAAAATTCCGTGCAGTTAGACTTTTACAATAAGACTAATTTAGCAACTCTTGGGCCTACATAGGTAACTATGGGAGACTTATTAATTGGGCCGGAAGATGGTTTCCAAGTCTGAATAATTGATATCATCTATCGGGTTGGCCCGTACTGAAATCGGAGTGATAAGATCGAAATTATCACTTTCGAAAAAATAATTTTTTTTTTCCGAAAGTGTAAGAAATGATCCAATTCCATTAAAAAATGGAAAAACCAGAAATCAAATATCTGGAAGAAAAAAAATGTTCCAAAATCGGAACTTCCGTTCGAATTTTCACCACAGGTTAACTTGTGGATACAGACATGCTTTCTTTTCCATTTTCTCTTGTACCTCAATTATTCGTGATCTTTATTTTTTTGCAATTATTATATATAATTTCATTCTCGGTATATGAAATGTGATATTTTAACTCATCCATTCCAATTGTTACATGTCCCAACATGCAAATTTCAACTCTAGTCATTTTCATAAATATTAAAATCAAATTCGTGGATAAACTTCAATTTTATTTTTTTGGAGAGGGTGCTATCGTATTGGAAAAGGAAATTTCACACAGACCTGTTATTTCAAATAACATGTCAATTTTTAAACAATTACCGGACTATAAAATTCAATAGAAAATAGAAAATATCAACTATTATTATTATTATTATTATTATTATTATTATTATTATTATTATTATTATTATTATTATTATTATTATTATTATTATTATTATTATTATTATTATTATTATTATTATTATTTAATTTCATAGTTAGAAAGGATAAGAGAGATGAAAGTGCATGATTCCAAAAATAAATAAATAAAAATTAAAAATCATCCTGTCATCAATTAAAATATTGGTACTGTATTCTTAAAATCGTTATCAGATATAAAGAGGTAAAAGAAAAGACAAAGAAAAGGAAGAAACAAAAGATTATTATTGTTTAAATTAATGAACCGTTATGTGTGTTTCACATGCTGGCAGCTAATATATAGAGCTTAAGCTAAGGTTAAATATCAATCAATGAATTAGGTATCCCATGTTTAATTTAATCATTCTATTTGTCCCTTTGAATGGTGGCTCTAGATTATTTGCCAACTCGAAAACATGGACATATATCGTAGCTAACCTAATCTAACGTAACTCGTAATAATGTCGATTAATATACTAGAATAGAAATGACTCTACGATATGATCTCATAGCGAGGACAATTAAAGAATGTTACTCCATTTGTTTCATAATAATTATCACTTTTGAATAATATTTTTGTTCGGGTTAGCTCTCACTTCACATTTCCAATATTGAATTAGATGCATCTTTTTTTTTTTTTTACTTTATTAATTCAACTATATTATAACTTTTCTCTTACAAATCATTAAATGATAATTATTTACTAAAATCAAGTCATATTTATTGAGTTTATTAATATTCGTGTAAAGGTGAAAAGAGACGGTTATTTAGGAACGAAGGGAATATATGGTAGACTGGTGGCCATAATTTTGAGAGCTTTAGTGTTTAAATAAATAAATAAATAAACTATTTTCAAAATAAATGAATTTCAAGAAATTAAATGAAAAGATAATTTATTTTATTATTATTATTTTTTTTTTTTTGTGGGGAAGTGAAGATAAATATGTAGGTATGATTGAACCAACCACAGAAATTTTTGAAATAAAAATAAAAATTGAATAGTCCCGAGGAGTTTAAAAATCTTGAAGTTAGGGATGGTGATATATTTGTATCTCTTTCTATTTATGTGCTGTTTTCTAGCGTTGTGTGTGTGTGTGTGTGTGTTTTATTTATGAATGTTTTTTACCTACAGTCGATTGATCCATTTGTGGGAAAATTTATATTTTTATAATTAGAATTATAACAATAGGACAATTAAAATAAAGACAATGAAAACAAGGTTTACTTGTCTTGTTTGAGGCCAAGAAAAACAAAACATTTTTATATTTTTTTTATGTTAAAGTATAATTGAGGAGATAGGTGCCAGGTCAGACAATTCATGTGCCAGAATCCAATTAGTAAAGAAGAAAAAATCTCCAGTACACAAAATCCAGTACTTGATCATGGCTTTGCTGTTACCTAAATTGTAGTTAAATGATATAATCCCAAATTAATTAAGATTCGATTTCAAATTCACATCATGAACACATCCCTAGTGCTGGATTTTGGGCTGCTCAGTTGAATTATTTATTCAGCCCAATAACCCAAACTCTTATAAGTCGGCCCAACTGTTCGGAAGTCACGTCCACTCGAATCCGGTCAAACCTTTAGAAAGCTCTAGATTCTTGAACTTGACCATTGATTTTAATTTCACCGACTGATACAAACCGTTTACGCGAGGTATTTTACCTCCGGCTCTCTCACAACCCATAATTTCTGATCTCTCTTCTCTCTCATTCTCATTGATTCCCGTACCTCCGCATCAAATATAATGCATCTTGATATTTTCCGTCGACACAACCTTTTGACTACGACGATTTCTTGCCCTCAGCTTTGGAGACAACTCTTCTTTTCCATCTATATAGTAAAGAAGAAAAAAAAAAATCTTCATCTTGTATGAGAAGGGCAAGGGAGGGTAAAAGAGAGAGTAATTTGTTTTTACATGCAAAATTAAGATAAGGAAAAGAACAAGGGTGGGACATTAGGAATCCCTGACATAATCCAAAGAAATGTCGTTTAGTTTGGGATGATATATCATATATGTATATATTTATATTATTACATATATATATTTATTTAATTAAGAGATAGAAAAGTAAAAAAGAAAAGGAATAATTAATAAAGAAATGGGGAGGGAAAGAAAACAAAAGAAGGCACATATAAGTTTGCGAGAAAAACCAGAGGAGAGAGGAGAGAGGTGAGATGCAGAGCCATTGGCTCAATTGCAAACAAACAAAGGTTTCCACGTGAAGTCGGCCCTTTTTCAACCTATCACAAGAAAGTGACTATCACCCTCTTTTTTGTCTTTTTCCCTCTTCTTTTCCTTTATTACATTTACACCCTCACTCTTTTTTTCTTTTCTTTTTTTAACATACTTGTCACTTTTCTTTCCCAATTTTGCCCTTACCATTGCTACAACTTAAAAAGGGATTCTTTAATTCTAATCATTTTATTATAATTTTTTACTGATTTGTTTTTTTTGATGGCTCTTAACAAATGCGTTTGAGTTGGCTTTACGTTGACCTCTTGAGCCAAAGGTCCACAAGACAAATCATATTTATTTTATGGATAATTTGGCAAATAAGTATCATCTCTCTCATAAGTCCTTTTCACAAATATAATTACTTCATTTTCACTATACCATACCGAATAAGATCAACAGCTTTCATGTTTTGGCCTCTCTTCAATCGTAAAAAATATATCAATTAAAAAAATCCCAAAATTAATTTTCTTAAAAAAATCCCTCAAAAAAAAATTGGTAAATTCTGTTTGAACTGAAAATGCCAAGAATAGTGACAGGAGTAATGAGGTTGTAGTTTACGTGGGGACTTGCACTCTCACCCACACCTAAAAGAAAAACAAATATAAATAGAAATCGAAATTATTAAAAAAAAAAAAAAAAAAAAAAATAAAATAAAATAAAATTATTGTGTTATGTGTATATAAAATATCATAGGAAGAATGTTGCAGCATACAAGGACAAACACCAGGACAATGTCCCAAGTATTCCTTTGGCATTCCATATATTCACTAACTTCCAAAACTCCAGATATATATATTACTTAATTAATAAATAATAAATAAAATTGAATAGAACAAACTGCACAATATTAATCCATTGCTTTGAAAGCTCCGTCTTCTGAATTATGATTCATTTGGTGGGTCATATTTAATTTTTCCTATCTTGGATGTGATTTGGTAATTTTTCATCCGGAAAATAACCAAAAATATCAAACTAGCTTAATTTGTAACATAAGAATTAAGATCAGTCAATATAAGTGAAAATATATTAAAAAAAAAAAAAAAAAAAAAAAAAAAAACATTTCTACTTAAATATATGGACGGAATTACAAAATTGCCCTCATTATAACTTAATAAGAAATACAAGTACTTATTCATTTATACACAATATTATTATCCCTGTCTAATTAATTCGATTGGTTAAAAGCAATTAAAACCACATCCCCTCCTTCTCCAAATCTTTCACCTTAGGAATTAATTCTCCAATCCCATCATTTCTTGTTTAACTACTAAACTAGTATTCATATTTAGGACATGCATATTAATTAAAACTAAAAACGAATTAAAGACGACAACATGGGATTAATGATCGATCGATCGATCGATCAGCTGCAATCGATCGATGATCACATGACTGCTTCAGATGTTTTCTGTTGTTGTTGTTGTTTGATGATCCATTCGGAGAAAGTGTTGAGAGTGTTCATATCAGCTCTGTAGTGTTTCTGCGTAAACTCGAGCAAATTGGGCCAACTGAAATCGGGATATATTCTAGGGTTATTCGAGTCCACGAGTTCTTGCGGTGGGCTCACCACCTTATCCTTCTTCGGACACAGAAAAAACGCTAGCGATTTCCTAGTACTCGTCCTGTTCACCACCGCCCTGTGCAAACAGCTTTTGTACCTCCCATTCGAAAGCGCCTGCATTATTAATAACAATTATTATTACAAACAAAAAAAACCCCACAAATTTAAAAAATAATTAACTATATTAATTGAAATTAAGAATTATACCATGAATGTGTCTCCAATGTTGACAACAAAAGCATTGACGTTGGGAGTGATGGAGCGCCATTCGTTGTCGACGAACACTTGGAGTCCACCAACGGTGTCTTGGTGGAGGATTGTTAGTGATGTCGGGTCACAGTGTGGTCCGGTTCCTAGTGCTTGATCCGGTTTTTTACATGGTGGGTAATAATTCAATCTCATTATCGATTCGTTTCCTTCGAAGAAATCTTTGAAATGGTTTCTGTTCACACCCAGGCTCATCGCCAATAGTTCCATGATGCCTAGTGACAGTTTGCTCATCGAACTCGAATATTCTTCGTACACTTTCCTGCAATTCATTCATTCATTAATTAATTATATTTATTTTTATTAATTTAGAATTTATGCAAAGAAAAAAATAAATAATATACATTAATTGCTTACCCTAAGTGTGAGAAATCTTCTCCTAGGGTTCTGTTGAAGTAGTCTTCGACAATGCGAGACGAGCTATTTTCCGGCGAGTACTCGAAGGAGAGGGTTTCCTTCCACGGGAGCTTGGAGGAGAATCTTCCGGTGAAGCTGCTGGCGTAGCCGCAGTGCTCGCCGAGTTTCCGCTGAGCTTTTTGCTTCTGGTGGAGGGGCTGCTCGAAGAAATGGTCCATGTAGCGGTGGGCGTCGGAGATGAGGCCGGCGTCGACGCCGTGGTTGACCACCAGGAAGAAGCCGTGCTTTCTGCAGGCTTTTCCGACGAGGTCCGACGCGCGGAGGGAGGCGGCGGGGTCGCCGGAGAGAAACCCGCCGAGGTCTATGAGCGGCACGTGCAGCTCTTTAGGGTTTGGGCTGGGTTTCTCGTGATCGGGCCATATGAACTGCGGCGGTATGTTGGATTCGTGCTGCAGCAAATTCGCGTCGAAGACTACCGATTTTTTCGGTGACTGTGGGGTGGCGGCGGCGGCGGTGGTTTGGCTCGTAATTATGGAATTAATTACGGTCATAATTGCATGAGATTTGTTTATTAAGGGTGTAGGGATGAATAAATAAATAAGGATTTGGAAAAGGGGTTGGTTTTTAATTGAAAGAGTTGTGTGGGTGATAAGGGAAACGCCAAAGGAAGTTTGTATTGGAGAAATTGGTGAGCGAATGGTTGGAATCTTTATAGTGTCCCGGCTAACAGATACGACAAAAAATGGGATTTGAGTATTTGCAGAGAAGGGCCTGAGGAGAGTTGTAATTTCTGAAGAGGGGTTTGTTCTTGGAGGAATTTAGGGAATGGTCCTTGTGGGTTTTTGTTTTTTGCTTTGTCAGACAGATAAGCGGTTCCCGATGGGTTTTTGGCGTTTCTTTTGGTTGGGAATGAGTGAAAACAAAATCATCTGCAATAGTATTTTATTATTATATATATATAGCCTAATCTAATTTGGGGTTCCCAACTTTTTGAGATAGGGCACTCTGTACTGTTAAATAATACTTGCTACCTTGAAATTTGAAGAGTTGTTACGTTTGAGAAAATAAATTAAATTTGAAGGGTTGTGACCATATATATATATATATATATATAGTCACCAAATTCAACAAAATAATAAAAAAGAAAATAAAAAATTAGTGACAAAATATAATATGTTGCATTTGGATCGATGGATTTGAACGAAAAATTTCAAATTTCGCTATGTTTTTTCATCTTTTCAAGTGATGACTTTAGTAAATACTAAATACACGACATTTGCCATACGTTATTCTAATATTAACGACGGATTAATAAAAAAAGATACATAATTTTGTCAAATAATGATTTTTCCTATAAAATTAAAGTTATTTAATAACTTCTTTAGTTGATGTACATCCAAACGAAGCCCTAAAGAAATATACTGTATTACTTGACGGAGACTACAATTCTGATTAATTAAATATTATAAACACTACAAGTTCGTCATATATAAGAAGTTATCATCATCAAATCCTTAATTCAATCATAAAGTTTACTAATTAATTAATTAATTAATAAAAATAACTCAATAATCACCATGCCTGGTATTCATGGATTGCGAGGCCCACCACATTCGTTGCACGTAGTGCAAAAGTTTTCAGTTTCAGAACAAAATGGGGTCACTCAATAGTCAATATATATTTTTCATGCAACATGTCTGTATATTTAGCCTCTAATTAATCATTAATTAACATCAAAATATGATTAAAAAACAACATTTAATAAAATTAGGACAAATGTTATATATAGTTGACTTTTCGTAGTGAAAAGAAAGTAAGAGGAAAACCAGCTGCCCATTTTTGAGGTGGCCATGTTTGTTCCCCAACATATTGCCTTTTGAAGGACCCATTTTTGTGGCAACAATTACATAAATACCCTTGTGACAAAGTTGACAAGACAAGTTCCATAAGATAGTGGTACATGATCAAGATTATATCGATCTTGTCTTGGATAATTTAAGAAAATTGAAACCATACGTGTCCAATTAAACCACACTTGCCAAATGTAGATGTGCATATATATCTTTTTATTTTAAACTAATACATAATACTCATTTTATTCCAACATTTTTTTTTAATTTTTTTTTGTTCCTATAGTAAATGGCTATAGCCTATAAGTACATGTTAACGAATGTGTCTGGTTGTCGACCAAGTGACATGTCTTATGTGTTTGTTTGCAAATGTAAAAGTTCGTGACTGTGAGTATGTTTGAAATAACCGCATGTTTAAAAAATTGGTGGTGTTTAATTTGCATATATGTCATTATATATAAATCAACTCTAATTTTAAGCTTAGGTTATTTAGGTATTATCTCAATATATATGTATAGATAGATTAATTCCAATATTATTTAAATGTTCAAGTATGCATGTAAGTTGTAATATTGGTGGTATTGATTATTCAAATAAAATAGTGTTTCCAAATAATTGTCCCAACTTGGTGAAGCTGTCACAAGTTTGCTAACATGTTAGCTAGATGCCTAATTCGGTGATATAAGTGGCCTTTAACTCCATATGTATATACATTCCAAATTTTATTTGGCATTAATATTAGATTCATGCACACATGCATTTAATTAATTAATTAATTGCAACCATTTTATGAACTTGTAACTACTTGACCATGTAGATAATTAAATAATAGTAAAAGTTACTCCACATCATATCATGGACCCTAGAAACCCATGCAGGAAATCCAATTACATCACTACCTTTTCTTGTTATTATTTTCAAAGATTTGAATTAAAGTTTTGAAATACTAGAAGATGCATGCGTAGTAGGATATAATTTCTCTAGGGGTACGGTGGAAATATTTTCAAAAAATACATTGATGTGTATGTGCTTAAGTGACTAATACATGGAATCATCCATCACTATGACTCGTGTTGGAATTGTTTTTAGGTTAAGTTTAATTACTATATATTGAAACAAATATTATTTTTTTCTCCAACCAAAAATAAAAATAAAAAAAAAAACACCAAGAAAATTAAAAGTGGGAGACTTAATTTTGTATAAGAAAAAGAGTAATGGGTTGTCTAGTCAAATCAAGATGTCAACTTTGCTTTCCACCTAAAAGTTTGCATGTTGTTATAACTGTTGCACAAATTAAAATGTGCCAACTCTTGGATTACTAGTCTACTAGTAATTAAAATTCTATAATTTATGGTTCTTATCTCATCTATTTTTTTTAACGATGGAACTTGTTGTCAGCCATATAAGCGTATTAGATAAACCTACAATCTTGTATAGCAACTTGCAAATTATACAGGAGATGTAAATCACGGTAGGCTAATTATGTATGACAAACTCAACCTAGTAACCGTCTATAAGGAGATTCGAACCTAAACAGACTCACTTGCTCCAAACGCTATGCCATCCCCGAGTTATCTCCTCTAATTCTAATTCTTTCATGTTGCTCAGTTTTCGTATCTAACACTCGCGCATGCGTGGACACGCGTTTTCTAATTCTTTATATGTTTCCAATATTTCAATATCTCTCCCTTTTTATTTATTTAGTTTTATTATTATTATTATTATTATTATTATTATTATTATTATTATTATTATTATTATTATTATTGATGGGTCTAGGCCCAATTGGATTTGTTTTACACAATTAAGAAGCCCAACAAATAAAGAGGCCTACCGTAGGGACAACTAACATGGCTCCATTTGCATGCACACTAAACAACAAATCACTTCTAAAACTCACAACCACACCTCCAACCTTGGATCTACTAAACATACATTAACTACTCTACTTTCTAAAATCACCATTTTATCCCTTTTCCTTTTTCTTTTCTTTTTTAATCACTTATTTATTTATATATAAATATAAGTTATATATATATATATATATATATCTCATATTTATCCACTAAAAGGAAGGATGGCTTACTTTAATTAATTATTGATAATACAAGTGGTGGGACTAGTGAGGAACTATGATTTCTTAGAAATGGGGAGCAAAGACAATCTATTATTGATCTTTGTTTTGGATTTTCCGGAATGTAAAACGTGATTGGTTACATGGAATTTATTAAAAGTTTGTCAAATTGTGACAACAAATTTCGGAATATTTATTTTTCCAGGAGGCCCGAATCGGAACTGAATTGTTTGTAGTTGTCTCCCATAACAAGCAGTTAATAGTGTACAATGTGTACACCAGATATCCCACATTGTGACATACATCATACATGTATCACTTCATCATAAAACTGTGGTGTATGTATATATATGTTATATATTATATATTATAGCTGATTAAATAGAAAAAAGAAAAAGAAAAAAATGATTATAGTTTGAACAAAGTTGATACATAATACATTATGGGAAATGACTTGTGACAAATGACAATGTGCTGAGTTAATCGATGAAGTGGATCCAGATATATACTTCCACTACTCGATGTAATGCCATACGTATAGATATATCTAAAACCCTTGATTTTGTTTTAATTTAATTACTAAGAAAAAAAATGTAATTAGTAGAATATATAGAAATTAAATAAGGATAATATATACTGATAGCGAGTATCAAATGGAAGATATTTACTTGTATAAGTTAATTTGGCCCAATATGATTTTCTTCGGCTGTGAAAACTAAGCCCAAAATACTTTTAACAATCGAGCAGCCCAATCCTGAAATCGACCCAACAGCTAACTTAAGCCTGGTTACGTGGATCACTGCGCGCAGACTTGGCCGAAGGGGACTAAGACTAACTTGCATTTAGACTTTTCGAGAGCAGGTATATGGGAGGGCAGGAGGTCAAGCCTTATGTCACGGCCCGCCAGTTGGGAACAAGTCCGTGAAACTTAGCCCTTAAATATGTAGTATACTATTTTATCTTTAATTTGACTTCTGAAATTAAAATTAAACCTTAGCACTAATATGTATAGTTATATTATCATCATTTAGATATATCAATGAAGCCATCACAATCTGCTGCAGAATGTAATTGCATACAACAACTCATGAGGGCAGCTAATTAAATAAAATGGAGACCTGATTTAATTGTACCGTACACTTATGGGTTTGTACATTTATATTTTTTAACTGTGGCAATTCTGCAGGAGTTAGATGGCATATTAAATTAAAAATAAATAATAATAATAATTATTATTATAAGGCTATAAATTCTGGCAGTAGTACTATTTTCACATACATGATTTTATGATAGATGGCGATCTTGTTTGCTCTTTTGCTCCCTCTGCCTGTTTTTCTTATTTTCTCTTACTAGAGAATTTATTCCATATTAAATATTTATCCATAACTATGCCCAGCAATAATATTTAATTTCATTTTGACAGAACCACCCAATGCTTTAATTATATGTGTATATATACTTGTTCATGCAATTATTAATTTTATATGTATATATCTTCAACCTACGTACCAATAATAGCAAACTGCAAACACAGGCATTCAGTGTCAATACATTTTAGAATGTCAATTTGGAATTCAAAAAAAAAATTTAATTCACCGACTCCTTTTCAGAAAATTAAATAATCTCCCACAAATAAAAATAAAAATAAAAATAAAAATAATTATAGAATTATATTCACCATTTTATTTTTCTTGGATATGATATTTGATATTTCAGATCATAAATGAATTGGCCCATGCATTAGCAATTGATAGTTTTTGGTCAAGCAATATGTATTGCACCATGTGCCCAAATTGATTGCGTGACATCTACATATCCATGTGCCTTTAATTTTTAATTTTGTTTCTATTCTCGTCTGCATTATTTACTTCACAATTTGTACACAAGGGTTTCTTTTGGATTTTAATTAATTTACAGTTTGATTAATCACTAAATAATATTAGAGTATGCATTCCATGCAAATATTTCTCTTACCATCCGACACGTACTCAGTTTTTTATGCTTTGCAATAATAATAAATAAATATATTCCCATCTCTTCTTGTTCTTCTGCAAAAACTCACATTTGGCATTTTTTATTTTATTTTTTTTATTTGGCATAATTAAGTTATTAAATAATTATTTGTACACAGTGTATGATGTAAATAATGTGGTGGTTTCAGATTCGCTGCAAATTGTGTCTGGTGGCCTTATCTCCAAAAAAAAAAAAAAATTCAAACTGGGAAATCATTTCCCTCTTTGGCTAATTGCATTTGCAAATTAATTCAAACCAGAAATCGATGCCCAACGGCTCTCAAAACTGAAACCAGTATGTTTTTATTTTATTATTTTATTTTGTAATTAAATATAAAATATTTTACCAATTATTTAATTAATTAGTAAGCTAGCTCAGTGTTACAGTTTTTGATGGAGTTAATTATTATTTTATTAATGTGCTTATGAGATTCTCTTGTGCCTATTCATAAGAAATATATTCAATTGTTTATTACTTTATGGATTATATAAACCTTCAATCAGATTTATATGACTGTATTATTATTTATTTATTTACTTGGGGATTATGTAAATATTAATATTGAGATTCAATATTCTGAAATTGAAATCTAAAGGTACTGTAAAAAGAAAAACTTACAAAAGCAGAAACAGATACATGACGTCATGACCTCAACTCGCCTATTATTTACAGTGAGTTAATTACATCAAATCTAAGAGAAAAAAAAGAAAATGTTAAAATAGATAGAAAAAAAAAAATATATATATATATATATATATAGCCGAATTTGTCAATATAAATATATATTATTATTATTATATATCTAGTAGGCCTCCTCCTCCACGTAAGATCCATTAGACCGACAAATGGCATCTCACCACGTGAACGTTGCCCTCCACGTGGCATCCGTCACTCTCGGTTCGGTTGGCTCCGCCGCCGCCACCCCATCGCCACCACCGTCTCACGCACTAACCACTCCATGATTTCACCTTCAATTTCACACACTATGCTCTCCTTCTCCTCTTCCTCAACACGCCAATTTAATTGGGGCTGACGCAAATCTCTATCGATTAATGAATCAATATCTTCTAGAACCAGACAATTCGCCGCCGGAAAATCATCGATTCGCTTGCACAATTCGTCAACCAACCGAAATTGGGAATCTTCGCAGATCTGAGAAATCGACGGCCGGATAACGAAGCGGGGCCTGGTAATTTCCCCTAAAAGCTCGTTCACCAACTGAAAAATCAGCTTCCTGTTGCACCGGTGGCTTAAAATTGAATTTCCGCCGGTGACGGTCGTGGTAGGGTGGAATAATTCGACGTGGTGGAAGATCGAGGGGTCAATTGGGTGTGAAGGGGTGCACCATTTGGGTAAATTTAACGGATTGTTGATGATGCCAGCGCGTTGGAGGATTATATGGATGTAATCTCTGTACTCCGTCACAGCGCCGCCGCGGAGAGGGGTGGCGCAATCTGGTATGTGTCGTACGTTTTCGGTGAGTCGAGAAAATATTATATTATCTGGCTGGTTGTACGAATGGCTCGGTTTACTAGATAACTGTGTGCTCTTTTCCGATGAAGGAGCATCTGATAATACCTGTTTCTGCAATTTCACCTACACAAAAGATGAATTAAATTAGGTCAAAAATAAAATATAAATATTTAATCAACGATAGTGATTTGACAATGAAATTGATCCAGGGAATTTTCATTATACTCCTGTAAATTAATATTCACAAATCTATTTAAATAAAAAAAAATTGTAATTAATACCTGTTTAAGGGGTAATTTAGTTGGAGGTGGAGAAGGATCTCTCTTGATTTGCACAAGTGTAGGGCTGCTTATATGCAGAACTTCACTCGATAAAAACGAAGCTTTCTTCGATTTATTCATTGCAGTTGTCGAATGAACAAACACCTCGTCTTTCTTGTTTTTGATTGTATGATCAGAAGCTTGACGGGGCATCATTTTCTTCACACGGGACGACGACGACGAAGAACTACATTTTCCGCCGCTAACAATAACAACAGCATTCTCGTTTTCCTTATGCTGCTGCTTGTTATTATGATTATGATTAGTATCAGAAGACGACGGAACTGATCTCGGGCTTTTGTTGTTCGATTTGTTGTTGTTAGTGTCCGAGAATTTCAGCCTTGGCGAATTAGAATCCCTAACATGATCAGCGGTCACGATTTCAGTTTCACCTTCAAATCGAGACGAAAACCTCGGACTTTTTTTCAGGGGATAAGGTTTTCGTCGTCCCTTCCGTTTCTGCCGGTTGTGTTGGTAATGTCTGCACCAACAACTCGTCTGCTCACCTTTTCTCTAACGTGCTTCACAACCTGCTTAGCGTAATGCCCCGGGCTCATTACATTCTCGTCTTGCGTCACTCGTCTTCCTCTACGAGCGGCCGCTGTTGTTTTCTCAGCGAAGTATTCTTCTTCGCTCGTATTGTCTCTGTTTATTTGGAGAGATAGCCTGTGGTGGTGGTGGTGGTGGTGGTAATCTACATCGGATCTTCGGGCGGATGACACCCTTGGAGTTTCCGGTAAAGAACGGATATCAGCGCCGAAATCGTGATCGAGAAAGGCTCTGTTTGAACTCTGTTTTGTTTTCGGGGTCGGTTTCGAAGGAGAGTTGGATTGTGATGGGAGTAAATCAAGGCCCATAAGCCTAGCTACTAGGGTTGGTGTTTTGATTCCTGGTGAATTGCAGCTGCTTTCTGATGAAAATTCATCTCTTCTTGATTTTGGACCGGAAATCGATACCCTTGGAGTCTTGATTATTTGAATTCCAATCTGATTTTCAATTAATAATTTGGAAATTGAAAGAGTCATTAATTGGGGCATTAATAGTTGATATTTCCAATTAAAGAAAACTGTTGCATTTTTTTTGCATTAATGCATCGGAAAAAGGAAATTGGAATTAATAATGATGAATAGTTACGACCACCTTCATTACTTACAGGGAAATTTAAATTTGCTTCTTCTTTAATGGGTAATGGCTTTGAAGAAGAAGCAGCATTAATGGCGGCGATTGGCTCCGCCTCCTCCACCTCCAAACTGTTTCTTGGTGCCTCTGCTCCTGCAACTAAAAAGAATGATTTTTTTTTTTTGTTTTTAAATTCTGACTGGAAAAAAGAAAAAGTTAATTAATTTACCTTTAGAAGTGGTGGCTTCTTCATGGAGGGAGGGATTAATGGTTGGGCGGAAACCGGCGGCGGAGGTCTGGTGATTCAGAGGGAACCGATGAAAATGGTGCATATCAAAAAGATGGAAAACAGCACACATGCAGCCGGCTGAAGTTGCGGCGGCCTCTTCCATTTCTCCAGACGCGGTTCTTCTTCTTCTCCTGGCGGAGGACCTTCCACCGCCGCCGCCGCCTCCGCCGCCGACAATCCAATGCAGCCAGTCTTTACCCATATTGAAAAAAGCGTACTTGTTTTTATAACAAAGATGAAAAGAAAAAAAAAAAAGGGAGCTCAGCAACAAAGCTGCTTCTCTGCTTTTTACTGCTGATTATGAAGCGAAAAACCCGGATCCACGGATCACAACAGGAGCCCCATTTTTCTCATTTAAAATCAAAATCCAAAAGGTTTTTTCTTATTTTTCTTTTTCACACACAAACGCACACACACACAGATAGATACACACAGAAGTATGTGATTCTGTCTGGTTATATAACAGTTTATTATCACTCACTCCCAAGCATATATATTAGCATGGCAGAAGACCAATTCTGTGTGTGTGTGTGTGTGTGTGTGTGTGTGTTTTGGTATTGGGAATACAAAGGATGACGAAATGACAATTATATTATATAATAAAAACCCCCATTCCCTCCCTCTCTATTGAGTTTTTAAATTTAAAGAATCTGTAATATATTACTGTAATGAGTAATCTGAGACCCTCTTCTTATTTACTGTTTTCCTTTTTTTTTATATTTATATATTTCTGTACGGGGGGGCAGTTTTTTTAATTGCTAACTCTTTTCGAGAGAGATACCCCCATGCCCCAATTTGAATCTATTGTGATAAATCTTGTAATATGTCTTTGATTTTTATTTATTTTTTTAATGTGCAAATTTGCGCAATAATAATATGTTATTAGAATTTTGGATTAACTCGACTTAGAAAACGTTGGCAAACAAATTTGAATTCATATCATTTTCTTCGAGTTAATTGCATAGACCCCCCTGTGTTATTTCTCGGAAGCAAAAAACCCCCCCGGAAAAAAAAATTAGCTTATAACCCCCTCTGTTGTGTTTTAGTCAGCTCACCACCCCTTCGTGTGCACTGGCTCGTTGACTTAAGTGAAATGACAGAATTACCCTTAATAAAAAATAAAGCGAAAAAGAAAAAATAATGTCTAACAATTTTTAATAAATTTTCAATTTTAAACAAACAAATATAAATAAAATATGTGTTAAATATAATAACAATTAAAAAAGGAAAAGAAAAAAGAAATAAATTTTCAATTTTAAACAAACAAATATAAATAAAATATGTGTTAAATATAATAACAATTAAAAAAGAAAAAGAAAAAATAAAATAGTGTTCTTCTTCATCCCGTCTTCCAACAGCCACACCCACCTGCAACTTCCACGATGTTTCTAGCAAAAACCAAAATCTTAAGAAATCACATGTACACATTTTTCTATCTCCACCATTGTCCCGTGCCAACCAAAATCTTTAAAAAAATATCAATTATCTTCTCGCTAATTTCATTTCATCAATTCTAACAGGGATTGGAGAAAAGAAAAAAGGGGGGTTTCCCCAAGCCCCAGCCCTCCGCACCGCCGCCGTCCCAAGGAATATTGGGGAACCAGCTCAGCAAAACCCTAACCATCAAAACCCCACTGTAAAGGTCTCGGCAAGAATCGCATCAGGGCTTCGGTTTTCAAGAATCCGTGGAAGTTGATGTGGTTGGAGAGGAACCGAATCAAACCGTTGCGGAGCATAAGGCAGAGGCGGCGGAGATGGTGGATTCTGGAGGAGCAGGATTGGTTGGTGGTGGCTGTTGGGGGTGGGTGGACGAGTGTTTCTTTTTAATTTATTTTTTCTTTCTATTTTTGGAAAATTGCAAATAAGTCCCTGACTTAAGGAAGAAGAGGGCCTTTCTGAAAATTCAAGGGACTGAATTGAAAAAATTGAAAACTTTATTTGGGGCTTATTTTTGAAATTTATAATTTAAAGGGCAGTTGGGTCTTTTCACGTCAAAAAATCGAACCCGAGTCGCATATTCGGCGAGTGCAGCACACGATTCGCTCGGAGGGTCCTTATTGACATTGACTTCCTTTCATAGGGGGTTATTTGTTAATTTTTTTATCCGAGGGGTTTTTTTGCCAATTAGACATTTCACAGGGGAGCCGAGTGCAAATACCCCCATTTTCTTCAGAATTAATATTTGGAATTAGGACATTTCATTCCAATATTCGCCATATAAGGTTTAGTCGAATTGAAATTTTCATTTTTCATTTGAAAATAAATAAATAAGTAGATTGTACTATTTTTATTATTTTTTATATTTTGAGGAAGTGTATGATGAATTTGAAGCAGCATCATTTGTAACATTATCTCGAGAACAATGAAAAATGAAAATTGTAAAGAAAAATAGAATGTCCTCTTCCAAGAGACCATCCTCATAATTTTGCTTGTTTAATTTATTAACATTAGTTAGTACATTTGCCCTATCCTTCTTTGTAATTTTATTATATAACAATGTTTGCTTACTTTAATCTCTAAACTATGATTCATTAAATAGTTGGACTTAATTTGATGTTTGGTATCTTCAATAAATTGTCGGGTCGACCCGCCAAAATAATATAATCATGGCTTATCATGCCTTATCTTGCCTTCTAATGAGTTTTTTTTGTTTGACGTTTCAAGCTCCAATAAAATAATTGGGTCTCATTAGATTATTTAATCTTATCTTGGCTAATTTTATCTTGTCAATCAAACGAGGCCTAAGTATACAAACTTATTTCCTCTTTCAATTCAAACTCGGTAGCAACACGTTAAATTATTAACTCGATAATTTAATATTTCACTAACTTAATAGAATTCTATTACTTCCAAGTGTATTAATCTTTCGAGTAATAACAATATGGAATATACAAAGTGACATATAATTTGGAACGGAAAAATTGGTATTCCAGAAATGAGGAACCATTATTATTAATTAAGTAGTGTAATGTAATGATTTAAATGAAGAAATAATAATAATAATTAAAATTAAAAAAAAATAAAAAAAAAAGGAAAAGGAAGAAAGGAAGGCTACAAAATAATGAGTCAGCGTCAAAGTTTAAGGTTACGAGGTATATACACAGCATACTGTCCCATTTTGGCATTCCAAGTTTCAAATAAGTAACAGTTTTGTTTGAAGCACTGTGGCCATTGCATTTGTGTTGAGGCGTTTGTCTCAATCCCACTATTTTGCTATTACATTTATTTACTATTTACAATTTCTCATCGACCAACGTACTACAAACAAAATTCAATTCTTTTCAAAGAATTCGTTTTCCTTTTGACTTTCGTATTTGTTTCAGTTGATTCATCGTATATATATATATATAGCTGTAACTAATTTAATTTGACTGTTTGCTATTGTAATTAGGCCAAAACATGATTTTTTTTTTTCTAACTTTATCTTAGCTAATTTTATCTTGACAACCAAACGAAACCCTAATGGAACAACTAATCTTATCTTGACCAACTAGATCGAACACTTTGGTGCAAATTTATTCAATTATTTCCTCCTCTCTTCACGGATTTTGTGATATGTTGCATATGTCAAGAATCAAGATTCAAATTGTTTTAATGAATCAACCAAAACATCTTAATTGATGCTGTGTCTAAAGTCAATTTGGGACTCCCAATGCTTGCATCACTCATAATTAATCAATTAATCAACTAGCCTTTCAAATTTTATTAGTTATAAAATTTGAATGATAAAAAGCTAGTTTTTTTTAAAAAAAAAAAAATTTAGAGTACAATATTTTAACCAACAAATAAAATTATTCAAATTCGTCATAAAATATAGTATTTCCTAAAATTAGTTTTGTTTTCCACTAAGCAATGTAGTATGAACAAGATAATCTCATAGGTTCTATACTCTACTTTTCGGCGTACGAATTAAATCATACAACTGATAACGACACATGAAAAAAATTATAATTATTGAAAAATTTAAAACATATTTTGTACTCTAACAAAATTGTGAAAGTCCAAATCTCACGGAGCTCAATGTCAGTCCTATCATAAGGAAACTTCATACAAATTAGTGGTGCATTATCATTTTCGTGAGGGCCACCATAATTTATTTCCGATCTGTCGTGTAATTATACAGTTAAACTTCGATAAATTAATAATCTAGCTTAAATAATAATTTCTTACGATCAAGATTATCGATAAACATATTAAACTATTAGTTCGATAATTTAATATTTCGCTAAATTAATATAATTTTTTGCTAATTCCGACTGCATTAACTTTACATTGTTTTAAATGTTTATTTTATGTTGAAATAGGGTCTTTATTTTTGTGTACGTAAAGATTAGTAGATTGGTGCCCACCCTTGGCCAGCTGGGTGGGTACTTTTAAATAGGGCTATAGGACTGTGTTATATAAATGCCATTCATTTCTGGATCTTTTGTAAGAAAGAAAGATAAGATGTATTGAATCATATTTATATTACTATTAATGTCTTAAATATTTTTACTTTTCTTAGAATTGACTTTTTGAATTTTATTAAATTCAAATCGGGTAACTCTCTCTTCCTATGACCTGTCCTAAGGAGTGTGTATAATAATATCTTGTTTTGTTTATAATCTTATATATAAAAGAAAGAAACGCTAGGGCAACCCTAAGAAACCCTAATGTCATATTTGTAAATTTTTTTCAATTTTTATCAAATTTTTATCTTCTTAATATTATTTTAAATATTATTTTTGAATTTTATCATATTTGTATCCCCTAAATATTATTTTAAATATTATTTTTTATTTTTATCAGATTTTTGTCTCCTAAATATTATTTTTTATTTTTACCAAATTTTTATCTCCTAAATATTATTATAAATAATATTTTTTTAATTTTATCAAGTTTATATCTCCTAAGTCCTAACTATGATTTTAAATATAATTTTCAACTTTTAGCAGATTTTTATCTCCTAAATATTATTTTCGAATTTTATCAAATTTATATCACCTAAATAATATTTTAAATATTTTTTTCGAATTTTATCATGTTTTTATTAGTTTTTTATCTCCTAAATATTATTTTCGTTTTTTATCAGATTATTGTCTCCTAAATATTATTTTCGATTTTTATCAAATTTTTATCTCCTAAATATTATTTTAAATAATAATTTTGATTTGAATCATATTTTATCTCCTAAATATTATTCTAATTATTATTTTCATATTTTATCAACTTTTATCTCATTAACATTATTTGAAATATTATTTTCGATTTCTTATCAAATTTTTATCTCCTAACTATTATTTTAAATTTTATTTTCGATTTTTTTCTCCTAAATATTATTTTTGGATTTTTTTATCAAATTTTTTCTTCCTAAATATTATTTTATATATTATTATCGATTTTCATCAAATTCTTCCTAAAAATTTTTATCAAATTTTTATCTCCTAAATATTATTTTAAATAATAATTTTAATTTTAATCATATTTTATCTCCTAAATATTATTCTAATTATTATTTTCATATTTTATCAACTTTCATCTCATTAACATTATTTGAAATATTATTTTCGATTTTTTATCAAATTTTTATCTCCTAACTTTTATTTTAAATTTTATTTTCGATTTTTTTCTCCTAAATATTATTTTTGGATTTTTTTATCAAATTTTTTCTTCCTAAATATTATTTTATATATTATTATCGATTTTCATCAAATTCTCCTAGATATCTTATATATAAAAGAAAGAAACGCTAGGGCAACCCTAAGAAACCCTAATGTCATATTTGTAAATTTTTTTCAATTTTTATCAAATTTTTATCTTCTTAATATTATTTTTTTATCTCCTAAATATTATTATAAATAATATTTTTTTAATTTTATCAAGTTTATATCTCCTAAGTCCTAACTATGATTTTAAATATAATTTTCAACTTTTAGCAGATTTTTATCTCCTAAATATTATTTTCGAATTTTATCAAATTTATATCACCTAAATAATATTTTAAATATTTTTTTCGAATTTTATCATGTTTTTATTAGTTTTTTATCTCCTAAATATTATTTTCGTTTTTTATCAGATTATTGTCTCCTAAATATTATTTTCGATTTTTATCAAATTTTTATCTCCTAAATATTATTTTAAATAATAATTTTGATTTGAATCATATTTTATCTCCTAAATATTATTCTAATTATTATTTTCATATTTTATCAACTTTTATCTCATTAACATTATTTGAAATATTATTTTCGATTTCTTATCAAATTTTTATCTCCTAACTATTATTTTAAATTTTATTTTCGATTTTTTTCTCCTAAATATTATTTTTGGATTTTTTTATCAAATTTTTTCTTCCTAAATATTATTTTATATATTATTATCGATTTTCATCAAATTCTCCTAGATATTATTTATAATAATCTGATTTTCGATTTTTACAGCAAATTGTTTATATTCTTACAACATTAAAAGAATGCAATTTGTTGTCCCGTGCATCGCACGGGTACAATTACTAGTAAGTTTTAAAGTAAAATTTATAAATAAAAAATTAGTCATTAGGGTTTTTTAAGTTGCCCTCCATTTTGTTTATTTTATTATAAAGAATTATTTTCGAAAAAGAGATGCTACTTGCTATTTACATAGAAGTGGGGGCGAAAATTAAATAAAAAAAAAAATTGGGAATATTAAATTCCACGTGAAATTATTTGATTAACAGCCGTTGATGATTTTGATCAACGGCCGTTCCTTGTTGTTGGTAGGCCAATAAACAATTCAGTCTCCACCTCCGCGGTCTGTGTAATTTGGCTATAACTCCCAATTTCTCGTTGTTTCTCTAGCGCGTGTGTTTTCCACGACTCCATCTGCGAGTATTATTATTATGAAAAGAAAAAAGAAAACGGCTGTCAGTTATGGGTCGCAATATGGCATCAGTTTTGGGTCGGGCTGGGCTGATAGTTTAGATTGGGCTGACTTTGTGGTGGATAGTATTTAAACGGGTCGTGGGTCAAGTAAATCAAAACCGGTCCAATTAAAGAAAATCCAAAATAATTTTATTTAAAATCAGTTTGTATTTTTGTTTCAAAATTAATGATAAGAATACTAAGTGAAAATAGAATTTTAATATATACTGAAAATTGAAATATGAAGAATTAAAATTTAAGATCAATAAAATTCCACTAAATATAAGGTTGAATATGCATTAGTTAAATCTGGTAAAAAATGTAAACAATTCGAAAAATTACCTTTTCAAGCAATCTTTCATTTTCTTCTAACAGAATCTTCTCCTGAAATTCACGAAAACGAGTTTTTAAGCACCGTAAAAGTTCGGAAATGGTACTGTAAAATAAATTATACATTAGTGGTACGAAGATCGAATCGTACCTTTGCATGTAATTTTTCTATTTCCTCCTTGAAAAGTTGAGCCTGGATTCAATATAAACAAGAACAGTTAATATTAAATAAACTAATTTTACTCTACTGATAAAAAAAAAAAACTAATTTTACTCTCAAGAAAAGATTATATAATATACATATATATATATATATGTATGTATGTATGTATGTATACCTTTCTGGATCTTATGGTGTTAATGGTTTTCTCGAGCTTGTTTTCAGTTTCTTGAAGTTCTTCCATGGAACAGTCACCCAAATTGTGCCCTAAAAGCTTCCTGATCATATATACAAAAAGCCCACATAATATTTTAATTTAATTAATTAAGTGTATATATAAATATATATATAGAGAGAGAGAGAGATAGAGAGCTCCACAATTGATCAAAATGAAAAGGAAAAAACTAATAAAACAAAACCTGTGTGAATTCTCTAATAGCTCTATCTTCTTTGACATTAATTCTGCTTCATTCTTTAATTGCTGCAACAACATTAATCATGTATCAAAATACTAATTAGTTCTAACTTCTAACACTCCTGTTACATATTAGGTTAAATGAAATCCTTATACTATAAGCTTGAAGCAAAATTTAATTTATGTATTCGATCACCTTACACAAATTTAATTGTTTTGTGTAATTAAATAAAAAGATTACAACGAAGCAATTAAACGAATAGTTAGTGTTGGAGTTGTCAACAAATGAAATAATATTACTGTGAGAGCTAATTATAAAAACACATACACATTGAAATATTTCAGTAGTAAAGTCATGAAATTAAACCTGCATGTGTTCTTCAACTTCAATGCCTGTATTTCGGTTTCTTCTAGATTCCAGATATTTCTGTATTGACTTCTGCATGCTGACATTTTATAGACAAGATATTCATCACTAGAAGCATATATATACAATATACATAAATTGCAAGAAGATCAAAAGAATTGCCATGTTGATAATAGAAATGGAAGGTATGTCAATTGATAAATTAAATTCAAAGCTCGTTACGGGGAGTTTGAAATGAAGGATATGGACGAAGCAAGAGAATATTAATTAAATCTATTGCCACTCCACTTAATTATACCTCAATTCAAATCGAGTACATGAATTCAACCATTCTTTGTGCAATCTGACTCGAACCACGATTAAATCTTTGTGCAATTGTTTTGGTTTTGTTTTTCTGAATTTGAAATAACACACTTTAGGTTGTATAATTACACACATTTGCAAGCTGTTTTCAAAGCAATAGCTACTAATCCTAATCAACAAATCAAAATAATAGATTTCGTACAGTTAACCTAACCGTTCTTCAATTAGTTATCACTAAATACAACAATTATTGACAAATTAATATTCAAAATTAAGTTTCTTCCCTTGATTAATTTATTCATTTTTTTTTTTTTTTATTATACTGGTACAAGTCCAGCTTGAAAGCACAAGATCCTGAAGTAACTAAAGTCAAATCGTACCGTGTACTAAAAAATTTCCATCAATCACCATATATATAGCTTACTACTGTATTTATCATCAGTACTAAAGCAACCTCAAAGCAAATATATATACATACATATATATAATATAAATAAAAAGAATGTAATGAAAAACTTATAAGTTGGAAAATAAATAAGTTGGTTACTTGGAGCTTGAGAATTCATAGAGTCTGCCCTTTGGAGAGAAAATAATCAAAGCAACTTCAGCATCACAAAGAACAGATAGTTCATAAGCCTTCTTCAACATCCCATTTCTTCTCTTTGAAAAACTCACTTGCCTGCTTGATGCGTTCTCTATTCTCTTCATTTCTACCTTTCCTCTCACCATTTCTTTTTTTTTTTTTTTTCCTCGATCTCTGCAAATTCTTATTTCAACATAATTAATATTGTCTTCTTATAATAATTATTATTATAAAATATAATTAAAGATCTATCCCTTCTTCTTTCTTTTTTCTACTGAACAGCCCTAAATAATTTAAAATAGTAAACACTTGAGAGAGAGAGAGAGAGAGAGAGAGACTCATGCAGGTGTTCAAATGTATATGCAAATTCCACACACTACTAGATTATCAGAACCCCTAAAAAAAACCCTAGCTATATATATATAGGGAAAAAGTTGCAGATCAATAGGTATTAAAACTTACCTTAATTAGAGCAAACGAGAAGCAGCTATGAACCCTAGCTTCTTTTTTCCAGAATATAGATAATAGTCAAAAGCAAATGTGAAAACCCCAATAAAAGGGAAGAACAATGAAACAACAAATTGAGGCAGAAAATCAAATCAAATGTTCAAAGCACGGATTACGAGATTGTTAGCTCAGAATAGGAATACTAGCATGAAACTTTTGTTTCAAGAATTTACAGTGGGGGTGAGTGGCCGAACATGTAATAAGATTCCTCAACAATCTTTATTTTCAGACCACACAACCCCAACATTTCCGTATTCAACTATTAATCATCATCATCATATATATATATATATATATATATATATATATATAATAAAGTGTACTGTGTGTGTGTTATTGTATATATTATGTTCCTCGTCTTTCTGTATATATCAAGTCTTACCCACAAAAAAGGAAATGCCCACAAAAGGATAAACCAAGAAAAAGCTATGTATAGCCTATCGGTGAAAATAAAAAATTAAAGCAAAAAGGAATATTTCTAACAGTATCTTATTCTTTTAGATCAATAATGCTTAATTACTATAAGGGATGATAAAAGAAAAGGTTTTTTTTTGTTTTTGTTTTTTTTTTTTTTTTTTTTTTTTACAAAATATTCTTGAAAATCTGAGTTAACCGTAATTAATAGACAGAGAAGTAAGACAGGTGAGATAAAATTATTGAAATACGTGGGGTTCAAACGTCGACATCATCGTACTATGATGTGATGCGGCGACGAATGAGGTAATGACAGCAAATACTCTGATAAATCGTGCAACCGTTGATCACGTTGGGCAACGGGAGCCACAGGTAAGCTGGCAGGCCCCGCTTTGTTAATTTTGACTCCACGACAACATTTTTTAGTACCGCTGCTCGGTTTTTTATTTTGGGTGCATTTTTTTTTTTGTTGGAGATAATTATATCTATCCCTCGATTATGATTTTTTCTTACACTTTTACCGTTATGGTATCAAATTCAACATAATCATCTAAATTTTGTGGAATGAGCTCTAGTTTGTACTCGTTTTGTGTAAAAATACAGTTTCTGATGCACCACAATCTGATATGTACAAGCCAAAAAAACACATCTTATGATCATCTTGCTTCAAGATGTGAAAAACACATCTTATGATCATCTTGCTTCAAGATGTGGAGTTCGAATGGGATAAAACGGGTTCAAAAGTGATAATATTTCATATAATCTCGAAAATTCCACTAAATTTGAAACCGCAAGGGTGGACATGTAAGAAAACTTATAGTTGATGGGTGATTGTTGTAGACACGTAAATTTAATATAATTTATATTATATTAAATTGAATCCCAAGATTATAATTTATCTTGCAAAATAAGTCATGGAGATAATTATCAATTAATTATTGACCAATAGGATTGTTTCTTCTCTTCCAAGTTATAAGAGATAAATATCAATTTAATGAGAGCCAATCAAATCGCGCCACGTCATCAAGAAGACTTTGTGTAGGACTCTTATTCTACCACTATAAATAGGGACCCTCCCTACACAATTCAAGACACAACTCAAGAAGAATAAAAACCGTAGGAGAAAATTCTCTCTACAATATTCAAGTCGTTCTTCATCAAATTCAAGGCGTTCTTCATCAAATCGAAGGAGTTCATCAAATCGAAGGTGTTCTTCATCAAATCAAGGCGTTAAAGCGTTTAATTCGAGATTACGGTGCTAAACCCTCAAATTAACGTTATTAACATCAAATCAAGATCGAAGGAAGATTGAAGGGCCAAATCCATCAAGAACTCCAAGATCTTCAAGTCAAAATCCGTCAAAGTTCAGCGTTCGATCCGAGATTCAAGTCGCAAGACCCTCAGAAGACGTTATTCAAATCCAAATCAAATCCGGAGAGGATCAAGTCAACGACTCGTCTCCGAAATTCAAAGTCAATCATATATTTTTCTTGAGAGAATAATCAGAGGATTGAATTAGAGTTTGTAACCCGCAATATTTTATTTTAATTCAATAAATTATCTTTGTGCAAGTATTTTCTTGTTTGTCTAAATCGCAGATAAGAATTTGTTGCTACAAATTTTGGCACGCCCAGTGGGACATCTCTACCTCTCATCTCTTCTCTCTCGAAGATCGTCAAAGTGTTGCACTGACTGCTCTGCGTTCGCAATGAAGACTGCTACTTTGGATTCATCAAGTGTGGGCTTAGTTACAAGGAGTATGGCTAAGAAGCTGCAAGCATCCTCCAAGACTAGCTCGACGCCCCAAACCGTTCAAAAAGGCTTACCACTTCTTGTCAACACAAGCGCAGACGTGGAAGGCTCAAAACGAGAGATTTCACAGCTCATGCCTCATTCAACATCAAGCTACTCAGAGATGGCATCCGTCATGACAACAAACGCTACAGCTATGGAAGAAGCATCCTCCAAGACTAGCTCGACGCCCCAAACCGTTCAAAAAGGCTTACCACCTCTTGTCAACACAAGCGCAGACGTGGAAGGCTCAAAACGAGAGATGTCACAGCCCATGCCTCATTCAACATCAAGCTACTCAGAGATGGCATCCGTCATGACAACAAACGCTACAACTATGGAAGAGCAAATTGCAAGTTTGACCAAGGCTATTGAGGGACTCACAAAGCATGTTCAACAACGAGATTCTCAAATTGCCAAGTTGATCGAGAAGATGAACATAGCCGATGCTAGTCAAATTGTGGAACAGATAGAGGCTCAAGACGAAGTCGAGGCATCCACAAAGCAACATGCAGTTGAAAACGAGAAGGCTCCAGCTCAAGAACTTCAAGTTTCTCCAGAAGGGATGATTCATGTAGATCAAGTGATAACGCTGATCAGTGGAACCATCAAAGACAAGTTGGAAGGAAGCTCGAAGTCTCCATCAACCTATGTCAAGCCATACACGCAAAGGATTGATGATCTAAGGATGCCAATGGGCTATATACCTCCAAAGTTTCAACAATTTGACGGCAAAGGCAACCCCAAGCAACATGTGGCACACTTCGTCGAGACTTGCAATGATGCCGGGACGTACGGAGATCACCTCGTCAAGCAATTCGTGCGATCGCTCAAAGACAATGCGTTTGATTGGTACATTGATTTGGGGGCAAACTCCATCGATAGTTGGAAGCACTTAGAGGAAGAATTTCTCAACCGCTTTTACAGCACTCGAAGAACAGTCAGCATGATTGAGCTCACCAATTCCCGCCAGTGGATGAAAGAACCTGTCATCGACTACATCAACCGTTGGAGAAATTTGAGTCTTAATTGCAAGGATCGACTGTCTGAGACATCAGCTATTGAATTGTGCATCCAAGGAATGCAATGGGGACTGCGATATATCCTTCAAGTAATTCAACCTAACAGTTTTGAAGAGTTGGCCACTCGAGCACATGATATGGAGTTGAGCATACTTACAAATCAAATTGAAGAATCACCATTCCAAAAGCCGTACCAGCTCAAAGAAGTGCATCTTGAAGAAGAACAAGAAAATCATGAGGATGGGGGCAAGTCTTTTGAAGAAGCAACACCCTATGCAATATGACAAGTCAAATCAAATGAAGCACTCCTTGACACGAGTTTAAAAGGTCTACAAGTCCAAATCAAATGAAACACTCCTTGACACGAGTTTAAAAGGTCTACATGTCCAAATCAAGCACTCCTTGACACGAGTTTAAAAGGTCTACATGTCCAAATCAAATGAAGTTCTCCTTGACACGAGTTTAAAAGGTCTACATATCCAAATCAAATGAAGCACTCCTTGACACGAGTTTAAAAGGTCTACAAGTCCAAGTCAAGTGAAACACTCATTGACACGAGTTTAAAAGGTCTACGAGCACATATCAAATTCAAGTTCATATGAAGCACTCATTGACACGAATTTAAAAGGTCTACATGTCCAAAAAAAAAAAAATGAAATACTCCTTGACACGAGTTTAAAATGTCTACAAGATCAAATCAAATCAAGGCTCCTTGATACGAGCATAAACTATCTACATATCCAAGTCAAGTCAAGGCTCCTCGATATGAGCATAAACTATCTATATATCCAAATCAAATCAAGGCTCCTCGATATGAGCATAAACTATCTATATATCCAAATCAAATCAAAGCTCCTCGATATGAGCATAAACTATCTATATATCCAAATCAAGTCAAGGCTCCTTGATACGAGCATAAACTATCTATATATCCAAATCAAATCAAAGCTCCTCGATATGAGCATAAACTATCTATATATCCAAATCAAGTCAAGGCTCCTTGATACGAGCATAAACTATCTATATATCCAAATCAAATCAAGGCTCCTTGATACGAGCATAAACTATCTATATATCCAAATCAAGTCAAGGCTCCTTGATACGAGCATAAACTATCTATATATCCAAGTCAAGTCAAGGCTCCTCGATACGAGCATAAACTATCTATATATCCAAATCAAGTCAAGGCTCCTCGATATGAGCATAAACTATCTATATATCGGAATCAAAATGTTCCTTCAACACGAGCTTAAACTGCAAATGTTTCTCCTTGTCCACATGAGTGTAAACTATGCATGACATCCCTCAAAAGGATATATTTTGAACTACGTTATGACTTGATCCCTCTATAGGGTACGTAGGCAACTTAGAATCTCTCTAAGTCCAGTCATGATTTCAAAAAAATGTATGTGCTTTGCTAGATCAAGCTGCAATTGAAGTTAAACAATTATCGAGACTCATTCACTCCAAGACGCATTGTCCGTGAACAAGTCTCGAGGGGGCATTTGTAGACACGTAAATTTAATATAATTTATATTATATTAAATTGAATCCCAAGATTATAATTTATCTTGCAAAATAAGTCATGGAGATAATTATCAATTAATTATTGACCAATAGGATTGTTTCTTCTCTTCCAAGTTATAAGAGATAAATATCAATTTAATGAGAGCCAATCAAATCGCGCCACGTCATCAAGAAGACTTTGTGTAGGACTCTTATTCTACCACTATAAATAGGGACCCTCCCTACACAATTCAAGACACAACTCAAGAAGAATAAAAACCGTAGGAGAAAATTCTCTCTACAATATTCAAGTCGTTCTTCATCAAATTCAAGGCGTTCTTCATCAAATCGAAGGAGTTCATCAAATCGAAGGTGTTCTTCATCAAATCAAGGCGTTAAAGCGTTTAATTCGAGATTACGGTGCTAAACCCTCAAATTAACGTTATTAACATCAAATCAAGATCGAAGGAAGATTGAAGGGCCAAATCCATCAAGAACTCCAAGATCTTCAAGTCAAAATCCGTCAAAGTTCAGCGTTCGATCCGAGATTCAAGTCGCAAGACCCTCAGAAGACGTTATTCAAATCCAAATCAAATCCGGAGAAGATCAAGTCAACGACTCGTCTCCGAAATTCAAAGTCAATCATATATTTTTCTTGAGAGAATAATCAGAGGATTGAATTAGAGTTTGTAACCCGCAATATTTTATTTTAATTCAATAAATTATCTTTGTGCAAGTATTTTCTTGTTTGTCTAAATCGCAGATAAGAATTTGTTGCTACAATTGTAATTACCTAAATAGGAGGGAGTTTTCGTAATTTAACCATACCTCAAGGGTGATTGTAATTTACCCTTTTTTATTTGACAACAAAATTAACCTTATATCAGGGCCATGAGTTAAATTCGTATGTTCGACTTGAAGTTAAATGTTGTTACCATGTTTTACGTGTTGTGTGATTAGATTGGAAATTATTGAATATAATAATTGAGTTTTGATTTGGATTGATGATTCCCCATGTTGTGATTAAATTTGATTTACGTTGAAAAATAGAAATCGAAAAAATAAAAAAATAAAAAATGGAGGAGCAGAAGCCCATTTAAATTAAATCTAGTTCAGAAGTGAATGGGCCTAATAATAATGTTCCTCTTTTGGGCCCAATAATCATGTTCCATAGCTGTTAATTAATTAAATTCTGAAACATACAGAAATATTATGAAGAGAAAAATGGGAGATCGGAAAAGACCGGCGAATACTGCGAACAAGAAGACGAAAATTGAGTGGCCATCCGTCAAACCCAAGTCTAATCTTCAAATCACTCGCCTCAAAGACGACGATCTCTTTACAGTATTACATCTTTCCTTTCAATTTCTTTGTTTATACGTTGCCCGTTCGTTTTTATTTGCTAATTTTTTGTTCGTCGGAAAGTTATATCTGTGCATGATTGACCATTGATTTTATCTTTTTGTGATCAGTTTTTTGATTGTTGAAAATGATCATTTGATGGATTTTTTGTATTGTAGCTCCATATTGTTGAATTTCAATTGTTCCCATCACTTCATCAATTTTGCACGCTTTACCAAAATTTAGGTTTTGCAAAAGTGAATTTGAATATTTGGTTTAATATTTTGTGTAGTGGATGGAAGATTGTGCTTAATATACCAGTAATTTGTGATTCTGAGCTCCCAATTTTAATATCCAATACTAACATTGATGTAGTTTGTTTGATAATCCTTGTCGTTTTGGTTTGTGTTAATCAGATTCCAAACTATTTAACTTGTGATGAATCGAAAGCATTTATCAGTACCGCCGAGTCAATTGGTTTTGTCCACCAAGGCAGCCTTGGTCCTACCAGAGGAGAAGCTTACAGAGATAATGATCGAATATCTGTTAACGATCCTATTCTTGCACAAGAAATATGGGAAGCTGGACTTGACAAATCTTTTGCAAACTTCAAGATTCGAGGAAAAGTTGCGGTTGGTCTAAATCCTAATTTGAGATTTTACAGGTATTTTGCACTTTCTGCATCCAATTGCACCTCCGTTTTGCTGTAGGTATGCCTTTTGTAATGGATTCTTGAGGGTTTTGCTCGTTGTATATAGCTCGTTACATATTTGTATTATCTGGTTTTTATACAATCTGTAGTTGTTTATCGATCCTATGTTTTTTTGTAATGATGAAGTGTCTTTGATTTTCCGGACAAATGTTATTAGTATTCTTTTTCACCTGCACTGAAAAACGGTGATTTACTTTCTTGAAATTACGTGTTAGGTACACTGCTGGTCAGCGATTCGGAAGGCATATTGACGAAAGTGTTGATCTCGGTGAAGGGATGTGTACTCACTACACATTATTAATTTATCTAAGTGGTGATTCTGGTCAAACTAAACCCAAGTTAAAGAACCAAGTTGGTTCTCGAGATTCTGCGGATCAATTGGTTGGAGGAGAGACTGTTTTTTACGGTCCGAGAAATGCTCTCGTAGCTGAGGTAAATCTTCATTCATTCTCTCTCTCATGTATACTGATTTATATATACCACATATCTACCGCAGTTATATGAGTGAAGGGTTTATTTTTTAAGCCATGAAAGTAAATATGCTGCCCTTCTTTGGGTGGTTGTGGGGTTTTAAATGATGGAATGAATTCGACCTAACTTTTGTTCATTTGATTTGCATTAATTAAATTTGGTAAACATTCAAATGTTTACCCAAATATTTTTTGTCGTTCAACGGAGAGGTTTAGTGCGTATAAATTTGTAATAGTCAAGCTCACATCCTATCTATTATCCACGTTTATAAACGGGACATAAGTTCATTGAATTTAGTTGTTGATGTAGATAGACCTAGCAGATGAAATTCTTCTAAATTTATTCTGAAGTCAGGGGGCTATTATGTTATTTTGATATATACAGTAGAACCTCGATAAATTAATAGTGGATAAATTAATAACCTCGCTTAAATAATAGTTTTTTTGGTCCCGACTCGGTAATAACCTACTAAATTAATATTTCGCTAAATTAATAGAATTTTGCTAGTCCCAACTGAATTAATTTATAGAGGTTTAACTATCGTGTTTTATTCAATTAAATTTGAAATTAATTTTGTAGGTACCCCCGGCTGAAGGAATGGCTCTACTCCATGTTCACGGTCAAAAGTGCATGCTGCACGAAGCTCGTAATGTGAGTAAAGGCATCAAGTATGTCTTACGATCCGATGTTGTATTCGCCTAACGAGGGCAATTCCTCAGAATCATCTTCTTGTAAGTTTCTGATTTTCTCATTCATACAAAAAAAATCTGAATTTTATCACTTAATATATATAATGTATCCGCTTTGATTGTGTGTATGTGTGTTTGATATGAAATTTATGTTCACAAATCTTGAATTCTCCAATTTCGTTCCGATGGAATTGACGGCTGAGATGCATCAAGACCAGCTAAATGTGACACCAATTTAAGTGAATTATTTATTTAATATAATATTATTCCTTTTTGTATTTGTAAATTGAAATCACTCCCACGCCCTAGCAAAAGGGAAAAGTAGGTCAAGTGTTACTCTCCAATGGGAGAGAGAACCTCTCACCTCTACCCACTATGACAGCTAAGTAAAGGACGCGTGTCATCATCTGCTTAGTCCTGTTTTGTCGTCCCCACTCACAAGTGGACCCCATCGGCCCCTCTTTAGTTGCATCAGGGAAGGGACCACCACACGCCTGCCTCGATAGTTGTACACGATTCAAACCCCAATGGGAAAAAGAGTATGGCCCACATCCAACTTTTTGATAAAACTTTTTCTATGTTTGACCCCCACCCACATTAAGCGGTGGGCCCACATCATCCGTCCCCACTAATCACGTGCACTGTCCTCTACTCACGTGCACTTAATTTAGTTGACCGCACGAGCTCATGACTAATTTATATGCTTAACAACTCACCAGACTGTTTAACTCAATTAAATTAATGTGTGTGTGTTTTTTAAATTTAGTGTGAAAACTTAAACATTTTTGGTTTCTTATACGTTGTTATTTAGTGTTGAAGAAACTATAGTTAAAAATCGTAAAATAATGTAAAATAAAAGAAAAATATATTTTAATTTCATTATATTGGTTATTTCTGCAGTTAAACTAGTTAATTAATTTTAGTTATATTGGATGTATAACTTGCAAAAAGAATAATATGAATACCAAATGCGTCTCAAAGTAAATACTATTATGTATATACGAATGTGCACTCTCGAATTTGGCCCTACAAATTCACTGATTCCCATTGCCCTGGAAAGCACTACATTGCAACAAGATAAAATTCAATTAGAGGTTAAACTTTAAATTAAAATATAGAACTTGGGTATTTTGTTTTAACTTTTTCCATAATAGCAAATTTAGAGGTGTTATGTGTGGCAAAAAAGAAATACCATAAAGGGTAGATTATGGCCACCCCGGGTAAGGTCAAATTGCGAAAACCATTGGAACTTGGAATACAACCACCCTACAACCATGAATCTTCTTACATATTAAGTGGAATCTATTAGAACATGTAGTATATTCTCCAGTTTGTACCTGTTTTACCCATTTGAGTTGCACATTTGAAACAAGATAATCATAAAACATGTCTATTCGCTTGTAAATATAAAATTGTTGTGCATCAGAAACTGAATTTTTGCACAAAACGAGCACAAACTAGAGAGCATTTCACATAATTTAGAAGATTATGTTGAATTCAACACGATAAGAATGAACGTGTAATAAGATTTATAGTTGATACATAATTGTAACTACCCAAACACAAATGGCATTTTGGTAATTTGATATTATCGTAATTTATCCTCAAATAAAAGCAGCAAGTTGACTGGGTGTGTCTCAAGAATTACAGCTAATGTAACTAATAAGAATTATTATCCTAAAAAGTCATCAATTTAATTTGCCATTTTTCACATTAGATTTTCTAAAAATCAGGAAAATGGGATTCAACAATTGCTCTAAATGTCAAGTTATTTACAATCTGAAGCATGCCTAGATTATAAATTAAAATAAAAAAAAACATAAAAAATAAGAAAAGGCCTAATACACTGTTAAACAATCTGATACGACAAATCAATATTAAAAATCTCAAAATTCTATGGCCGAAAACCCTAATTTCATTTCAGAGATGTGTTCACATAAATCTATGATTCAGGATTCAGGGGATGGGGTTTGGTCGTGATTCCCTGCGGCAGAACCCACCATAAACTGAAGCTCCCTCTTCTCGTAAACCTCTAAAGAAAAATCCCTAAGCATCTGCGTCGAATTTCTTGTACCTGCCGCTACTTCTGTAGTACCCACCGTAGAAATTGAACTGGCTGCCATTGTCGTTGCTCCTATTTTGTCGCTACTGCAACTACTTTTGTTTGCTCCCATCTCAGCCTCACCGTTTCCGCCGCCGGTGGGAACGCCGAAACTCATGAAATTAGATATCGGCCTCCCCGAGACGTTGTAAACCGGGGTTGCGGTGGCCGGTATGGCCCAGAACTGCGGCTGGCTCGACGGCCCCGCCGCGGTAACTGCGGCGGCTCCGGCGGAAGGTGGGATCATGAAAAAAGTTCCACTGGGAAATACCGGAACCAGTCCTTGTGGTGTAATGGGGGCCACGGGGGCGAAACTGGAAGCATCGTTACCGTTACCGTCGTAAAACTCGCTGTTCGAAGCCCTTTTCCTCCGCTTCCTTGGAGTTTCCGGGCCGGATGCGGCGGCGGCGGCGGCGGCGGAGGTGGGGGTTGTCGGGATTTTCAGCGTGCCGTTCACGGAGACAGCTATCGCGGGTACGGTGCCTGTGCCGGTGGCTTCGATGATGGCCGGCTCAGCCCGCTCGAGTAGCCAGCGAATGGTCTCGCCGTCGGATTTGTGGCCGAGCTCCCGCGTCAGTTGGAATATACGAGCTGCGCACGCCGCCGGCATCCGTATCCTGCGGCCGCGGCCCTCCACCTTCGTGTGCCGGTCCTTGCTCGACCTCTTCGGCGGAGCAACCACCATCGCCGTCACTGGAGGATTCGAGATCCCACCTTCCTGAACGGAGCCCTCCGACGGCTCGTCCTTCAAAAGTGCCACGACGTTGCAACGCTGCGACGGAGGTGGCGATGCGCCGTCGTTCTCCGCCGGACCGACGGCGGTGATGGTGTAGTCGTTCGAGAGGAGTGGGTCGGCGGGGAGGGCGGTGACATCATCGTCGTCGTCATCATTTCGGGTTTCAAGATTTTGGTGGTGGGTGGTGGTGGTGGGGTGGTGGCGGTGGCGGTGGTGGGGGAGAATTGAAGCCATGTGTATAATTTTGTTGGTGGAGGAAAAAATAAAAATTGGACCCACTTTTTATCTAACGGGTGATGCAGAGTAAAAGGGGGACCCTCCCCCAAACAAAACCTATATAGTGCGGTGTAGGGAGAATCAACGGTGGATGTGTGTTTAGTGAGTTAATTGTGACCTTACGATGACGACACGTGGTGGGGCCCCTTCCTGTTAGGGGTGGTAACGTAATTAATTTGGTCAAACTTTGAGGTGATTACGAGATTATATTAATTTTGAGTTTGGATTTTATTGGGGGTGCTATGAATATTACCTTAAGATTATAAATTGTTGTTGGGCCAAAATTTGTATTGATGTGGGCCGGGCCTTTATATATAATAGTAAATATAGCCCAAATAAATTCTGAAAGCCCTTTCACATAAATCGTTCACCAAATTTATTTTTAAAAATTCATCCAACAAAATTTATTTTATGTTTCCTACTAAATGGCTTCATTCCACTTTGCACCCTTGAAATATACTATTTTGGCACTTTGCACTCTCGAAACAAATTAATATCACTTTGCACCCTCGAAACACAATATATCATGCATAATGCAGTCCGCGTGAGTTTTTAAAGCTAATAAAGGTAATTTAATATTTTTAGTGGTATTTAAAAATTATATTTTCTTCCAAATAGTTCTACTTAATATTTTCACCAATTACAATAAAATATATATCAATTGAGTAATTTAATAATTAAAGTTTATTTGATTTGATTTCGTAAGAAAATATTTTTTTTTTCAATTATTCGGTGTGATTTTTATTTTTTCTCACTTCGTGCACTCGAAATTAGGTAGGAGGTTGAAGAAAATAACAATTTAATTTGTTATTTTGCACCCCGGAAAAAAAACCTAATAAAAAATGAATAATATTTTATTATTCAATTAAGGGTGCATTGTGAATGATTTATCGTGTTTTGAAGGTGCAAAGTGCTATTATTATTTTTCAAGGGTGCAAAGTGCCAAATGCTCCATTTCGAGGGTGCAAAGTAGAATTAAGCCCCTACGAAATTAATATCTAAGATTTTAAAAGAAATTGAAGAAAATCAATTTGAGCCTTCAAAGAAATTGAATGTTTGAATCACGTAATTGAACAAGAACAATTTAACGTGGTTCGAGCGGAGTGATCTACATCTATCATGACAAAGAGCATAATCAACTATGAACACAAACGAGTAGAGAGATACAAGACCAAATACAAGTGATTACGAAAATATCTACAAACTATAGCTTAGTTTCTGCATATATTTTATTTATTTATTATTATTATTAATAATTATTATATTTCTGTGAAGTATCGTCTGAAAATATCAGTTAAGTCACATTTGTGTCGGAGATATTTTCGTAATTTTGGCTACTGAAAATACGCCAACTGTAACTGAAATTTCAAAATTCCGATACAAAAGTAAACAACCTCTTAATTATAGTGTACCCAATATTGGAGTTGATTTGGTCCACAAACAAATGTAAGCCATCCAAAAAACACCACCATCCAACTAAATTCAACACATAATTATTATACTCATCAAAACATTATTCTAATACCGCAATTAATTTAAAAAAAAAAAAAAAGAAAAATTACAAAAATGACAATAACATCAAGATTAATCACCACCATTGATGCACAACACATCCCATATTCCTAAGATCATCAAACAAACTATAACACTGATTATACGAGTAATTAAACCTATTAATCCTCTCACCGGAGCAACATTTCACGTACCGGTCGAAATGGCACTCCATAAACAACTCGTCGATCAAACAAATCGCGCCCCGTCGTACAAGTTCATCGATCAAAACAATCTCGGTACCCTCCACATCCATCTTGACCACCACGAAATCATCGGGCCCCACCATCCTCTCGAGCCAGTCAACAAAGTCAAACGCCTCGACTTTCGTAACCGCCGCGAGCTCGTCGTCCTGCGCCTTTTGTCCCTCGATCCGCCCGAACGGCCTCATCCTCCATACTTTATCCTTAACAACAATCGGCTTGCTCCCGAAAACCACCGTCTCGTTTTTTATCCAAGCGGCGAAGGGCAAGAGCGTAATTCCCTTTCTTGATTCATATTGCTTGTGGAACGCTTTGTCGGCTTCCACCGCGTAGATTTCGAACTTCTTGTTCTGCTTGGGGTACTGTTTCACGAACCAGCTCCCGATGCTGGAGTCGTACTCGCGGGCGCCGAGGTCGATGTAGATGAACCGGCCTTTCTTGCGGCTCAAGTCAATCATGGAGGGTAGGTATTTGATGGTTTTCTCTTCCTTGCCTAGTCCTTCCCATATCTCGAGCGGCTCTTTCGATATCAACGGCTCGAGGTTGCGGATGAGGTGGCGTTTGTCGCCGTCGGCGGTGGTGCATTCGGTTTGTTGGCGGAGCCCCGTTCGGAGGTATCGGGTGGTGGTGTAGAGGCGGTCCTTGATTAGGGCGAGGGAAGTTATGACCAAGAAAATAAGTAGTAAGGTTGTTATTACAAGTTTGAGGGAAGGGGCATTTACCTTTTTGGGGTTCATGGTTTAAAAAATATATGGGAAGAGAGGGTAAAAAGATTAGAGTGGATATATATATAGCAAGTGGAGGGCAGTAAATAATGCCCCCTTTTGCTGTGAATTTTTTTTTACCAAGATTTAACACCCCTAGAAGGTAGAACAAACACTTAGTGTGTAATTACTATTATAACCTTGAACACTAAACTCCACATTTAGAGGAAACTATCGACAATTCAACTGACCAAGTAAAATCAAGAAACAAGTTGAAATCAGTAATTATTTAGTTCCTTTCAATAATTCAAGAATTTTGTTTTTTTCATTCTTGATTTTGATCAGTTAGCTAAACTACGGACAAACCCATGGGCAGTTTGGTAACTGTACTGGTGGCTTTAATTCCTTATTAATAATAAACTAGGGTTGATAAATGCTATGCCGGCCAAATTAGTGCTCCAAAGAGGCATCTACACTCAGTTATGAAGAGATGGGAATTCAATTCTTTTATTAACTTATTCCACTTCTTAAATGTATAGCACAAAGTCTATATAAAATAATTCTCATCTGTAATATTAATCACATGAAAATTATGTAACAATCACAAGATTAATTAGAGAGCAAAAACAATAAGAGGGTTTTGATTCAATTTCCTAGGTGCATCATCAAGAACAAAACAATCTAGAAAACAAATACCCATGACAACCTTGTATCGTGTCGAGCAAAGGGCACGTCTGGCAAGCCTCCTCAACGCCTCGATTCATCCACTTGATCGACAAGCTCTCGGCAATCGGTCCCACATTGTGCTGCAGCACAGCCGCTCCAAGTGGCCCCACTAAATTCAGCCGAGTCGCAGCGGATATAACGTCCCTCATGGTTATAAACATGTACGCTCGCTGAGTAGTCTCTGCATCAAAACCAAGAAGCCCGCACACAAGCCCGAAAACAGGGGCGTGGTGGAAATAGACACCCCCACTCAAAGCAGCAGCTCTCATCGTTTTCAGACAAGGGATCTCCGTAAAAACGGAAGCTGCGACTCGCATGAGTGCCGAACCTTGAGCTATCGACGCCTTGCGTGCGATTTCGTTTGTTAGCGTTGCGTTTAGGGTTTTATCGAGGTTGTGCCATGATTGTGTGTTTGGAGAGATTGTTGCGGAGTAGACGAAGGGAAGAAGAAGACTGCCTGTGTTTTCTAGTGTGTGGATTATGTAGGTTTTTAGGTCTTCGGATGAAACGACTAATCGGGATTGCATGGCTGCTTCGAGACCGAACGAATGAGCGAATCCACCCGTGGGGAGAATCGAATCGAGTAGTTGCCATTGACTCCATAGCTGGAGTGGACCTGCAGTAGAAGATTCTGCATTGTCTTCATTTGGCTCCCCTTCACACTCCATATCAAAGGCACAATTTTTTCACTAATCTGGAATTCGAAAAATATGTTTTATGGAAATGAATTGTTAGTATTACATGAAACTACTTGCTTATTGATTGTGCATTTCAAGATTAACTACAATCCAGCTAAAGAAATGTACTACTATTCTTCACCCTTTTCGTTATGTTCTGATATACGCATTTTACACACATCCACATGTATACGTGTGTGACTGTGTGTAAAATCAAAGCATTGGTCTACACGACGAGGTTCAATACATTGCCAACCCAAGCAATTGATCATTAGATACTGAAAACGCGGGAGCAGAGATATAAATGTACAAAACGAAATACTACGATGGCACTACAGTAGAGTTATAATCAAGCCCCGAACCAATAACAATGGAGATTTTCAGATCAAATTAAATACTTCAAAAACAAATTAAAAAAATCCATACGGATAGCGACCACACAGCAGGAAAATTCAAGTTTCGAATCGATTGAAGCACAGAGGATTACCTGAAAAAAAACTTTTAATCGGTCGACGATCCCACAAGATAGAGAGAGAGAGAGAGAGAGAGAACGAAAAAAATAAGAGATATAGGGCAAAGGGGGTCGTTGACCAAAGAGTTCTTCTTTGTCGGTGTTCGTCGAATTATACTTCTGGTGATGGCAACATAAATTAAATTGTTATATTTAGAGCAAGTATGCTGTATGCCAATGAAATCATTTTTAAATCATATGTGTTTGTTTGGAAAAGCCCTAGACTATTGTATATCTTTTTTCCAGAATAAATAATTCGGAATTTTTTATTTATTTTTTAATTTTTTAATTTCATTCATATGGGAAAATCAAATCATGTTCCTGGAATCAAAGCAGGGGGCTAACATTTTTCTGGGTTTTTGTATATTTTTATTCTTTCATGAGTGCGAGAACACATATTTAACTCCGGTTCGATGCTGCTGATAAGGTGTTTGATGATATGCCTGTTAGAGAATGAATGGCTACATAGTGGTTGTTTACATTGCTTGAAGGGTATGTTCACTGGCTAATACTCAAACACAAACTTATCATCAAAGCTAACATGTTTATTGAAGCATAAATTATTACCTTCGTTAAAAAGTGGATAAACATTTTTTTCTTCTTCAATAACTCGCAGGAAATATTACAGTTTCGAAACGATAACATATTCGGCTCTGTACTCACACTTCTATGGTCTTCTGATTCAATGCAGTGTATCTCCATCTCTCCTTCTCCACAAAGTCAGCATCAAGAAACTGCGCTATGAATGCCCAAAGCCTATAGGCATCCTCAAAGTTAGCCAAGAAAGTAAGTGCAACAGTAGCAACCGTAATTCCCTGCTTATCTTTTCTACTTTTAGTTCCCACTGTTTCCGTTTCTTTCACATTACGCTCCAAGATTATCGAATTATGTCCTTCATATTTCTCCGAGAACCAAATATGGTGCAAAAATCCAACCCCAATTGAAATCTTACTTCTATCTGCTAATTTCTGCACTAGAGCCGGTTCAACCCTTTCTCCTTTCCAGTCATGTATATTGAACGCCAAAGCGGGCCCACGGTCGAATTTCACCTTCGGGCCGTAAATAGTCACGAGGGCAAAATGGTCCAACCTATTAGGATGCCGAAGCTTCGTCACTGCACTCACCAGCCAGTTGATCAAGTACCTTCCCCTGCTATTGACCAGCCTCAATCCCAACGAATCCACATGATCCAAGCATCTGCACTGAATAATATCAGAGGTCTCGTTTTCCGCACTTTCTTGATTTTTCGCTATTTGTTCGAGCTCCGTGTCTGTGCCTGAATTATCTTCAGAGGATCGAAGCAAGTTATTTTCTGGTGTGATAGATACAATCCCCGAACCTCCGGAAGCTTCTAGAAGCGGAACGGTTGATTTCTTGACGATGAGACAACCGAATCCAGTCGGGTTTTCGCCGAAAATTTTGTAGAAAGAGCAAATGAGAAAATCCGGCTGGAAGAGTGAAAGGGCAAAACTGTCCATCTCTTTTGGCCCCAATGCACATGCATCGAGCAATACATGCCATCCGTTTTCTTGGGCCATGGTCATCCATTGATACGAATAGCTGGCCCCACTCGTTCTTGATTGAAGAGGGAACACAAATAACCCTCGATTTTTCTTCTTCTTATTATCTCTCACAATCATCTTCCTCAGTTTTGCGGAGTGAATCCTCAGCCTTGGCCATTTAAACTCAGCTGCCATTACACGTGCTCCTCGTTTTTCAGACATGTTGACCATGGAGTCCAAAGCCTCGCTCTCATGGTCGTAAACCGTGAGTAATTTCCGACTGGATTGAAAAGGGTATGATTGTGCTACGAGCTTGAAAGCAGCCGATCGATTCGCAGTGAACACCATGGAGTAATCGTCTTGAGAAATATTCAGAAACTCCATAATACGTTTCTTGATTGCAGATTCGAGCGGTGATCCTTCTCCACCGTGGAGGAGCTGTGACTTGAGACTCACGGACTTGAAAGTCACACCGAACAATGGCAAATTACCAGACTGCCCATCGGACTTGTTCATCTGCGATTGCGAAAATAGACCGACGCCTATGTAATCGAGGCAGACATGGTCGGATATCGAGAGGTGGGAATATTCTCGAGCTCGTATCTGGTCGATAGGGGCAGTATCAGAATAGTTGGGGTATGCTTTGATGAAGTGAAGGAATGATTCTTGCAGGGAAGGGATTGATTCGTGATTGGTGAAGTGGGTGTTTGGGAAAAACGAGGATGCTGTTGTGGCAGCAAAGTTGTGGCGGCAAACGGAGGATGTGCTTCTCGTCTTTGCTATTGGCTGCTCTACCTCATCGAGGTTGGGGTTCGGACAACAACCTTGGAAGCATGCTTGAGTTGCCTCTCTCAAACGAGGTGAGTGCATTTTATTTTCTCTCTCTTATACGTGTTTCTCTCAAATGTTTTATATATGCTGCTTCTTTCGAATGAGCTTCCGTTTGTTGATATATATATATATATATATAGTATATATAATAGGTGTGAACTGTGATGCTTACTCGTTAAGACAAGTGTGGAAAAAAAAGAGGTGTCTTTTGTGTGGAATAGGACAGGCAAATGATTTATTTCGATTTTTGAATAGGTTATCTGACCTTTTCCTCTAAATTTTGTTAAAGTTTCGTTTTCTTTTTCCTCCACTGTGTTATATCTTTTAATGGCTAATTGATTGCGCATGTTTTGCGAAAGTTGACTCGGTATGATGAAATTGGGTACAGAAGAAAGTAGAGTCGATTAATTAATTATATGATTTCCCCACCATCGAACCGTATCTTACTCTAGACATTCTTTGTATGGATATCAAGAAAATAAAATGAAAAAATTTAAAAACTTGAATAAAAGTGAAAGCAACAAAGAGATATATGTATAATGGCCGGCATAGGATATGGAGCTGGCTGGCTAAAAGAGGCTTCTTGCTGGCAAAAATGAATTTCTTTAGTTTTGTGGGTAGCTTTATTCTTTCTTGTGGGGCTTTAATATTGTCTCAATTATTGCTCAAGTTTTTTAAAATAAATAATCCTGCTTACCTCTTTCATAATGTTATAATAATTTCTTTTTTAAATAAATAAAATTTTCTAACACGCATCTCGGAATCATCGCATTTTGTAGGGGTTGAATGGCACAAATTGCTTGACTCGCTCTAGTTTCTATATTTTTATATTTCGAAAACTTTGTGGGTTTTGACACAGTATTATAGTCAGTACTCTGTTGCAGGCAGGCAGGCAGTTTCAACTTAGCTATCTCTTACCTTTTTCCAGAAAATAACAGCAAACAATAAAATATGAAACTTCTTAGGTTGTCTTAATCCATACGTTGCGAAGAACATCGTCTTTGTATAATATTATGTGGCCCTTTTCTTTGAGATGAAGTCATGAAACAGATTAACTATTCAGTCAAACTGATTCACTTAACACGTTTAACAAACTTGATGGTGTCGTTTGCGATTTATTTCATGTAATCATTAGTCTTTTTTTTTTGTTAATATGCACTAAAAACAATCATAACAGCCAGAAAAAAATACTGTCTTGATGCTAACAGCTACAAATTTAAAATGATAACTGTCACTGCTTAGTTCCCATAGTTGTTTGATTGATTCAAAATATAATCTATTTGTCATGTCTAATCTTGCAGTTTCACCTAGGATAAATGACTACTCCCTCGATTTAGTTTAAGTGCCGTTTAAAATATACGCATTGAAATCTCAAAATTCGTAAATTACCGTTTACACATAATTAAAAAAAAAAAACCACATTATATGGGGAAAATTTCGGAAAAGAAACGGGGAGAGTATTTTGTAGGAAATTTTATCGTTGTTCAATGTTCACTTCCAAAATGCAATGATACCAATGTAGACACAGGGCTAGAAGACTCGTATTCGTACAAAATTGAATGCAAAAAATAAATAATTATTAAAAAAAATGACAGCAAGAAAACAGAAGCAATGCAGTAAGATAGTAAAGCTTTCCTGGACGACAAGTTCTTTCATATTTCTGGTAGCACAGTGTAAGAAACGGCATTAATACATGTTAAGCTGAATCACTCACAGGGCAACTCTCCTTTGGCATGTTATGAGAATTCAAAAAATCGTAAATATAAAAAAAAAATCATTGCATGCCAATTAAGAGAAGCCCTACGAATGGTTTGCTTACATAAACCCTTTCCTTCTTCCTCGTAATCTTGTCTGAACCCTAGTGTTGTTGTTTGACTTATATATAAGTCTTATCTTGATTTTGCAGAGACGGAATAAACCAATGGAGGAAATAGCATATGCTAGAGATTTATGCTATGGATATCCTATTTGGAGGTTCTTTTTCACGGTCATTACATGTTTATCCTTCAAATATCCCTGTCTCGATAGCTCCTTTACGAGCACACTAGATTCTTTCTCCTGTCCTGCTCCATTAACTTATTTTTTTTTTACGAAAAAATAATAATAATGCGGAGAAAAGCAGTAGAAAGGAGATGCTGTTCGCCAAAAGAAACGAACGTTGTCAGATGCATCAAACTGGCATATCCTTCGTGATTATCGATTTTATGCCGTTGGATTTATTTCGTTGCCTTTTCGGAGATTGGAAGTCCATCCCACTGCATGTCATGGTATGTAACTATTTTTCGTCGTGTTATTTCCTTATTTTCGGATAATGCACGCACTACTATTAAGTTAGAAATATACGAATCCGAGAATTCGTTGGTTGATTAATTAGGAAAATATATTTTCTTGTTTTACCTGATGAGCAGTTCAAATAGTACTAATTTCAATAACATCATCAGTTGTTCGGATACGAAAACTTCAATCTAATATTGCTTCATGAGTCTAATTAAATACACAGTAGACAAACATTTATCGGATTTAATCGATACCTATTATATCCCGTTTGCTTACTGTGGAATTCGCTCCCGCAGAATTCTCTGTCCCATATACCTGCATCACCAAAAAAAAAAAACAGAATATTCAACATGCAATGACTATAGAGAGATATATCAATTATTTCAAAGCCCGTGATAAGTTAATCACCTCCCGAGCATCATAACCGTGGCCTGAGGATTAGTTCCAGGCGAGTACTTAAACGTGGATCCATCAATCACACGCAATTTATCAACACCAATAACCCTATAATCCCGATCGACAACTCTATCCACCAGGCATCCACCGTGGTAATGCCATATGGTCATCACAGTGTCCACACAGAACTGCCTCATCGAATGGGATGCCGACACGTGTCGTCTCCTCTGGTTGGTGGGAATTGACAGCGTTAAGTTGACAAGTGATTGGAACGTGGAGAATGGATATCGGAATGCAGAAACGGGCCTTGACTCGATTACTCTCTTAACAATTTTCATGCCTTTGACGCACCTTCGTAGGTCTCTCGGGTCTTTGAAGTAGTTGAATGTGACTCTCGGATTGTCGTTCGGGTCGTTGCTCTGGAGCTCCAAGTACCCCTTCGAGAATGGGCCCGTTACCTTTTCCAATATAATCACGTTTCCGATGGTCCGATTCCGATACGGGTCGGAACCTTCCTGATTGGCTAAGTGTTGAGCTTGAGCCATCGAAGGAGTCATCGTCTGGAACGAGATTCGGCTGGCTGCTTCAATGTAACTGCCAAAGTTAGTTGTGCCAACTACCTCAATCAGGGAAACTCCGACGGGCCTACGTGAAGGAATTAAGATTCCGTTCATTGGGTTATCTGACATGCCCTGGCCCACCATTGGCTGGTCCAAGATTACTGTTATGCCCTTGTCCCTAAGTTGATGCCCCGGCCCAATACCACTTAGCATAAGCAGTTGTGGGCTGCCAAGCACACCTGCACAAATGATTATCTCATTTGTGCCTGTGGGCCCACTATTCAAATACGCCACGTGGCTAATCCCCTTTGAGTCTCTGAACAAAACCCCATAAGCCTTTGGTTTTTTCCCTGTATTTATATATATATCGCTATTAATTAAGTTAATTTTTATAAATACTATTTTATTTTGATGATTATCTAACCCGGAGGAGTTGGAGTTGTTCTAAACAAGATTTGGTGCACGGTGGCGTATAGATAAACGGTGATCTTGGTGGGGTCGGCGTACTCCAGTAAATCGGCGGCGGTGTGCCGGTAGCCGCTCTGGTCGAAAGTGGACCCACCGATTTTGGTGCCCTGCAAATGTTCGTACGTGAATCCTCTGTATGGCGACACCCCGGCGGCCAGCAACCCGTCTCTCACCGCCGCTTGCCACCTCCGCACCCGCGGCCGGAACGCCACCTTCGCCTCCACCCACTCGTAGGAGGCGTTCACCAGCCGCGGATCCCAACCCGCATCCGCCACGTCACGCCTGCTGGCGCGGCTGTAGAACCCGGCGTTGATGGCGGAGCTGCCCCCCAGGACGCGGCCGCGGTGGTTGAAGACGCCGTCCGTCGAGACGAACTGCTGGGTGGGCGAGCTCGGCGATGACGTGTCCGCCAGTAGCTTCCCGAAATTATTAATGCGGGTCACGTTGGGGTTGCCGTAGGGCACGCCGCCCCTCTCCAGGAGCAGTACTTTTGCGGAGGCGGAGAGGGTCGCCGCCAGCGCGCAGCCGGCGGTCCCGCCGCCGACGATTATGTAGTCGTAGTACTCTGCCGCCGGAGCTGACGTGGCATTCCTTGCGAAAGATGTGTACGGAGCTGGCACATCAAGAAATTCATTATATATAAATACAGTGCATAGGTTTTCACGAAAAAACACAGACACCATAGGTAGGTGTGGGAATAAAGAAGGAAGTAATTAGAGAGACAGACCTTTCTCTGCATAAGAAGAAGCAAAAATCCCAATTAGAAAAACTGCAACTAGGGTAAACCATCTTCTAGAAGCCGCCATTGTTATATTAATTATATCTTCAAGCTAGAGGAACAGCATGCAGTTTCAGCACAGTTTCACATTTGCTAGCTCCATTATATATATTGTTATTATAAAGATTATTTCAACACTAGTCCATATCCTGCATTGAAAGAATTTGTTGATATAACGTGGACGTATTCCTCTTACCTGTCAGCAAACATTTATGAATTAGAGGAAAACTGGTAAAAGTGAAAAACCCGCCTTTGCATTAATTAAATCATTATGGGACTAATGGCTATATATATTTAATTTTATGCTACACTCGCTGAGCTTTATCGGGTTATTTAAGTTGACCGGATGTAAATAGAACAAAACCCGACCTATCTTTTTGAGAAAAAACGGACTTTGAAACATTAATTTACACCTTTTCTGTTGAAAGATTTTGCATAGACAACTAGCATTTATTTCATATGATATTTTGTGTTCATTTCCAGAAATGATTTCAATTTGGAGTTATTTAAAATTCATATGAATGCCTCAATTTGTAACTAAAAAGTATGGGTGTTGATTTGAAATATTTCGTCAAATCCGTCAATCCAAATAAGTGCGTTGAATTTGTTATTATGAATTTGAAAGATATCAATCAGTCTTTTTTGTTAAAGTCTCTATTCATAACTAGCAATTTAGTCGTCGCTTTGGAAAACTTTTTCGTTTCATATTACTATCAATTACTTTAGAATTTAAATAATACATTAAATATATTACAAGCTCGAAAACTAAAAAATGACAGTTAATTTGAATTAAACAAATCGAGTATTAATTAGTATATTTGAATAAATGATTAATTAATTTACATAAAGTTCAAACTTTTTTCTAATTTCTTGGATGCATGTGATCAATGTGCCGCTCATGATATGTCAATTATTGTGGAATTCGCTCCCTTAGAATTTTCTGTCCCATATACCTGCATCACATAAACAAATTAAATAAATTATATAAAAAATAAAAGATATATTTCATTAATTCAAAGCCCATATATATAAATATATATATAATAGATGAATTATATATAATCATGCACCTTCCAAGCATCATAACCGTGGCCTGAGGATTAGTTCCAGGCGAGGTATAAAACGTGGATCCGTCGATCACACGCAATCCATCAACACCAATCACCCTATAATCCCGATCGACAACCCTATCCACCTGGCATCCACCGTGGTAATGCCATATGGTCATCACGGTGTCCACGCAGAACTGCTCCATCGAATGAGATGCCGACACGTGTCTCCTCCTCAGGTTGTTGGGAATCGCCAGCATCAAGTTGATCAGTGATTGGAATGTGGAGAATGGGTACCGGAATGCAGAAACGGGCCTTGATTCGATTACTCGTTTAACTATTCCCATTCCTTGAACGCACCTCTGCAGATCCCTCGGGTCCTGGAAATAGTTGAACGTCACTCTCGGGTTGTCGTTCGGGTCGTTGCTCTGGAGCTCCAGATACCCCCTTGAGAATGGTCCCATCACCTTTTCCAATATTATTACGTCTTGGATGTTTCTCGTACCTTCCGGAAACGTCTGCAAATTGTACGTACAACATTTCTATTAATAATTCATTATTGAAAATGCATGATTGCATATATTCTGATCGACCTGCTAATTAACCAGACTATTGTAGATATTAATATTAAATGATATATTTCACCTGGTTTGCTAGCCTTGTAAAGTGTTGAACCAAAGCAGGGGTTAAAGCCTGCTCCAAGACTCGACTTGCCGCTTCAATGTAGCTGCCGGCGTTGGTTATGCCGACTACCTGAATTAGTGACACTTCGACGGGCCTATGTGAAGGAATTATGACGGCGTTCATCGGATTATCGGACATGCCCTGGCCCACCATTGGCTGATCTAGTATAACTGTTATACCATGGGCCCGAAGTTGACGGGCCGGGCCAATACCATTTAGCATTAGGAGTTGTGGGCTGCCTAGTGCACCAGCTGATAAAATGACTTCGTTTGTGGGTCCACTGTTTAAATATGCCACGTGCCTATTGCCTTTTGAGTCTCTGAATAAAACTCCGTACGATTTTGTTCTTCGCTCTGCATAATATATAACATTTATATATTGTCCATTGAAATGTATTGAATTTTTGTTTTGGAAACGATATATTTAAAACCTAACCCGGAGAGGATCCGAATAAGATTTTGTACACCGTGGCATATAAGTAAACGGTGATTTTGGCGGGGTCGGCGTACTCCAGTAAATCGGCGGCGGTGTGCCTGTACCCGTGCTCGTCAAAAGTTGATCCGCCGGTTTTAGTGCCATGTAAATGCTCGTAAGTTGTTCCCCTGAGCGGCGAGACGCCGGCCTCCAGAAGTCCGTCTCTCACCGCCGACTGCCACTCCAGCACGCGCGGCCGGAACACCACCTTCGTCTCTACCCACCCGTACGACTCGTTTACCAGCCGCGGGTCCCAACCGGCCTCCACCACGTACTGGTTGCTGGCGCGCGTGTAGAACCCGGCGTTGATGGCGGAGCTGCCGCCCAGGACGCGGCCGCGGTGGTTGAAGACGCCGTCCGTCGAGACGAATAACTGCGAGGGTGAGGTCGTCGACGTGTCCGCCAGTGTCTTCCTGAAGCCCGTTACGTGGCCCAAGTTTGGGTCGCCGTACGGCAGGCCGCCCCTCTCCAGGAGCAGTACTTTTGCGGAGGCGGAGAGCGTCGCCGCCAGTGCGCAGCCGGCGGTTCCGCCGCCGACGATTATGTAGTCGAAGTACTCCGATGGGGGTGCTGACGTGGCATCTCTTGCGAAAGATGAGTACGGAGCTGATCACACAGATATATAAAAATAAGAATTAAAATAGTAACTGCCGAATATTAAAATGTACTCAAACTGTTGCATTAGTTTTCACGAAACACGCAATTAACTGTGTGTGTGTGTGTGTGTGAGAGAGAGAGAGAGAGAGAGAGAGAGAGAGAGAGAGAGAGAGAGAGAGAGAGAGAGAGAGAGAGAGAGAGAGAGAGAGAGAGAGAGAGAGAGAGAGAGAGAGAGAGAGAGAGAGAGAGAGAGAGAGAGAGAGACCTTTCTCTGCATAACAAGCAATAATAATGAAGAAGAAAATCCAGAGAGAAACTGCAAGAAGGGGAGACCACCTATAGGTAATTACAGAAGCCATTAATATTTTCAAGAAAAATAGTATTAAAAAATACAAGATGAAAACGAACAATTAACAAACAAAATTTGTTGAAACACAAATTGATGATGAACGAACAACCCTTCTTTTTATAAGTGAGAAGAAGAAAAGAAATGATCTACTAAAGCAGGAAGACGACACACATATTCTTTATGGCGGCACAAAGATTATTGCAATTTATATATTATGTATAATATTTTTCTTCAGCAATATATATAATATAATATTACAGAAAATTATAGTTGACAGGGGGCCAAGATCACATTTATATGCAGCGAGCCTTACATAAAATCATTCTGTGACTCTTTTATCTGTTCATAGCTCATCATAGCTGCGGATTTGAGAATATTATTTTCTTGAGAAATCAATTAATTAGGTTTATTTATTTTTTTATTTTTTTGACAGTAATTAGGTTTATTTATTGAAATATATAATGTTGATTGAAAAAACGTGGATAATATAATTCATGTAATAAGAATATTTTATTTATTGGGCTAAGATATTTCAGGCCCATTTAAGTGGCCACAGATCCATGCTAGTATATGTAGTTTTACTTTGGGCTGATAATGGGCCGTACTACTGAGCCCATCCATCTTTTTCTTGAATATAACAAAAATACTTATTAATTGATTTTCGAATTAATAAATTAGGTAATGTTGCATAAATATATTGCACAATAACCATTGAAGTATAATGGACATACCATAAATAGTATGCAGTTTTTACATATCCTAGTCATCTTTCCACCAAAACTCAATCAAGAGAAAATATATTATATTGTCCCCATAACACGAAATTAATGTGGTGTATATTAATATAAGTTTGTTATTTAATTTAATGATATGAGACTCATTCTTCACCACACACATCTTGTAGTGGACAGTCTTGATCACACCACCACTAGCTATTTATTACTATCAATTTTAGTGTCACTAATGAACTTTAAAAAGTTATATAACCACATTAAGGATAAACTTGACTAACTCAAGTTTTGCATTTAAAATTTGTCTATCAAAGGAATTGATCATACGTAAATTAAAATTATATTTATATTTCTAACTATATATATTAAGGAATTCCCCAATATATTTTACAGCAAAAATTCCACTTCATCTCCATTTCAAGATTAATGAAATAATTTACTCAATCAAACAATAAGTATTATAGCTAATTTCTTAACCATATTTCTAAGATTGTCTACTTTAGCTTTATTGTATTACTATTTTATTCATATATTAAACTAATTAAGAATACTTTAAAATGTTTATTATTGTGACAAACATGGTTCATAAACTCATGGAAAAATCAAGTATCACATGTTTTTTGCCAACCTTAAATTTCTAAGTGTAAGAACAGGCACATACAGCTGTACGTAACACCCCCGCCACCCTCCCATAAAAACAAGAAAATTAAGAAAACAGAAAAAAAAAAAAAAGGTAAAACATGTAACCCTAGCTACCTTCACATATGAGGCAGGGTTTTGTGTAATTTTATTAAAGATGAAGGAAAAAAAAAACTAATAATTAAGTAGCTGTATATTGTAGATACAGAGAGTGTATCGATCGATATATAGTTAATTATTTGGAGGTAGGGTTTGGAGATATGATTTTAATGACAAGACCGGGGAAAACGTCGTCGGGATCGTGAATATGAGGGTTCCGTTCGACGATAAAAGGGTCCCCGCACTTGTCGCTGATTGTGTGCAGTGTTTCTCCTTCTCCGACAACATATATTTCGTCGCATGGCCGCCGCCGCAGGTGGTTTCCCCTGATCACGGACACAGTACCCACTTGTGTCACCGTTTCTTCGTCGTAATTATAATTTTCTCCGATCGAACCGCCTAAGAGGATTACACCCAATAAAACGACGGCGCAGTACCATGAACATGCATCCGCTATTGGAACCCACGATTTCACCGTCTTTACTATGCTACCGGAGAAACCAGCCATTTCTTTTTCCTAGAGAGAGAAAGAGCAAGAGAGAGAGAGAGATTATTTAAAATTAGAGAGAAGAAATTTAAACGTAATTTAAAGAAGTGTTATTGGACGTATTTAATTGGAGGAATGTTGACTAGTGTAGTTAGATGAAATGCCACTTTATTTAATTAGTTCTCTTATAATAAGGGATTATATTTGTAATTAATTCTGAATATTTTTATTTATTTATTTTTTAATATCCACTTGACTTGGAAAAAGAATATATAGGGTTAGGCAAACAAACCGAAATTCCTTTTACCCTACTATGCAAGATTCAAAAGTTGACCAACTTTGAATGATGAGTGCAATTTGGTCATTGGGGTTTGGCTTCAATGGGACGGCAATTTTTTTAATTGGAATATTTCATTTGTGATGTGATGATGTCCCTTTCAATTGTTACACGTGTCATGACGAGGATAACCGTCATGTCTGTGTGTCTAATCATAGTCCAAATCAATTTGTTTATGTAATTATGTTTTCTTAATCTCGTGTCGAATTGTTGTTGCTTTATTTCTTTCATAAACAATTGTTGGGTGTGATTTGATCTTCTCGGGGTCCATTTGTGGTACCAAATAGTAGTTTAACTCTAATAATAATCGATTTGGGCTCGATCAGAGAGGCAGGCCCAAACTCTTACACAAGACTCAATTGGGCCCAAGTTAAATATGAAATAAAAATAATGAAGATAAAGATCTTACTTAAAAAATAAAATGAAGATAAAGATTATTATATTAAATATTAAAATATTGATATTCTTTTGTATTTATTAACCACTCATCTGTCGTTGTTGGAACATCATCATCATCATCCAAAAGATGATTATAAAATTCCAAATATTAAAATACATCCTCATCCTCTAAAAATACCAATTAAGAAACACCATTATAATAATAATATAATATTATAGTATCTAATCTATTCATTCATTCACTCAACAAACAAGAAAAAAGATTACAAAGGGAAGAAGAGATGGGGAAGGGTGGGATGTCTCATGGAAACACCGACGAGGGTAAAGAAGTAAACATGGCGGCTTGGCTTCTCGGCATTAACGATATCAAGATTCTTCCTTTCAACCTCCCTCCTCTTGGTATTTTTATTTTTTATTTTTTATTTTTTTTTCTATTTTCTTTCAATTTATCTAATTATTTATTGATTTATTATTAATATTAGGAGCTCATGATGCTAGAATCAGAATGAAAGCTGTGGGTATCTGTGGAAGTGATGTTCACTACCTCAAGGTTTGAAAAAAAACCCTTTCTTTCTTATTTAATTTGCCATTAATTAATGAAATTCCCATTACCATTTCATTGTTTGATTGATTAAGGTAGTGTGTTTCTTTTGCTTTGGTGTTTCGATGTGTTATACTCAATTCTGTTGATCAGTTAATATTATACTTTCTTTCTTTCTGTTGATTTGAGTTTGTATCTTGTTGATCAGTCATCACTGCAAATTGTCATCTAGAGCATGGTTCTTTTTCTTGTGTTTCAGGCGATGAAATTAGCGGATTTTATCGTGAAGGAGCCGATGGTGATCGGGCACGAGTGTGCTGGCATTATCGAGGAAGTTGGTGCGGAAGTGAAGCACCTTTTACCCGGTGACCGAGTCGCCATAGAACCAGGTATAAGTTGTTGGAGATGTAACCTTTGCAAAGACGGCAGATATAATCTCTGCCCGGAAATGAAGTTCTTCGCCACTCCACCTATCCACGGTTCCCTCGCTAATCAGGTCTACTTTTAATAGCCATTTCACTTTTTATGACGTACTCTGAAGAATCTTATTGCAAATAAGGATAAAATAGTGGCCATTTTCTTGATCCTCGTTGACAGATTGTGCATCCAGCGGACTTATGTTTTAAACTTCCGGAGAATGTGAGTTTGGAGGAAGGTGCAATGTGCGAGCCGCTGAGTGTTGGAGTTCATGCGTGTAGACGTGCAAATGTGGGGCCCGAGACGAATGTGCTTGTGATGGGGGCGGGCCCCATTGGGCTCGTGACAATGCTTGCTGCTCGTGCTTTTGGATCTCCGAGGATTGTTATTGTGGATGTTGATGATCACCGCCTGTCGGTTGCTAAGGAGCTTGGTGCGAATCAAACTGTCAAAGTTTCCACTAATTCTAATGTACGTTCCCATTTTTTTTTTTGCGTGAAAATATTGCCTACATACCCTTTTTCAGTTTTAATATAGTGACGAGAAAATTGAAACAGGATTTACGTGATGAAGTGGAGAGAATTAAGGAAGCAATGGGGGGTGGAATCGACATAAGTTTCGACTGTGCGGGGTTTAGCAAAACAATGTCGACAGCGCTAGGCGCCACTTGTTCTGGTGGGAAAGTTTGTCTTGTCGGAATGGGCCATACAGAGATGACTGTCCCTCTTGCTCCAGCTGCCGTCAGGTAACTTTAACCGCACCCACCCTCCTTCGTTAATTTGCAAACTTACCCTTTCATCTATTCTTTTTTTATGTATATACATCGGGATGTATAATTGATGGATGCGCTAAAAAAATAAATAATAATAATAATAATCAGGGAGGTAGATGTTGTCGGAATATTCCGGTACAAGAACACGTGGCCGCTGTGCATAGAATTTCTGCAGAGTGGAAAGATAGATGTGAAGCCGTTGATCACACACAGGTTTGGATTCTCACAGAAAGAGGTTGAAGATGCATTTGAAACCAGTGCACTTGGTGGTACTGCTATCAAAGTTATGTTTAATCTCTAACATCATAACCAGCTATATACATTGTGTCTGAATAAATGTTGTTTTTTTTTTCTTTCGTTTTGGAATAATGAACGAGCTCGAACAAAAGTTCAGATGTTAAAACATGAATTGTCGTGTTCTTTCGAAATCAGTTTCATATATGTGCGTAGGCAAGATTTGAATCTAGCCTTTCTTTCACTATACTTCTTCGGGTTTTTTTATCTGCATGATTTTTTGCGAAATTAAAATAGACATCGGAAGAGTAATTACAACACGGCGATGGATGTCTATAAAACAAAAATCGAACTTCTTTATAATTTGACTAAACAATTACTAAATACTAAATAAATAGTACAATGGCCTAGTGAAATGCAGAAGAAACTTCCTTAAGATAGTCATTATTATGATCACGTTACAGACGCATATTAGGACACTCGATAATCTAACAAAAATACCTAGAAGAGAAAAGAAAAAGGTAAGGAAATAACGAGAACAGCTCAAAACGCATTTTCTCACGTTTCCTCTATCGGTGGAACTTTTACATTGAGATAGAAAAAAATAGGGGATCGAAAAAATATTAAGAGATACAATATAGATACTCTAGTTTGCTTCTCATTGTACGGTGGTTGGTTCCGACCATTTCCACACTCTAACTTGACCCGTACCATCACCAGTGAAAAATAATCCACCGGGACCAATCTGCATTGCCCGAACCTCTTTCTTCGAAAATATCTTTCCCCTCTCAGAAAATCTATGATAATAAAATGTTGTTTAATTTTACACAATTTCGAGAAAACGGAATATAAATCTTTAGTAAGAGAGAGAGAGAGAGTAAAATATTGAAACTTACGATGGCAAATCATATGCTCGAATTGTGTTGTCGTTCAACGAGCACAACAACACAGGTTTGGCTTCTGAATCATGCATCCCACACAGAGTGAGTAACCCCTGCAGAAAAAGAAAATCAGTTAATATATATATTCACTTTCTATTCATTCGACAATACAAACGCCTAGAATATATATTTGTTACCGACACCACAGATTTTTTGGGAAAATGAACAATAAATGATGAAAGTGTGTAAAAGCATACATGTTCCTCTGTGTGGGTGTATGTTACTTCCAAGTTACCACTTTCAGTTGCGGCCCAAATCTACAAAGAGTGGAAGCAAAAAAAACATTAAATAACACAAGAGTCGGTTATGCTTTCGAAGCAACAAAGAAGCCCAATAAAGTCAGAGGAAAAAGTACAAACCTTTACGGTTTTGTCAAGTGAAGCCGACAAAAGGAACTGATCCCAGCACAAAACAGACATCACGACATCTGTATGTCCTGACAGAGTTTGTAAACACTGCAAACTTTCCAGGTTCCATACCTGAACGTTCATAAAACACAAAATAGAGAGGAGCAAAATAGTAAGCAATGACGGATTTTTTATTTTATTTTTTATTTTATACAAATCACAGAAGAAACATGAACATGTTTTGTTTCGAGTGTTCGACTTACTCTAATAGAGCTGTCCATGGAGCCCGAATACATTCTGTTACCTCCAACGACTAGCGTCACAACAGCAAGAGTGTGTCCCTTGAGTGATGCAGCTGGTTCAAAGCAGTTGGTAGCAACATTGAATTTCCATGCCAATATTGTTCCTTCCTGCAGAAAACAACAAATGATCAGAATAAAAGGGGAAACATCATAACCTTCTGCAAGAGGAAAGTATGTATGTGTTTCAGTGCCTCCACACAACAACTCATTCTATAGATGTTTGAATATTCCATGCCTAGTGTGAAAAGCAAAGAACATGTGATTTTTTCTGCCATTAAATAGAGTGAAGTACCTGTGTACCAGCAAAGAGTAAATCATTGCCAACAGCTAGTGAATAGACTTGTCCGACAGGTCCATTTAAACTTAGCTCCATGGATGTTTGAATGTTCCAAGCCTAGTGAAAAGCAAAAGAATGATCAAAAGATTGGACATAGTTGAAATCCATAAGGAGAAATAAATGGATAGAGAATTGCCAACATACAACACAACTGATAAACTGCAATTTCAAGGTAACATTGCTAAGAAAAAGCTCGAATTTTTAAAAATCTCCCCACCCCAGCCACAACACTGTAACCATGTATGCTTTTGATCTGCAAAATACATATTGCTCTAGCATCTTTTGACTAAATATTCATTCTAATGTCTACATATTTATCATAAAGACAATGAGCTTTTGTCTATATATCTACTGCATTATTTTGCAAAAAAAGCGATTGTAATCTTGAGGGATTTTATGCATGTGATAATGAAGCAATAAAATAGTGAACTGAAACAAATGGCTGACAGATAACTCGAATATATTTATCTTACCTTCACAAGATTAGTCAAACCCACAAATACCCATGGACCTTCACATAGCATGCAGCCTACTGTAACTCCCAAATTCACTACGCCAGCCACCTGTTAGAAAAGCCCAAAAATCAAGAAGAAAATAAGCTCTAATTGGCGTTGAAGGATAGGCATTAGAAATTAAGTGGGGTTAACTCAAAGTTTTTGAGCTTGAGTTTGAAGGTGGCTTGAGACAAGATTGAGCTTTTTCACTAGAAATACTTGATCAAAGCTCCATTTGAAAGCTCGTAAACCGTGCTTTCATCTTTTTCATTACTATTTATACTTTTAGTATGGTCTAACAATTAACAATAATAATGGTTTAATTTCTAGTATCATCAGTGTAAATTCTAGAATAAAAATAATAATTGTGAAATTAACAAAATTATATTTCATGAAATCATCTTGTACTGAAAAATGCACAGAACAGTTAACGGGGATAAAAGAAATGCATAAAAATATATAAACAACCTGACCAGATTGGCAGTCCCAAAGTCTAACCGTCTCATCTTGACTCCCGGTGTAAAGCTTATCAGACCCCGGGGGCATAGCAATCCCAGTAATAACCTGATAAATTATTTTGTTGGATTCAGAACAACATTAAATAACACATGAACCAGAAAAATCGCAAAAGGAAAACAATAATAAAGAAAACACCATACACAAAAGAAATCATATTTATAAACATAGAGAAGAATTGGATCAACCAAAAATAATAGTCAGCTTGTTTTGATTTCCCAACCATTACTACACCATACATAATCAAGACAAACAGATGATGCATTGAGCAATACGACCAGATCTTTCCACACCAATTTACCCAAACAACCAACAAGACCAAACTAAACCCCAACATGCTTCAACTAGATAGAACCCAATTCAACAATACAATGAAGGGAAAACTGACAACACTTTGGCACTAAACCCAATTACATGATTAGAAAACGATGGATCTGTTCATAAAAATCAAAACACTGATCCACATAAAACGTATATCAGCATCAACAACTGCACACTCTTCATCAACAAACATGATCATTGCAATAAAATCACCTGCTGGTGTCCCTCCAGTGGGGCCAATAGCGTAAAGCAACCCCCTGTCGACCATTGATGCATGTATTTACAATTATCCCCGAATTTACAGCTCCCTTGTGCCCAAAGGTTGCACAATTTTTCGATCTTCTTCAGAGTATTCCTATTATTAGCAGGCTGTTGGGATTGCGTCCTGCCCCACGTATTATTGTTATTAAAATTATAATTCCCACTCCTCCTTAATCCACCGCCGCCGCCGCTACGGTAATTGTCCTCCGCCCCAAACCCTTGATGCGCCCTCTTCCCATTCGCAGCTGACGGCAGCTCGCTGTGCAGATAAGGGCACGGATATCTCGTGCACTTTCCTTGTCTCCAATATATACACACCTTCTGTTGCTTATTATGGTTGCCGTTATCACTCGAAGACGAAGGCCCGAGCCTGTTAAATACTTTTCTTCCGCCATCCATATCCATTACAGATGACACTGTAAAACCACGATACAATGGGGAGGGGAGATGAAGTTTTTCTTAACGGGCTGAGATAAATTTAAGCTCGAAATTGGTATATGATCATGTAATATTGGGGTTTGGGTAATTGAATGATTGATTGATCTGGAAGTAGAGAGAGAAGAGAACGAATGATAAGAAATTGGGATTTGAGGGTTTGAAAGGGATTTTTATGAACCCTAATTTTGGTGATGGGGATGGGCTAGTATGAAGTTCTGAGATTGGAGAGAGGAGGATGACGAAGAGAAAAACTATTTGATTTTACTTTTTCCTTTTTTTAAATTTATTCTTTAATTTTGTTTATTAATACTAATAATAAAAGCGTAGAGTTTACGCGCCGTGGTGCAAGATTTACACGTCGGATATGATATTTGATTATTTACCCCTTCTCGAGCTATTGTTCAATTAAGGAATTTTAACCGTTGCAATTGTGAAGGAAAATAAGTTAATTTGTTAGTAATTAATTAATTAATTATGTTTTATATAACAATTTACCTTTCTAATTAACGATGAACTAATAATATTGGTAGGGCTTTAATTAAAGTTGTAATTCTGCCCGCATGATTTTTAATTATTTAGTGTCTCCACACGATACCTTTTTTTTTTTTGTATTAATAGATAATTATATATTCTGTATGAGACTTTTTTTAATAAAATATTGGATGAAATTAATTTAATTTAGTAAAAGAATTAAATTCTTATACGCGAGTTTGAACCCAATTGATAGATAGGCCCAATCCAATAGTCCAATGAATCCTAGCCACTGGGTTGAACAAAACTTTAAATGTACTTAAAGTTCCTTCATACGAAAAGTCCATGCCTAAAAAAAAATCATTTTTTTTATCATTAAAAGTCTAAAAGGGCAAAGAAATAAAGGCAAAAACATAAATATTAAGGGTAAATTACGGCCAACTCTGAGTTAAGATTGAATTACGAAAAACTCAATTTTATTGAAATAATTATAACCATCCGCTCAACTTATGAATCTTCTTATAGGTTTACCTATATGATGTCGAATTCAACATAATCTTTTAGATTCCGTGGAATGTTCTTTAGTTTGTACTCATTTTGTGCAAAATGCAGTTACTGATGCACCACAATCTGATATTTACAAACCAATAGACACATTGTATGATTGTCTTGTCTCAAAATGTGGAACTCGAATGGGGTAAAAATGGTACAAACTAGAGAATATTCCACTTAATCTAAAAGATTCTACTAAATTTGACACCGTAAGAATGGACACGTAAGAGGAGTCATAGTTGAAGATGATTGTCATTTATAAAGGAAATTTTTGTAATTTGATATTACTTCAGAGCGAGTGTGATAGTGATTTATCCAAATATTAAATACTAGTTGAGTCAAGTGAGAACACACATTCACAACTAAAATTCCTTAAAAAAAATAGAAATACTGAAAAATGTGAGTTAATATATAGAAATTGCAATCTCTAAAATGAAAAAGAGAAAAATGCACCAATGGAAACATACATCATAATATACATAAGCCGAAGACACAAACAGAAAAAGGAAAAAAAAAAAAGCAAGTGGGAGGAGCTGGGATTTTGAGCTGAGGAGACCAAATTGCCCCACTTGAGGTCTCTCTCTCCCATGGCTTCTTTTCTCTCTCTGGCTTAAGAATTGAATCAGTAAGCTCCACCATTCTCGCCGTCTTCTTGCGTTTTCTCACCTCTGATTCTCTCACTTCAATTTCTCAAGGTTAGAATCTTCGATAGTTGTGAAAGAAGGTTGCTTTTCCGGCATGTATTTGACAAATTATGGATCTGGGTTTGCTTTTTTGAGTCCCAATTTTGGTGGGTGTTCCTTAACTTTTACTTTTTCTCTCCGCGGAGTTGCTTCTCGGTTTTGTATTTGTTTGCTGTGGGTTTTTTTTTGCCGTTAATTTCATGCAGGTTTTCAATTTAGAGATTTTTTTTTTCTGGTGTTTAGGGTTTATTGTTATCGATTAATTGGCGGCATCTCAGTCGTTTAAAGCTTTAGAATTTTGTTTTTTTTGCATGTAATTTCATTCTGTTTTGAGAGCCCAGTTTGAATTCTAATTGTCCTTTTGTGCTGGTCATGAATTTCACTTTTTTTGCTTTAAAATTTCCGATGCACTATGAACAAGCTGAGATTTTTTAAGTGTCTCTGAGTTTGAACACGTGTGCACCTGCTGACTTTTCAGATCCATGAATCGTGGGGGAAGAAATGAAGATTTTCGTTGGAAGCTTTTGATCTCTTGATGTATACAGTATACTTGTCCAGATACATAGCACTATTTTTTCCACACGTGCCTACCATTTTCAAACTCCACCAGCTGTTATCACAAAGAACCTTCTACAGTCTTGTGACTTCGACCGCCGCTTCGAACGCCCGTACATGAGCAGAAATCAAATATTTTGACTTGGTTAAGAGAACTTTCACAAGCTATAGGTGCTATTTAAAAGGTTATACAAAACCATAAGAATCCGAGATCCGATAGTTTTTTTTCTGATTACTTTGGGAATCGAAGTCCCGTATGGCTGTTGTCAAGAGCAACAACTATACTTCGTCCTCGTTTCGTTCTTGCAGTTGTTACGGAGGTCCTAGCTTAAGAGACAGTATTCTAGATGCAAATAAAACAGGGACACTATCCGACAAATACGTTCTTGGAGAACAGTTGGGCTGGGGACAATTCGGTGTTATAAGAGAGTGCATCGATAAAGTCAGCGGCGAAATTCTAGCTTGCAAATCTATTGCCAAAGATAGATTAGTCACTCAAGAAGATGTGCGCAGTATCAAACTCGAGATCGAAATCATGACTAGGTTGTCTGGGCACCCTAATGTAGTCGATCTAAAAGCTGTCTACGAGGAGGAAGATTACGTTCATCTAGTGATGGAGCTTTGTGCTGGAGGCGAGCTTTTCCACAAGCTGGAAAAGCACGGAAGGTTCTCCGAGCCCGAGGCTCGGGAATTTTTCAGACACCTCATGCGAGTGGTGATGTATTGTCATGACAAGGGTGTTGTTCATAGAGATTTGAAGCCCGAAAATATACTCTTCTCCACAAAATCATCTTCTTCCCCGATAAAGTTGGCTGATTTTGGCCTAGCAACCTACATCAAGCCTGGTAAAGGTTTAATATGCGTTAATTTAAACATGGGACGACCCGATTTTTTCTTACATTTTTTTTAATCGAAACAGGACAGTGTTTACATGGTACAGTTGGCAGTCCATTCTATATAGCTCCAGAGGTTCTTGCAGGAGGGTATGATCAAGCTGCTGATGTATGGAGTGCCGGTGTGATACTTTACATTCTTCTAAGTGGGATACCCCCATTTTGGGGGAAAACTAAATCCAAGATATTTGATGCTGTTAGGGCTTCAGACTTACGATTTCCGTCTAATCACTGGAGTTTTATATCGGATTCAGCTAAGGAATTGATAAAGGGGATGCTTTGTAAAGACACTTCTAGAAGGCTTACACCTCAGCAGGTTCTAGGTATAGATTCATCGTATTCTGTTGTTATACCATACTCTGTTTTCTTTAAAAAAAATAGTAACCAGTTGTTAAAATAATCTGTTTTCTTGTACAGATCACACCTGGGTGAAGAACATGGCGCCACTTCCCGATGAACCACGTAAAAGTGGTGAACGAATTTGTGAACTTGATTTGGGGCAGAGTTTTTTGCCCCCTTCTGTAATGGCAAGGAATCAGGATATTAGTTTCGGAATGGGATCACACATAGATTGTGAGGTTCAATCACCAGCGTTCACGTGCAAATCGTCATTTTCTTCTCTACCGTCGGATCTGATGTCGCCTTCTTCACTCGGGTTTTCTTTCCATAGTAATGCCGAATCAAATAGCCTCGAGTTTTCCACCCCCGTCATTGCACTACCGAGCTTTGCCTTCATTAGTTCAAGCTCTGTGGTTGAACAAATTTTGTCTAGAGGTAATTTATTTAAACAAGCTTTTATGTCGTGCTAGAGTTTATACATATATGTAAAAATGAAAATCGTTGTGAATAAATTTTATATGTGGCAGAGGATGAGGTGGACGTGAAAATAGTCGAGGGTAGAAAGGTTGGGGTTAGAATGGTGGGGTCCCACAGCAGGAGGAACCACACGATTGGGTTGGGTGAATTTGAACAGATTGATCTTGTGGTGACTGAATCAGTTATTCGATGGGCTTCGTGTACTCATCTTCCAACTGCTACCTCGTTTAGGTCTTCACTTGTTTTCTGAAAAGAGAAAAAAAACAAAAAAAAGATTGCAGCAAACTAACAGTTGGATCGGCTTGCTTTAACCTTATGATGATTGGACCGGATTCTGGTACAAAAAGAAAATTGAAGGATCATCGGTACATTGGTGGTTTCATGAGTAATGTTTCTGTTTTCCGATAATGAGCCATTATGCATGCGTGTATAGAATTTGATCTATCTAGAGTTTCTTTTTTTTTTCTTTTTTTTTTAACGGTTCTTGTTAGTTGTCTGAATTCGTGCTTGTTTGTATCCCTCTTTACGCCGAGTGGTATCAATTTGCAGCTTCATATGTAATGTGTATTGGACTCTTGTTTCATTCATTTTCAGTGAAATTAGTGGATGATTTAGTCCACATGATTTAACTTTCTTAACACCTAAATTGGATAATGGATTAGTGGAAATTTAATTTTAAAGTACAGTTCATCAATGTTTATTTATGAATGGAAAGTTTCCTTCTTTAAATGTCATAATTTAAGCTTACTTTATGGTAAGGAGCCACAAAAAGATAAGAAAACCCCTACTCGTGGACTCGTATTGGCCTCATATCACACTATCAACCACAAAAATTCTCAGAGAAATATATATATATATATATATATATATAACACTGGCAGGAAATCATTTACACATAAACTGCAAGACCAAATAATATGGTTTGCCAGATTCACAGTCTGAATAATCATCCTCAACTTATACATAAAAGAACATGTTTTTCATTCCGACCAAATCCCGTACTCCTCAGAACAACCCTTTTCTCCGCACGCAACAATCTTAACAGCGACGAACAAGTTTCAACCGCCACGGTCAAGCAAACACAAATCCAGAAATCAGACATATACAACGTTAGGTTCAAAACTCTAAGCGCCTGCAAACTCGGTATTTCGAGGTACCCCGATTTCGATTACAATGCCGAAGGGGGCGTGGGGTCCGCCACAGCAACAAGAATATCCAAAACAGATTCCGACGACGAATTCTCCGTTGTTTTCGACGTAAATGAACTGTATATTCCGCCACTGTCAAGTGCCACAACTAAGTTCTTAGGGCTACCATTGCCACCTTTCTTGAAAATCGACATTGTCCCAGAATCCTTCCAAGGCAAAATCAACCAACAATCCGGCAAGGTAGAATCTTTTTCAACTTATTCATGGAAATAAACTATGTTGCATGTCCTAAAAACACAATCTTTTTGCTGTTTTTTTTGGAAAGGTTGATCTGAAGTTCAGGGCAAGATTCTGCTTCTCGTTCGGAAGCATCTACAAAGCTCCGCCGCTACTTGTGGAGACGATTTTAACATCGGAAGAATCAAAAGGAAAAATTAGAGGAGGAAAAGGAGAGAGATTGGATAAAAATGGATTATGCAGACTTGTTGGGGTTGCCACAGTTGATCCAATTAATGATGTTTTTATGGACACATTCCTTAGCCTTCCTACAGAATGCCTCGCTGTTATGAGTGCCGTTATCTCGTTTTCAACCACTGCTTAAATAGTTGAATAGACACATTAGATATGTCCGAATGAATAAACGATATACTGATCGATTGATGTATTTGATGTTTCAAGAATTCGTACAAAATATTCGCGACATAATTTTTTTTATTACTCAAATGCGAGTCTTTGAGTGCCGACGAGAGAAGCGTAATCGCCCTTCTTTTCCAACAGCTGCGAGTGTGTTCCTAGTTCCGAAACCTTGCCATCGGAGCATAAGGCAATTTGATCAGCATTTTGAACAGTGCTGAGTCTGTGTGCAATCACTAGAGTTGTTCTTCCCTTCATTAAACGATTCAAAGCATCCTGTACCAAACGCTCACTCACTGTATCCAAAGCACTGGTCGCCTCGTCAAGAATCAAGATCGGAGCATTCTTTAGCAATGCCCTTGCAATGGCTACTCTCTGCAAAAACGGGAGATGGCTTAGCGCGCGCGCACATGTGTGTGTGTGTGTGTGTGTGTGTGTGTCAGAGAGAGAGAGAGAGTACCTGTCTTTGTCCTCCACTTAACAAACCCCCACGCTCGCCGACCAATGTGTCGTAACCCTAATCGAAGAGCAAACAAATGAGCAGAAGTACGAGAAATGGAAAAAAAAGTAGGACTATTTTTTTGAAGTAGAAGAAAAGCTGGCTCACCTGTGGCAGTGAAATTATAAAATCATGAGCATTTGCTGCTTTGGCAGCAGCGATGACATCATCCTTGGACACGTCATCATCCGGAAGCCCATAAGCTATGTTTTCTCCAACAGAAACAGAGAACAATACAGGTTCCTATGGGCAGTTCACAAAACATACTCGTATCAGACATGTGTGTGTGTGTGTGTGTGTGTGTGTGTGTGTGTGTGTGTGTGTGTGTGTGTGTGTGTGGAGAGAGAGAGAGAGAGAGAGAGAGAGAGAGAGAGACTTGATTGACTATGGAAACCACACGAGCCCATTCACTCTTATCAAACGACCGCAGATCCTCTCCAGAAACAGTTATGCGGCCTTTAGTTGGCTGCAAAATCAAAGCTCGTTTTCCCAGTTTATTCATCGCAGATAATATAATACATTTCGCAATTCAACAATTAAAACAAATATATCTTAACCTCGTAAAACCGAGCTAAAAGCTGCACTACTGTACTTTTGCCAGCACCGCTCGAACCAACTAGCGCAGTCACAGTTCCACTTTTCAAAGTTAGGTCAAGACCTTGCAAGATTTCCACATCAGGCCTTAGCGGATACGAGAAATGAACATCTGCAAGACAACAAAAACTTCGTTCAAATTGCAAAAATCACCACCATGAAAATACCTTATTAATCATGCATCAACGTGTTGTACCTTCGAGGCGAATATCACCGCACTGCGCGAGGCTACACACATCGCTAGCAGATTTTAAGGAAGACATGTACCCGACACTATTTGTTCGCAATTTTCCTTTGGAACTATTGAACAGAAGAGCTTCGATGTTCGGATCGGGCAATTTCTTTCGTTTCAAGTCCTTTTGTAAAGCATAAGCTAGTGCTTCGTCAATTTCAGCACCGGATAAAACGGAGTTTATTCTTTCCGTAGCAGCAAATGCTCCACGGAGATCCCCCAACGTGTTCACCACCCCTTGAACCTACAAGAATTTTTTTTTAATTTTTTTAATTTTTTTTCATTTTTAGTATATGGAAATGAACAAACGAAAAGCAAAATTGGACGGAGCACAAAAAATAGTACTCACGGCAAACGTTAGCGTAAAAGTGTAACCGATAAAAGAAACCATGGTTCCGACTGCAAGTTCGCCCTGCATGCAACAAATCAACATTTTTCATTAGCAGCTGTCAAGTTTAAGATAAACGAATCAACGGCTTTGAACGAAAAAAAAAATTCCGGAAGAAATTCTTACAGCTTTGACTTTGCTCCCTCCGAGACAATACAAAGCCATTAGAGAGATGTAAACAGCAACCCTAGTGATGGATTCGTTGATGGACTTAAATACCCCTAGTGTTATCCCACTGCTCTCGTATTCAAGAACCTGAGGAATTCCAATTCCGTGCTAAGGCATAGTAGAGACTTTTGATTACAGAACTGTGTAATAATATCAAGTAGTGTTCTTTACCTGCCGACCGAAGAGTGACATTTGACGCTTTTCTCCCCCGAACGATCTTACCTGAAAGAACAATCATTATAATTTAGCACACAAACTATATATTAGATGCTATTAACTGCGGAAAAAAGAAATAAAAAATTAACATTTACAAAGATATTAGGAGCTTACAGTGCGTATAGCAGCAAAAGTTTCGGTAACACAGTCTGCTATGGAGGCTGCAGCAGATCCATGAGCTTTAAAGACATTTACGGTTGTTCGTTTATATACAGCTGCAAAATCCATACATGTTGGTGGACTGCCCCCGGAAAAAGAAAAGAAAAAAATAAATCTCAGAAATGACGAAACACTTACCAACTAGTACAGACACTGTAAGCATTAGGCCGCCTAAAATTGGTGCCAGCTGTATCGAGAGTGCAAATAGTAAGCAGAGTGTGCCGATGACCTGCATGAAAGATGATGTGGACAAAACGGTCATTAATAATTCAAGTCAAAAAATTGAAAATTTATCGGAACTAGAATTTGCGCATCGAAGCTTATACAAGTAACACTTAAAAAATATTCAGAATACTGATCTCACACCAGCACAAAATTTCACAAAATATAGTCGGAGAAAGGAGAAATTTTGCCACTAATTCTCCAATCAAGAAAAAGGGTGAGAAATAGTATTAATATTAATTTTAGCTCACTTTTGCATAGTGTAGAATAGCTTGCCTCGGAAATTGCCCTGAAACCACGGTCTCTTGATATATTATCGCTGACAATGCTTTTCAGAGAACCCAAATCGGATGTCAATAAAGCAGTTAGTTCGCCCACCTGCGCGGAAAATATAACACGAACACATATCAAAGATCGCACTTTTGGTGCCACTACGAACCCGTGTTAACTGCACGCTCACAATTTCTCAATGCAGCATTCGTTAAAATGAACTATTTGCGCTGCCACTTAAAAGATAACAATAACTTATGCATTTATTGTCTGCCCGATTGGAAATATTTATCAGAAATCGACGAATATACCTTGTACCGGTCAAAAAACTCCACCTGCGAAGACAAATAGATAGATATGTATATCAGAAATCGGACACAAACGAAAATTGTAGTCATCGGTCATCATTACGAAAAGGGGATAGTGTACCTTCTGAATCAAGACCCTTTGAAATATTTGAGCTCGTAAGCTAGCCATAACCTTCTCCCAAATGCCATTCATATTGATCACGAAAATAATCGTAAAAATAGGCTCAAATACGTATAGCACCCCCACTTTACTCAGCAGTTGCCAAATCGGTTCCGGTCTAACCCCAATTAGAACTTCGAAAAATCTCCCTGAAACACAATCAATCACAATATGTATATAAACAGCAATCCAAACAGGCCCTTCTTCATTATTTACAAAATATAACAACTTCTGCAACAAACATACCAGAATATATAGGCATAGCAAGTGTACAAGTTGTGCAGGCGAAAAGAGTGAGAACCGAGATCAAGACTCTCCATTTATGCCGCGAAACGAGCTTCCACAGCAGCCCCCAGCTTATCAAATCAATCGGCTGCAGCTCCACGGTATCTGAGCCGTCGATCTTCGGGTCGTTTTCGGACACGATTGCGTCGAAAGCGGGGCCCGAAACATAGGCCCGGCTGATGATTCTTGATCTCTGGCCGGGTTTTGCCCAAGAAACTGAAGAGGGCAGGAAAGAAACCCTTTGATGAGAGTTGGGTATGTTGCTGAGTTTGAGCTTTATTCTAGGGCTTTTGTTGTTGTAGTTGAGGAAGCGTTTTGTCGGTACGAGGTTGAGAGGAGGGATGAAGGAAGAAGCTGCTGTAACCGCCATTTTTGGTGATGGGTTTCTTAGTGTGTGCTCCATTGGATTCGTACAGGCAGCAAAAGAATGTAAGGAAAATTTTCTTGATTATTGTTGAATACAAGATTTGATAACTCTTTTTATCCACAAGGTCCAAATCATGAATTTAGGTCCAACTCAAATCAAATTTAAAGGAAAAAAAAAATTAAAAAAATATCTGAACGGTCAGATTAATTATCTCAACTAGCAATACTTTAGATCTTATGTGAAATTAATGTTCAATTTAATTAAGAATAAATAGCATTTAACCCCATGTAGTTTGAAATTTATGCACCCGAGCCCTTATACTTCCAATATAGCACATAATTCCCTTGTATTTTAATTTTAATTTTTAACACATACACCTTGTATTTTCAAAAATTGATTCTTCTTAATGAGCATGATAATTTACCGAGTGGGATATCATAGGGGACTTTTGTTCTTATATTAAAAGTATAGGGAGCCTACGTGCAGAAAATTCAAACTATAGAGGGTCATGTGCACAAAAAACTTAAACCACAGGGGGTTAAGTGCTATTTAACTTTTGTTTTATTTTAGGGAATAGTTTATATGTCAATAGACAACTTACTTTAAAAAAAATTATCTTAAGGCATTGGATCATGAGTTGTTTTTTTTTTTTTCCTTTTATATAATTGACATGTAATGCTTGCAATAGGGCTGAAAATTAGTGCTAGTTAATTTGGTGTTATGACAATAATCATTAATTTATTCATTTGCAACAGTTTTGTTGATAATTGTACAGACCAAGAAAAAATGGTGTTACACTACCCATTATAATAATATTTCTTATAATTAAAATAAACAAATATATTACTTTATCTCATAATACAAATTATAAAAAAAAAAAAAAAAAAAAAAAAAAAAAACCAGAGTGCCAAATTTAAAGCAGGAGAATGCAACAGTTGTACCTTGAAGAATCTCTTGTACAGTACAACTCCTCTTCGCTGCCGTTCTCTTCCACCACCCACTGTCACACCCCTCTCCAAACAAACCAAAAATTAAGAAATCCAGAATTCAATTTAAAAGAAAAGCCAACAAAAGATTTTCACAGTTTGATTATTTACTACCCTCAATCCTTCCAGGTAGATAATTAGATACAGTCTAGGTGTATCTATCATCTCTTCCCCCCTGTCCAATGGGAAGCTGATAAATCAAAATCGTATCTTTGTTTCCTCAGTAACTAGAAAAGTTTTCAAGCTCTGAGAAAAACCCACAACCCCTCTTTCCGACTTTTTCCCTCTCATTTACTTGGTCTCCGGCGTTGATTGGAGTTGCAAATCTGATGGCGCGACGACGTTTTGTTCTTTTTCTGGTTGCCCTCTCCTGCTTTGCCGGATCGCTCAAAGCCAGCCCCGGTGATGCTGATCCGGTGTACCGGTAAGCTTTTTTCATCTTGTCAAGCTGAGAAAGTTGAATTTTGTTTGCTTCTGATTTCTGGAGTTTCTAGAATCTGAAATCTGACTGATTATTAAGGTTTTATTGAACTGATAGGTAATTGCTCCATAGATGGTTTAATTGTTTGGGGAATCGAGCTTGAATTAGGATCACTGGGTTGAATGATTTAGATAGATGCAATAATCGACTGCAGTTATATGTAATGGGTTTTGTTGGTGTTTATGTTATTTGTGATCGGTGCATTTTGATGCATCCATGGTGTTTGTTTTATTGCTTCTTTGAAGGTTTCATTGCGGTATTGTCGAATTACTCAAAACTTGTGGATTTCTAGCACGTTCCGAGATCTCTCAAATCCAATCGAACTCTCAACTGAACTTTCGGATCTTAATAAGTTCGAAGTAGAAATCATACTCGTAGAAAAATCTATGTTAAAACCATTCCGAAAGTTTCACATCCCACTGCTCGATACTTAAAACTGATGAGTGTTCTGCAATTCAACATTCTTCAACGTACAATCTGACAGGCTTAATAGCAAAACGAATAGCAACCTTTGAATTTCATAGATTTAATTCTACAATATTATGTCATCTGCAACTGTTTCGTGACAACTTTGCAATTCACATTGCACTTGTTTATTGGAATCGAACCCCAGTCTTTCGTTTGTATACTCATGTGGCTAATGGAACTAATCCGTTAATTATTCTAAATGTTTGATGGTACTGCTGATAGGGGTTGTGTTGAGGAATGTGAGAAGACTGGATGTGTGGGGGAGAAATGCTTTCAGCACTGTACTTTTTCCTCTGACGGTAACCCGATTGACGGGCCATGGTATTTGCAGGAGCCACTTTACATACAGTGGAAGCAGTGGGACTGCCTTAGTGACTGTCGTTACCACTGTATGCTCTCTAGAGAAGAAGAAAAACACAAACTTGGCTATCAGCCTGTAAAGTACCATGGAAAGTGGCCATTCAAACGTATTTACGGGATCCAGGTAAAAAGAAAAAAAAAAAAAAAAAGGGTGTCTCTGTGTGTGTGTGTGTTGGGGGGGGGGGATATTTTTCTTTGACCACCATGGGGAATTTGGCCAGTCAACCGTATTCATGTAATGTTTGCATTTATCCTATTTACTAAGTGTATTTTTTCTTTTTCTTTTTGTGTGATTTAGGAACCAGTTTCAGTGGCTCTCTCTGCACTTAATCTTGCAGTACAATTTCATGGATGGGTATCTTTTTTCATCCTGGTGCACTACAAACTGCCTTTTAGGCCAAACAAGAAGACGTATTACGAGTACACGGGCCTGTGGAACATATATGCCGTCTTTGCAATGAATGCCTGGTTTTGGAGTGCAGTTTTTCACAGTCGGTGCGTATCATCGGTTCCTTCATTTACTTTTGTTTCCTGCATAGTAGAAGTGTCAGCATAAGGTTTATTGAAGTATTCCACACATTTGCTGCCATCTTAGCGCCGTTATATATTATAATCAAGAAAGTGTTCATCGGTTTCTTCCTTTACATAAGATACCCCTGTTTGCCTCTATATTAATCTTTGAATGATTGTCTACAAATTTGACTTTTTAGTCCTCATTTGGGAATGCTGATGTGATTGATAAGATCGATTGAATTGGTTATAGCTATGTTGTCCATGATAACGTAATATGTGATTATATCATCCATAAAATTGTGTAATATTAAGGAGTTGAGTTTGGACTCAATATCCTTCATTAAAAATACGGGCGCTTACTTCTTTTTTATTTATTTATTTATTTATTTTTTATCATGGCTTGAAACCTCGGTTCCAAACATTTGATAAGCCTTGATTACTCATCTGATTTTGAAACTGCCGGATAAATATGCTAGTTCCGATTTTAATCTTGAGAAATTGTGTAACTATTATATGCAGAGACGTAGATTTGACGGAGAAGCTAGACTACTCATCCGCGGTGGCATTACTTGGATTTTCCCTCATTCTTGCAATTATCCGAGCTTTCAATGTTAGGCTCGAAGCTGCTAGGGTCATGGTCGCCGCTCCCTTAATTGCTTTCGTCACAACCCATATCTTGTATTTGAACTTCTATCAGCTCGACTATGGTAAACAAACCCCCCACCACATTTTACTTACGTTAAAACCCTAATCTTTCTTTGCATATATAAATAAATCTCATAACGGGGGCTCGATCAATTCGTTGCAGGATTGAACATTAAAGTATGTGTGGCGATGGGTATAATCCAGATGGTTATATGGGCCGTTTGGGCGGGTATAACCCGTCACCCTGCCCGTTGGAAGCTGTGGGTGGTTGTACTTGGAGGCGGTCTTGCTATGCTGTTAGAGATATACGATTTCCCTCCGTACAAAGGACTTGTCGACGCGCATGCACTTTGGCATGCAACCACTATTCCACTTACTTATCTATGGTGGAGTTTTGCGAGGGATGATAGTGAGTTCAGAACCAATGCTCTCATCAAGAAGACTAAGTAGTTATGCTGTTTATCGTGCAAAATTAATTCCGTTGTCGACTTGTTTCTTGAAAATGTATTATCTTTCGTTTATTTTCTTTAGAATTTGATCATGTGGTGGGTTTTTCGTTCTTTTTTTTTTCTTTTTTTTTTTGCTCACAATTGATAGTGTTGTGGGTTTCTTTCTTGTCTGAATAGATTTGATGAGGTTGAATAGTTGTCTCATTTTCCACTTTGACTATGCTTACAGGTTTTCCTTATTCTTGAAAATGTTGACAATAGTAGTTACTTTGTGTACTGTTATCTGAATCTCAGGTTTTTGAATTGATTATTTTGTATATTCTTATTTCACATTTACCAATCAAGGGGGTTGCAATTGCACCCCCCAATATATATATATACCGTACTACAAAAAAATTAAGTACGGATGATTAAAGAATTCTCTAAACAAAATTTTTGACCAGCTAAACCTAACTAATTCAAACTAGAAACATTTTTTTTTATTCTTTTGTATGTGAAAAATCAAAAGGAATAACTCCATAAAGACACGTCAGCATCAGCTTCCACTTGATCAGTGTACTGAGGCGGAGGCAGCATCATCCCCTCAGCCATATTTGTGAGCAATTCATGCATTCCAAACAACGCTTCTTCATCCATAAACCACGCGTTTTCCTCCACCGCCGCCGCCGGAACTGTAGCGGCTTCCTCCTCTCTTGCTTCGTGGCAGGTTTCCTCCTCCTTTGCTTCGTGGGTTTCCTCCTCCTTTGCTTCGTTTCCCGACTCTGAGTCATCATATAACTGAGGCCGGAAAGCCTCCGCCGCCTCTGCCGCCGCCTTTTGGATGTCTTTGGCAGTGGCAGACGCCGGCACCGGCAGCCTCCAAGCAGAGTCGGCGAAGTTCAGGCAAGCCAACCGCCCTCTTAAAGCCAGCGCAGCAACGTCGTGGGCACGCGCCGCCATCTCGACGGTGGGGAAAGTACCAAGCCAGATTCTGGTTTTCTTGTTGGGCTCCCTAACTTCGCAGACCCACTTCCCCGAGTTCCGGCGACGCACTCCTCTGTAAACAGGGTGCCTCGTCTCTCTGAACTTCTTCCGACCAGCCCGCTTCTTCGGATTGTTGGAAGCCAAAATCACTTCGTCGTCAGAAAAATGGGGTTTCGAGCAGGGGCTTCCGTTGTCGGAGCTGGAAGATTCAATGAGCGGCGCCGCCGCCGCCTCAGGTGAAGACGAAGATGACCAGAAATCTTGCACGCCGCCAATAAAAGTTTGATCTGATGAGTAATAGCTTGCGAACATCTGCATTCTTGAATGAAAAGTGCTTTTGTTATAAGTTGGTGAATTATTTCTGAAGTTGGTATTGTCTGTTTGGTTTTGGGGGCACAAGCTATATTTATATATAAGCTAGTGAGAAGCAGAAGCAGTGATCATTCAAACAATATAATAAACTGATTAATAATACGCTTTCGACACGAGTACGAATAATATACGTACACACGTGAATGTGGATAAGCTCTAAGCTCTCATTCGTGGGGGCCCACTTCCCAAGGCAGCTTCACACGGTTTGTACCTTTACTTAATTCACAAATTTAATAGATTATACTAGTAAATTCCACTTTCCCCCTTGTACTTTGACTCTATATCATTTTACCCCCTTCTACTATCGATTTGCCCACATTTACTTGAAAATTGTCTCAATGTGGCCCTCGCAGTTAGCTTTCAAACATTTGACATTAACACCGTTTGATTTAAGCTGTGAAATTACAAAACCTCACTGTCCTAGTTTAAATAATTATTAAAAAGACAAAAAAATTAAAATAAAAAACAAAAAATAAAATAATAAAAAAATCAAAACAACGGGAAACCATAGTCCACGACGCCAATCACACTTTACTTTTTATTTTTTTAATAATTATTTAAATTAGGAGGGATGGTTTTTTTGTAATTTTAAGACTTAGATCACTTGATGTTAATGTCAAAGATCTGCAAACTAACGGCGATGGCCACATTGAGATAATTTTTAAAGTACATAAGGGCAAATCGACGCAATCAAGAGTACGAGGGATAAAGTGAGATTGAGCCAAAGTATAGAGGAAAAATGAAATTTACCCTAAATTATATAACGAGTTGTCGTTTGGCCTTTTGGGTGACAGGTAATGTACAACTCTCCAAAGCACTCGTATGATTCGCCACGTGTCAATATCTTAATTAACAAGTCAGACATTAATTATCAAAAAAAAAAAAAAAAAAAAAGTCAGACATTTGAAATTTCCTCTTCGAGGCCAAAATCTTGTGTGTAGACTGTAGACTGTAGACTGTAGACTATGGTCCTTTCCTTTTCTTATACTATATAAAGGGTAAAAATATCTTAAAATACCAAAATTACTGTTTTGTCCTCAAATATTATTATTTTATTCTAAAAATATTATAAAATATCTTCTTTTACACTTGATCATATATTTATGAAATAATTTTTGTTTCATTCTCTTGCCTAAAATATCTTAAAGAGTTTTTTATAATTATAAATTAATGTAGTAATTAATAATGATGACGATGATTGGTGACTTAAGAAATGAATGTAAGAGGAAGGTCCTGGTGGTGAGTGGTATGTGGCTAAGAAACAGCTACCAGTCAACTGAAGAGCAAATCCACAAAACGACAAAATTCAACTTTTTAGATTTCTAACACACGGGTTATACTTATACTTATATATATATATATATATATAAATTATAATCATATACACACCTGGCAAGGTCCGTAGCTAGCTTCTCCCACGGAATAATTAAACGCGTGAACACGTGTCCATTTCCAAGAGCATCCAGCTAGCTAATACACTGAGTCATAGTCCCAATGAACTCATCGATGACATATTTGATTACATGTGCCTATGGGCCCCACTTTCTTGTACGTTCCTTAGTACCGGTCATCAATTCATCACTTGTAGCTAATTAACTTGATATAGTTTATATTATACACTTTAATTATATTGTCACTCATTCGTATTATACAATATACTCCTATAATAGCCCATTCATACATCATTTCTAATCTAATTTATTTGAAACACCTCATTCATTTTTCGGCTTATTGGCCTCATGGGCTGATTTAGTTGGATGAGTTTATGGGTTTTTATTTCTTTAAGTTGGGTCTTAACTAAACTAGGCACATCTATATTATAGTACAGGTAAACTTGCTCGCATCGTTTGGAATATTTTAGGTGGCCCAGATCACTATACATCTACAAGTAATTAAATTAATGGGTGAATCTCTTTAATCTAATATTGTAAATCTATTAAAGTTGTTAATTCTACTCATTATTCGTTCGTTAAATTCGATGAGCATAGCTGATTCAAGTTTCAAATGAGTATTAGGACTTTCGGCGAAGTGGTACAACATAGATTTTGTGCATGATTATACAAGTTATATCAATAAACATATAATCCTACAGCTGATTAATGCATCTACATCTAATACCGAGGAGTCAACGCTATCTAATTATTTTCAAATATACTCCCTCCTAATAAACTACTAGTGTACACAAACTAACTAATTCATAACGAACTCTACTATTGTCAATCTCATTCAATTATGCACTATTTTTTTCCCCAATCAACATTATTCCAATATGGTCATATTACTTGCATTTAACTCTATATTTTTTTTTTCTATTATGTAATTAACATATAGTTATTTTTCTTGAAATTCAATAAAATTAAGTTGAAAATTCATGTGAAGGACAGAGAAATGAAAGTAGAGGAAAAAAATTGCACTTCAATTGGTAATAGAATAAGAGAACAAAATCGTGTTTTCAGTAATGCTGTGAGATTTGACCGGTTGAGTGACACTCACACACGGGGTTGACAGTTAATAACCGCCAAGAGCCGGTGGTGGTTGTATTTTCCCCACGGAAGCGCGTGGCCCACGTGCGAATTTGATGGGCCCAATAATGAAACTTCCTGAATTGAGTGATACAGGCCCATACGCCCACTTTCAATTAGTCTGACTTTTTTTGTCGTTTTCTGCATTCAATTCTCGAGCAATCAATCAGACAGCAAAAAGTTGTCAACTTTGATTGTCCGAAGATCAGCTGTTGGGCCCGTTGATTCTAGCCCTAATTGTTAGGCCCATAATTAACTTTGTCTTATATAATGAGAATTTGTTTGTAATTCAGTCTCCGTCTTTAACCATGGCTTTGAGCCCATAATAATTCAGTGGCATGTTTGGGTCATCTTCCCTATTATTTCGAAAAAGTGAGTCACCGGTTCAGGTACAAGGTACTATCATATCTGCCTGGATAATTAGACTAACCCGTAATTGCAATTACCCAATAGCAAGAGCGGATCTCTACCAATTGAGCAATATTTCCCCAAGCCAAGTGGAGCATGCCTGAAGTAGTCAGATGTTTCTTCTATTATTTTTCCTGGCGCAGTTAGGCCATCATGGACTTACAAAGATCTCATCACCCGTGAAGTAATTCATCGCACCTACAGTCCGTCCAACCAATTGTGAGAGAATCAATAGATTCGTTACTTCATGAACTTATCACTCACTGTCAATGTTACTAATTATCAATTATCGCAGTTAATACAATAACCCTAAATTTTTGTGCACTATGACTATCTGATTGGACAAATAATTAACAAAATCACGAGCAATTTGTTGTGTTGACACGTCAATCAATATACGACAAAATTATTATACACCTAAAGATGTTTGAAAATTGAAACCAATTTTCTTTATTTTTCATGATTTTGATATTTGCAATAATACTAACTACAGTTAAACCTCTATAAATTAATATAGTTGGGACCATCAAAATTTCATTAATTTAGCGAAATATTAACTTATCGATAAATTAATAATTATTAATTTATACATTAATTAATAACTTATTAATTTATAAAAATACTTTTATTATTATTTTCGATAAACACATTTTTTTTATATTTTTTTACGCGTATATTATTTGTTATACCATTAATTCAATGTACTATAGAGCCCGTTTCACGAACAGAAGTTCTTAAAGCACCAATGATATATAAAGATTTTATGTTGAGTTATGAGAAAACTATACCGAAAGTTCTAACTGTGTTAAGTAAAGTGAGGGATGAGATTGATGGTAATGTGAACTTCAACAAGAAACAAACGACAATTAAATTAAATTGTATTAAGCCTTCATAAATCTATAAATATGTACTTGTATACCATGTAATTTAAGATTTTTTTATGCATTATTAATTTATATAATATATGGGGCTTCTTAAAATTTTCGAATGTGTATTATCTTATAAATTTAGCGAATTATTAATTTAGCACGTTGTCCCCGAGTCGGGACCGGGAAAATTTATTATTTAAGCGAAGTTATTAATTTATCGGGTATTAATTTATCGAGGTTCTACTGTAGTAAGAAAGAGAAAAAAAAAAGATATTCGGAATAAAATAATTTAATACGATTGTCCGATTAGTGGAAGGAGAATCCTCATTCAAAACCTTTGCTGTCGGTGTTTTTTGATGAAATGTTCAAAGGTGTTGGAAATAAAAGTAAATAAAAAATATTATATATTCACCAAAAGTAGGAATTGTATATATAAGATATGTTTTTTATTTATATTTTGTCGTATTAGCAGCTTTTTGAACAGTTTTCCCCATGGTGAATTTCTTTTTTAAATTTTAAGTGGGGATTAATAATATTAGTACTTACCTTAATTAATTCGTTCGAGGAATGGATAGATAGCAATTGGGTTATTTCTATCCTACACCCGGTGAAGGTTACACCGGGTGATTTTTCACCGTTGATCTACACACACCAATGTGGGTGTGTGTGTGTTTGTGTGTATATGAATGGTAAAGATCTACCCGGTGTATTTCACCCGGTGTAGGATCTCAAAAGCCAATTGCAATTGAACCATAAACAATTATTGGACCCTTGTCTCTTTAATACAATATGGCTATATTAAATGTTAACATTATTTTATTATTTTATCCGTACCACATTGGGAAACTTTGATTCACCCTTTTCTTGGTCCCTCCCATTTGTGCTCTCCAAATTTGGACCACTACTCAATTTAGATTTTTGTGTTAATTTAATTTATACTATATTTGATTTATTTTTATATTTTTCGAACAAGATATATAATTTATTTAAGGTTACACCAGATTAAATATATCAGGTGATTACCTGTTGATCGGTACATAATCACACGTACGTGCGCTTAATTAATGCTTATGAATCACATAACAACACATAAGAGAGAGAGAAAGAGAGATCTTTCTCAAAATGCGCAAGCTACAATTTTCAAACTGCAAGAAAAAAAACCGAGTTCTTGATGACAATGAACTGGTGTTAAGCAAACAAAAACCCCCATAATTAAAAGATAAATCCACGATTAAGCTTATTATTAATAAGCTGGAAGGGGAAAATAAAAAAAGGGGAGGAAAAAAAACCACAAGGGTGCAAACCAAGATGGCCGGAGGAATTGGTCATAGACGGCAACTCCAGTTCGGACAAGCTTTTGTACTGTACATATAATATATAATATATAATATAATATAATATAGTTCTGGTTATAATCTGCTTAGCTAACCAGGAAATCTTCTCTGATTTTTCAAATTAAATCAACGGTAGCTCCAAAGACCGTCGTTTCTTGAATAATATTCCGGCGACTCCTCGTCGGCGGCGGCCCCAGATTTCATCCGCGGTGGGCTGACAAGCATCCCTTCCGCCATGTCCTCCAACAGTTTGGGCATGTAGAACAGTGCTTCCTCGTCAACAAATTCGTGCCCAGGCGCAGGTGCGCCACTACTGGACGAACCTGCTTCATTTTCCGAGGGCGGCGCGTGAACCACCCGACCATGACCTCCGGCGCCGCCTGTCTGCGGCGCTGCAGCTACAGCCGCAGCGGCCTGGGCAGCCGCGTCGCGTATTCCGGCGGCGGAGTGAGAATCCGGTATAGGGTACGACTGAGCTAAATCAGGGAAGTTAAGTGCAGTTTCCGGTCCCTTCAGCGCCAGAGCCGCCACATCATAAGCAGCTGCCGCCATCTCCGGGGTGGGATAAGTCCCCAGCCATACGCGCGTGGTCTTACGCGGCTGCCGAATCTCCGACACCCACTTCCCACTCCGGTACCTGATTCCACGGTAAACAGGGTGGCGCCCTGATGTTGGTGAGGAAACTGGCGGCTGCTGCCGGCGGAGTGACGGCGGCGGCGACAGGTTTTCTTGAATGGGCGTCGTACTATTAATATTTTCATAATCAATAATGAGTGGGTTTGGTGAAGAATAGTAGTAGTTTTGGTGGTTATTATCCATGCACTAGAATTTGGAAGAATATCTTTTTAAGGCTTCTTAATTAGGACATGTTGAAAAAGAAGTTGCATGATTTTGGTTCTTTATAAGGGAAAAAGCGCGGGGAATTCGCGGGGGCCCATTTTAGTGGGGTTTATTTAAATTAAATTGTACGCTGTTTTTTTTGAGGATATTATGATTATGAATTGAAGCTAGCTTCATATTAGCTGTTTCAACTGGCCCCTACTTTCTTCACACGATTTTCACACTCTCCTTCTTCCATACTTCCTTTTTTCAAATCATTATTAATACTGTTTTATTTTCTACTATCAACTGCCAGAGTTTTAATTTGTTTTTTTTTTTCAACTTTTGGCATATATATAATATATATATATATATATATATATATATATATATATATATATATATATATATATATATATATATATATAATTGACATATATATGTTTCATTACAGAACAGTGAATGGTCCTAGCTTGGGGAAAAGCCAACCCTGATCAGAAGGTGCTGAAAACAATCATATTGCCCTCAGGTGAATTTTGTGTTAATACTACTTTTCTATTTTAAAGTGATCTGTCTTTATAATAAAATAATAATAATAGTACAAAGATATTATTTTTTTTCAAATTTAGATCCCAATAATTACTAATTTAAAATCAACCCATTCATTAATTTAAAAAAATAAAAGATGAATAATTATCATGACTTGGTAGTTTTAAAACAGATGGTTGACAGTTGACAGTTGACACCACCTATTTATGTTGGGCTAAGCATTTGGGCCGCCTTTCAATCAGGACCGTAGAAAGGAGTCCACGTCAGATTTGATGGGCTAGATTATGGGCCGCCTTTCAGGATTATGAAATGAGTCCACGTCAGATATGATGGGCTCAATCCAAAAGCAACCACATTCGGTGTGTACTGTAGACGGCGTATTATTTATTTATTTTTATTTATTATTGTAATAAAAAAAAAAAAAAAAACTCGATTTTTATTTTTTGAATGTTCGCACTTGAAATTCGCTGTATGGCTGAAAAACCCACAGCCTCACACACACACACACACACAACACACAGTAGCGAGTGATCATGAAAGCTCTGTCATCTCCATTCCCAATCTTCGGCCCGAACCCTAGAAACCCGCACCTCCCCCTCAATTCCCACCTCCTCAAACTCAAATCCGTCGCCACTCAGCCGTCGTGCAAAGCGGCCGCCGTGATTCCTTCCCCGCCCCCGAATTTCAACTTCAGGAATGAAATCCTCGACATCTCCACAGCCGCAATAGCCGAAACTCACCCAGAATTACTCGATTTGGCTACAAACGGAACCTTGGTCCTCATCAGAAAACCCCAATACGGCCCCGTTCCGTCCTGGAGAACTGAGTTTGTTGAGCCGGAGGCGATTTGGATTGTTGGGACAACCCATATTTCACCGGAATCAGCTTCCGATGTCGAAAGGGTTATCAATTCTGTCCGCCCTGATAATGTCGTTGTGGAGCTTTGTAGAAGCAGGCAAGTCTTGCCCTTTTAATAATTCCTCTGTTTTTTTTTTTTTTTTTTTTTTTTTTTTTATAATTTCCCCTGCTAATTGACTCTTCTCAGTTTTTATTCAATCCTGTGAATTCAATCACTCTGTAGTAATTGATTATAATAATTGTGTTAGAGGATTAAATTAATTTTCTATTTATCTAATCTCGAGGGCACGGAACTTTTGGCATATTCGACTTGAGCTCGCTACTTGTTGCGTAATCGATTCCTCGATTGTAGATTCTTTAATGATAGGTGAAGCATATTCATTACTATGACTGAACTTAATTTGCAGAATCTAAATACGTTATACGTAATATTTCTCATCGAACAGTAGGAAATATTCATACCGTGTCGTGCATTAATTTAGTCGATTTTTTCAATCTATGACTTTAACTTCACCTGTTCCAGAGTTGTTTTTCAGAGCTGGGATCATGTACATTCCCGATAATGTTGACCAGAGTCAACAACTAAGATCCAGCATGTTCTCTCTGAGTGGAAATGGCTTCTTTGGCGCCATTGGCCGAAGCATCAACTTGGGTTTGTATTAGTCGTTTTATCGTGTCACTATTATATTATATTTAATCATTTTCCACCGAGAAGTAGTTCATACGTTTTTTTTAATGACAGGTGGTCAAACTGCTTTAGCCTTGCGGTTGCTCTTGGCAACTTTCTCTTCAAAAGTATCTTCCGATATCAATCGCCCCTTTGGTGATGAGGTAGATTCTTGATAATTAAATAGTTTTTTTTTTCTTTATTTGTTCGATTTCAAATTTTTCGTCCGGTTTACGACCAAAATTTTCTAGTTCCGTGCTGCTCGGAAGGCTTCTGAAGAAATTGGTGCTCAAATAGTGTTGGGTGATCGTCCGATAGAGATAACCGTAAGTAAATTTTTGGCCCACGTAAAAAACAAAGCGTTAATTAAACTGCTGCTCAAATAGTGTTTAATAAATAGCTATGTTATATCGACTGATATATAAAGAAGGAAACTTAAAATCGACTTTTTTTTCTTTTCTTTTCAGCTTGAAAGAGCGTGGAGTTCATTAAAGTGGAAGGAGAAACTGAGCTTAATCTCCTCTGTTGTTCGTGGAATAACATCATCTGACATCTCCGATAATAAGGCATTGGAGGTTTAATTTATCTCTTAAATCTTTAATGTTGTTTGCGGATTAGGTTAATTACATTTATATTGAACTCTCCAAATTTCATCAAAAAAAAAACGACGAACTGCGAAACCACGTAAACTATAAAAGGTAAAAGTAAACGTTCAAGTCGGCACAACTTGATAAAAATTTCAAGAATTTGGTATAAGTATACACAAATGTGATAATGTCGCATTGAATAAAAGACCATCGTCTTTCTTGTGGTTTCAATTTCAATTCGACCGTAAAAATCTTACATTTTTTGCACATTTTGATCGCTTAAAATTCACCGTTAATTGTTTAGCTAGTTTTCGTTTATATCGATCATAATTAATAATCTTCTATTTTTCAGAAGCCTAGTGGTGGTGATAGCAATTTGCAGCTATACGAACAGCTTAGTATTTCGTATCCATCTCTGCTGCCTTCACTCATACACGAACGAGACACTGTAATTTTATTTTCATTATTTTTATACGTTGCATGTCAAATTTGTTTTTAAATACGTATATGGCGACTTATTTTCCTTTTAATCTGATTTACGTTGGGGATTGTATATATTTCAGTTTCTTGCATGGTCCCTGAAAAGGAGCAAAGCCGTAAATAACGGCAAGAAAGTGGTGGGCGTTATCGGTAGGGCCCACATGAACGGAGTCATATATTCACTACTTTCCGATACCGGAAATTTGCGATTCAAAGACCTCGCCGGAAAACGGGACGGAGAAAAATACGGCTGGGCTGCTTCCATTGCTAAAGACTTGCTTAGAGACACTGTAATTGGTGTTATACTATGGCTAGCATATGAACAATTGAAGTCAATTTTCTAGGGTTACATTCACCTAGTATACTTTATATGTAAAAACTCATTATTTTTTCGAGAAATATATAATATGTGAATGTGCACGAAAATTCGCCACGTGTCTTATGTACTAAACTGAAATTAATTCTCGCACACATCATGAGTGACGTCAGCGTATTTTACATGACAAAAAACATTAAAAGCAGATATTACTCCGACGAGAATTTGTATCCAAAAGGTAAACTTTCTGTTGACTTTTTATTTTCCACGTTTGGTGAGACTTTTTTTTTTCTCTCTCTTAGGGTTTGGGTTTGGGATAAGGATGTTTTTTCTGCATGGACTCTTGACTGTTTGTCGTTACTCACAACGTTGTCGTTTTGAACCAATCCCTAACTGCAGAATCTTTTTATCTGTAGTTACTCACTAATCATTGGATAGCGCCAACATTAATTTCTTCATTAACTGTAATTATCCAATTACATTTTATTGGGTTTTTGCCTCATTTTTGTGTATTGTGCAAAGTTTATTATGTCAATTTACACACAAACTTTTACAGTTATAAGAATTTATTTTTTGCCACTGAAGTGACAAAAGAAAATTAAAATAATTATGGAATTTCTTAATATAAACTTTAGGTAGGAATGTTTATTTTATTTGTAAATTTAAAATCTATAGCAAAACATCATTTAATATTATGTTATTTAAGGATTTATTAATTTAATTACAAATTTCATACTCATAATAAATGTTTAATTTAATTATTTATGATTTTTTTTCTTCTGATATAACTTAATTTTTCAAAGCAAAACATTTTCTACATGAAAAAATTGTGTAAACAAATAAAAAATTGTTATAAAATACGGATATTATGTGACTAGTAATTATGTATTGTTGTCGATAAATTTCTTTTCTTTTTATTGTCGCTATATTGAATTAACGACATAATTGTATGTATCAATTGTGTATATATTCATAATACATGTATAAATACATAAATAAAACGACTTCGATATACATCACCACGTGTAATATCTACAAGACTTCTATATTCGTAAATGTCGGCTAGCGAACTCTTTAATTTTTACAGTACGTCGTACTAATAGTCTATCCGCTACTGTTGTTTATGCCGTCTATAGTTGCTTCATTTATTTCCGAGAACTTTTTATAATGATCAAACTCCTTATTTTCACGTCGTATAGATAGTCTACAGTTATGTCAGTTAAAAACGTTAATCGTCTAGTTTTGTTTCATTTATTAATGACATTCTTTGATAATAAGCGTGCAAACGTCCGTACTTTCAAAAATTACGTGTTATGTACGAACACTACAAATACTATTTTTACGTATAACGTACCTTATATGTACGACGATAATAATAGATTATAACATGGCTTTACAAGTACTTGATATATTATAAATAAACTCCCAATATAAACACTTGATACTATATTAATCAACTTGATATTAGGAAATTAAACATAGAAATGCATTTTTTCGACTCACATTATATTCATCCCATCAATTTTTTTTTAATGATTTATCAGCCGAATTTTCCGATTAAACAAGCCTACTCATGAACACGTAATTCTTTGGTAAGTTGCTTTAAATGTTGAATTTTCGACTCAGATTTTCCACATTAATCACAACAAGAAATATTTAAAATGTCACCCCAACAAATTAAACACCTCCTATATTTCAAAAATTGTTTATTACCAGTCACACGACTTTTTTCGAAAGTACTGTACAAATGGAGCTCATCCACCGTGTGAAAAAAAGTCGAAAAAACGAACAAGGGCAAAAAGTAATAACAGTCGAAAAGAAAAAAAAAGTTCTATAAATTTCTTCGAAATCTGCTCTCACTCATAGGCAATACTTGTTTCGCCTTTTCTATATCTACACAGTTGACCAAAGTGCATACATACAATCCCATCTTTATACATACATATATACATATATATATCACTCCTCAGCCAATTTGTCAACCCTCTGTTGACAAAAAGAAAGACATGGAAGGTGAAAAAAACACTTTAGTGAGCAACTCTTCTGAATTAGAGGTCGCGAAAAATTCGGTGAATTCGAATATTAGCATTCTCGTTGTAGACGATGATACGACTTGCCTCGCCATTGTTGCTGCTATACTCAAGAAGTTCAAATATCAAGGTACATGTAATTAATTAGTAGCTTTAGTCTTTGTGCATGAAAGGATTGTACCTTTTTTTTTCTTTTTTTTTTTTAATTTTTTTTCATGGTTGTTCAATTAGGTCTAATTTAACATGCAGCCTGTTTCTTTTTTCCTTTTCTGGTTCATCTCTTTGGCTGGATTTTTTTCTGCTCTTTTTTCTTTAGGCAAACTTTTTTATAACCTTAATTCATTCAAAAAAATTTATAGCCTCTAATATTTGACAATTTTTAAATAAATAAGAAATAAAAAAATCCTATATTCATCCACCATTGAAGTGTTGAATGATTTATAGTAAGTTGGTGAACTGTGTCTATTTAATTTTATTTAATTTAAAATTGTTTTTGTTTTTTTGCACTGTAATAAAATGGAAAAACATTCATGTTAATTTCCTAATTCTGCCAGCCATTTCATTCAACAGAAAACGCCAGCATATATCAGAATCCTTTCAATTAGATATAGAAAAAAAGAAAAATATTCAAAATTTTAGCCTCAAGATTTGAACAATCATACAAGAATAAAATTCGGAAGATGCATTCATCAGTTCAGAAAAGAAAACACTAAATCTTTGAAGATTGAAGATCTAGACTAGATTATGTAAGAGATGAGTATAATATTCTTGTTTGATTTTTTTGTTGAATTACAAATATATTCTAACACAGTTCTTGGATATATAACTAATGGTACAATTTCTTCCGTACCCAAAAAAAAAAAAAAATTCCACAGTTGTGACAGTCAAACACCCCAGAGATGCCTTATGCACACTTCGAATCAAAGGCGGCGCTTTCGATTTGGTCGTATCCGATGTGCACATGCCTGATATGAATGGATTTGAATTACAACAAGTCATTGCCCAAGAATTCAATCTACCTGTTGTTTGTGAGTTTTTGTTTTTTTTTTTTTAATCCAAAAAAAAATTCAGATTCTTGATTTTTTTTTATGTTTTAATTTGCATGCCCTAATAAAAAAATTAATTAATTTAAAAACCCTCTTTTTTTGTGTGTGTTTTTGGTGTTTTATGCACACAGTGATGTCAGCTGATGAAAAAGAGTGCGTAGCCCTAAAAGGGTTGGAGAATGGTGCTGCATTTTTCATACTGAAACCAGTTTCACCAGATGACGTCAAGGATTTATGGCAATTTGCAGCCATGAAAAAGAAAAGTACTCAAGTTGTTATTCATGAGGAGGCTGAAGAGAAAACCTCGGAACAAGACAAAAACATAAATTCATGTAATAATAATACTAATAATAATAATGAAATAATAGCTCCTGCCGCAGCTAGTACTGGCGGCGCCGGTGGTGGTTCTGATCGTCCTGATACTGGTACTGGTGCCGGTGCCGGTGCTGGTGCTGGTGCATCGTCGTCTGGGAAAGAAGAATCTTCGAAGAATAAAAAGGAATCTAAGAGAAAATCACCACAAAAATCCGATGGAAACTCCGATGAGCGGAAAGGAGAAACTTCTCAATCGGGTTCGCAGAAAAAGCCGAAAGTTGTTTGGACTAATTCACTGCACAACTGTTTCTTGGAGGCTATTAGGAGCATCGGCCTTGATAGTAAGCGATCTTTCTTTTAAATACGTATACGTCATGTGTGTATGTATATATGTATATATATAATAAATGTACGTGTGCACGTAGTCGTTAGATCTATGAATATTCGTCGAATTCAAATATGTGATTACAACGGTCGATTTTTTTTTTAACGGTTATATATATTACTCGAATCGTGTCTTACTATTTTTATCTATGCCCGTGGTTAGGTTACGTACACGTGTAATGTACGGATGATTAGCGAAGTCGAATTATATTTAATTACATTTATTTCTAATTAATCTTGTTTATATTTGGTTCATTTTTATGTAGGGGCTGTGCCAAAAAAGATTCTGGAGGTGATGAATGTTCCTGGATTAACCAGAGAAAATGTAGCAAGTCATTTACAGGTTTAAATTTTCTCTAATCACAAATTAGTTGCACATATCATATGCAATTATTCTTAATTAATTACTTTGCACAAAATCACTGCATCAAAAGGAAAAATATCAAATCAAACAATTTTGTAAAATCTTGATATATAGTCTCATTTTTTTTATATTTAATTATTCAATTATTTAAATTAAAGATTCTTACATTTGTGAAAAAAAATGCAGAAATACAGGATTTTCCTAAGGAGAGTATCTGATGCAAGCAGCAAAATCCAATACACTTCTGATCATAAGGGATTAAGCAGAAGCATTATAAGATCGGGCCTCGGTTTGTCGTCGTTTCGTTCGGGAACAATCCCACAAACCCTAATTTCCAACGGCTTCAACAGATTCCCTTTCCGAAGCCCCGGAAATTTTCCAGCTACTGGAATTCACAATAATAATACTAATAATCTTTCCTCCTTACTAAACCTCGAAAAGAATCTTCCACCAATCACGGCCGTCCAATCGGGATTCGGGCAATCACGACTTCTTTCAAGCAACGAAACTGCGCCAGCGATCAAGCCAAGCATCCTCGGCAGTTATTATCCGAACATGATAAGTGACCGCACTTATCTCAGACAACAAGACTATCAAACCGGTCGAAACCCGTTTTTCCAGGCGAACCGCTCTAACAACATTTCCCTTCAAGATCTCTCGACTGCCTTGTCAGCAAGTTTCCATACAACGACAACGACTACTACGACAATTACTCCAGCTTACGATAATGTTGGGACTTCTACGCAGACAAGCAACTACGTGGGCTACAGTATGTCGAACCTCAAACAATATCTCTCCAAGAAACACGAGGGTCCGAGTTCTTGGCTGGCCCCGGTGAATAACAATAATATCCCCGGCGATGGATTACGCCAGCTCAGCAATGCTGGCATTGTACGTACTGCAGAAGTGGTTGTACCGCCGAGCGCTGATCATCAGAATGTTGTTGTTGCTAACAATGTGGAGGGTTCGAATAACGCTTCGAATTTTGTGATGGAGGGAAACGGTACCGGAGATCAGTTGTTGTCGGATGTTGTTCGACAAGTGATGCTGCCTAATTCTTACAATAATAATGATAACAACAATAATAACAATAATCTGCCTTTGGTTTGTGGTGACGTGGAAAATGGAGGGGGTGTTAATAATAATAATAATCATGAGGCTGCTGATTTTAGTCCAATGTTTGATTTGTCTGAATTTGATATCTTCTCCACTACTCAGTTACTGCAGACGCCGTCGACGGAATTAGGCGACCATCATTTCGATCAGAATATTTTGTCCGGTCAAGGGAATGCTAGTAGTCAAAATCAGCCACAGGTGCGCGCTACAATTTCTTCGATTACCTAATTCGATTTTGTTTTTGGTATTTAAATTTTAGGGTTTGTGATTCAAAATCTCGTCGTCGTGTTTGATTAATTCTTAGCAGCAAAATGGAGACGACATTATGGCAAGCTCCAATCTCTACGACGGCACGATTTCGTGGGACCACATTGTTGCATGTCTTGATCAAACTCCCGACCAGGCAAGCATCATCGAATTATTGCATTTCATATTCGTAACACTAATCACCGTTATTCGATCCATCTAGTTTAAGTCATTAATCATCTTATAATATGTATTATTATGTTAATAAATTTCATTTAAAGAACGAACGTGTAGAGTAACTCGATTTACGTACATGCATCATTTTTTAATTGAAGCAGCATTCTGGCCAAGGGTTTGGCAACTCTCAAGAATTTGGTACCTCTTCTCAATTCAATGGAACAGCACTTTTAGCATCCAACCAGGCACGCTTTCTAATCTTACATTTAGTTTTTATTTATTTATTATTATTATTTTTTTAATATTATTTTTCTTCTTTTGTTATTCTCTAACAGCAGCATTTTGGGGAAGGTTTAACTAACTCTCTGGGATTCAACAATAAAACTCCTTCATCTCCCACCGAGGCATGTCTTTTTTTTTTTCTATAAATTTAATATCTTTATTATATATACAATGTTATTTTGAAGTTTTCATAATTTATTTAATGAAATAAGCTGAAATATTGAATTAACTGCAGCACGACGAAGATGATTTTCTCGAATCTTTACTTGCTCCGTTTGCGGACGATGATACCGGCCTCGAAGGGATCTGATAATATTTGTGATGCTGGAAGATTGAACCTGAGTTTACTAGGATGAACAAATTCTGTAGTACTAGTGAAATTAATTAGAGTTTTAATTTCTATGATAAATTAAACCATGCTATAGTATTGGTCTATGTTTCTTTTCAGTTGACACAGAGATGTCCTGTAATAATTCAATAAATATGTGACAAAACTTATGTTTTGACTTTTCTATTTCATAAACTTGGTTTCAAGCATGAGTTTTTTTTTATATTTTTTTTGATAGGGGTGTTTGAATTAATTTAATTATTAAAATTAATCCAATAAAAAAGAATTGGGTATATATAGAATATGAGTGGAAATTAGACTGATCGAAAGTGAAAAAGTCATTTATTCAAAATTTGAAATGAAAAAACTTATTTTCCAAATCGGATTTTTTTTATTAGCACTAGCAAAAATCATTTTTTCTAGTTTTCTATCCACTGTAATATAAAATGCATAATTAAAATTGATATCATAAGTATAATTTTTGGAAAAAAAAAATAATTTCTGGAATTATTTCTCAAAATTAAAATTGAATAAGAAATCAAAATTTTGTATTATAACGGTTTCAACTTTCAACTACTGTTTTTCTTAGTCCATAGCTGGGCCCACAAATTTTCAAAACGAAGATAATGTCCGACCCGACCCGACCCGATAAAATATTTGGACATGAATTGCTAAATGACCCTTTAACCCTTTGCAGATACACTTACCTTTGCGTGTTTTGTTTGTATATATATATATATATATATATATATATATATATATATTTATATATATATATGTATATCTGACAATTTCATCGAGCAAAGATATTTTTCCTGGCATCGAGCTCTCAATAGCTAGGGTTTCGACATTTCCAAAGGTATCGTCTTGTCTTTCGAGCTCAACGTTTTTATGGTGAATTGTTAACTTTATCCTTGTAATTATCAATCTCTGACCCCGATCTATGATCTTGTCACTCGGTATTTGTTTTTCGTTTCTGGATTTTTGTTGAATACTCTGTTTAATTGAGATAATTGTGAAAAATGTTTATACATTTTTTTGATTTTCATTTTTATTAGGAATTTATTTCTGTTATGAAATGTTTGGATCGATTTGTTGCTTGAGAAGTTTTAAATCTAGAGCTCAGTTGTGTTTTGAATAGCAGTGATTGCGAAAGTGAAATCGAGGCTGGAGAGAACAAATTTTTCCTGAATATTTACCAATGGGTTGAATTGAAATTGTAAAATTAAGTTACCTTCGAAAATATCGAGTATTTCCAATAAATTCTAGGAGATGTCACCCCCTAATTGATGAACATTATGTTTTTATTTATATGTAATCAGTGAATCTCCAACTTATACTTTGATTGGTTTAATATTAGTCAGACTTGAAATTGGTACTTGGTTTTTGTTTGGCTACTTTCGATTAAATGATTCATGAATATATATGTAGATTATCACTTGCTGAAGATGTTGATTTGCCAGAAAGGATTAGTATTCAAGATTGTAAATGAAGGTTTTGGCCAATGCTGAATGTGCTGTGTAATTGTTGATGCAGGTCTTAGAATATCGGAGTTGAGGTGAAATGAGGCCAATTTTCTGTGGAAACTTTGAGTACGATGCTCGTCAGTCTGATCTTGAGAGGCTCTTCAGAAGATATGGGAAAGTTGATAGGGTTGATATGAAATCTGGTAAGTCTGATTGTCTTGAAGCGTCTTTTAAAAGAAATTATATTTGCTAGATATCTAATTTATTCGAAATATATTTGGTTGTCTGAATTCCATTCAATCGAGGTTTTATTTTTTTATAGAAATCCTAGCCATTTATTAAGGGAAATTAGCAGTCTTTTTTGCTTGCTCTTAATCTCTTATATATCTCTTTTGAGTAAATGCATTGATATTTATAAAATTTTTGGAGTTGATGTAACTGTGCAAGTTAAATTGTTTTCTTTTTCTTTTAGTCATTCAAACTAAAGTCGGTCAAGAAAATTAACTCGACCAGTTTCAGAAGGTATGCTTGACTACGCACGTGCACTGTGTTTTGAGTAAGAACTGTCATTTTCAACTGGGATTGTGCCAATTGCACCACACATTATCTAGCAATTTCTGTGTCGGATGGTGTTCAATTGATCAAGATTGGCATTACTGTATGAGATACTGACTAGTTGCCAATGACAATGAAACTACACATCTGATAATAAGTATAACAATCATGTCGATTTTGGTGTCACTTGAAACAGAGTGATGGGTAAGTGTCATTGATTTTTGCAAGGTTATATACTTGTTTTATTTGATTATCTCAAAAAAAAATTACTCGTTGTGACTTGTGGGTCTCATAAAACTTGTTGTACTCCAATAATATAGATATGTATAAATAAATTTACACGTTAGTGGTAAAAATAAGATTTTAATCGAGACAACCGCCTCCTAAGAAGACAAAGGAGTCCAAGAAGGCGGTATTGACTAGCCTCGGTCGAGTTTTGCGCAGACAGGAGCCGCTTCAGCAGAGTAGCCATATAAATTTGCATATTGACGACACAAGTGTTACCCTGTTGAGTTTCGTGGGGTGGCAGGATATGTTTAAAACAAGCAAGTATATCTTTTTAAGTGTGAGACCCCCATATTCAACTAATTCTTTGGCGCAGGATTTCGTTGCAATATCCATACAATCCCTGGCTGATGGAAGAGTTTCTTCTGCATTTCATTTCCTGGCAATGACAAGCATCCTCTTCTAATTTCCTAGAAGAGCCCTCTGATCATCCATGACACCACCATCACACATTTCCCGCGTCACTAATTGACTTCATTCCTCACGACTTTTGCCCATCCTTCATTTTTCCACGTTACACGCAGACCTCAAAGCTAAGGCAGCTGAATAATTTGGCGAAGGCACTCACTTTACATTGTTATATCATGTGACATCCACCTTTGGATAGTTGTCCATTGACATTGCTGAGTTCACTGGCCAAGTTCTGTTACTGATTCTACTGGTCAGTAATCTTTGGATAGACGACTAATCTTTGCTAATTTTACCAGGTGTAAATGGTGTAATGGTTAGCTCCTTTGTGTTAAAGACACTAAAATGATGGTTGAATAGGAGAATTCTGCTTGTTGGTTGCATTATAAATGAGTGTTTGAGTAGATAAATTTTAAGACAGGGATGTTTTATGTTCTATTTTTCAGGTTTCGCTTTTGTTTACATGGAGGACGAAAGAGATGCGGATGATGCAATTCGTGCGCTTGACCGTATTGAATTTGGTAGAAAGGGCCGCAGACTCCGTGTTGAGTGGACTAAGGTAATATACACGTCTTTTATTGTCTTCCTAGCACTGTTTTTATATTTTTTAATTTAAATGTTTGTGCTTATTTGTTGTGCCACAGCAAGAACGAAGTACCCGGCGACCAGAGAGCTCTAAGAAATCTTCATCTACCTCCAGACCCTCAAAGACACTGTTTGTCATAAACTTTGATCCATATCATACTAGAACAAAAGATTTAGAGAGACATTTTGATTCTTACGGAAAAATACTTAATGTAAGGATCCGAAGAAATTTTGCCTTTATACAGTTTGAATCACAGGAAGAAGCAACAAAAGCTCTGGACGCTACTAACTTGAGGTAATTTCGTTCTTCTGCTGGAACTTACTATTGTAGAATCTGTTGGAAGCCTTCAATTGATTTTTTTTTCTTTTTTTATATTCGATATAGCAAATTGTTGGATCGTGTCATCACTGTTGAGTATGCAATCAAGGATGATGATGAAAGGCAAAACGGACATAGCCCTGACCGAATTCGTGACAGATCACCTAAAAGAGGAGGATACGACAGGGTGAGGTCCCCGAGCCCGTACAGGAGAGAGAGGGAAAGTCCTGATTATGGACACGGGCGGGCCCGCAGCCCGTATCGTAGAGAGCGGGCCAGTCCTGTCTATGCTCGAAGGTCAAGCCGGAGTCCTGTTAGGAAAGAAAGGGATCTTGAACGTGGCCGTGTCAGAACTCCAAGTCCAAGGAAGGAGAGAGACAGAGAGTCTGATTACAAAAACCATAAACGAAGCCCAAGTCCTCCGCCAAGGGAGAGGTCCAATGGTGATGTGGGCCGTGGGCCCAGCCCGGTTAAGAGGGTTAGTCCAGATCCTGTTCGTGACCCAAGTCCAAGCTCTCAAAGGGAGCCTGGGGAGAGGGACCCTAGCCCTGATGATTATGCCCGTGATAGAAGCCCTGTTTACAGTGATGCTGAGAGCCCTCCTCGTGATCGATTTGGGAGGTATGCACTCATGTTTTAGAGTCTCTTGTTTACTGATATATCTAATAATTTATATACTGATACATTTTTCTTTTTTAAAATGTTTTTGTTGTGATGCAGTCAATCACCAGCGGCACAGGAAAGGTCCCGATCGTGATATGAACATTTGATGTTTGATGGAAAACGAAATGCGACAGAGTCTTTACCAAGATATAATCATTAGCATATGTTTAGACGCAGATTGGTTTTTAATTCTTGCTAGTTTTTCTTTTATGTGGACTTTGTGCACTCAATGTAGTATGTGGGCACGATCTTTTCTTCAGAACTTCTGTAGTTTCTGCTAAGACATGTGGTTTATGAATCTCTATTAGTGCTTGTTGACTAGAACTCGGTACCAAGTTGAATACTTCATTAGGAAAAAAGCAGCTAAATTATATCTTGTGTCGCGTAATTAGCGTGTGGGTTGTGGGTGCATTAGTAGGTATATGATCTGTTTCTTTGAGCAGGAAGACTGTCTTCAGAACTGTGAGCCGGATGTTGTCCCGGTCCGAATTATAACCAATGTCAATGATTAATCAATGACTTGACAAATATAATTTGGACAATTGAATAATAAGAACCGGTGACTCAGTTAATTGTCCCGGTGGATCGGAGGTCAGTAAAATTAATTAGGTGAAGGTGTTACTGTAGTTGGAAGTTAGGTTGGTGCAAATTTATTGGTTAAAAAAAGAAAAGAAAGGAAAAGAAAAGAAGAAGACACGTCTGAGAAAAGAAATACTGTGTTTATGGCCACTTGTTATTAATGGAATTGGATGAAAATAACATATATATATGTATATATGCCAGCCTGGTGTTAAATGTAAGTGGGCCTCCCTTCTTCATTTGAAAACCGGCCCAACTACCACATACATACTATTTTATTATTATTATCATATAATTGGGAGTTGGACTGACAGATCCATGCTGTTTTCACGCACACACAATTTGCAATTTTCAGACAGTGCCCAAATTAAATTAAATCTGCTAAAAAGGAACATATGTAAATGTGCTATAAATTCATGAAACATGCCCCCCACCCCACCCCACCCCACCCCCCCTTGGTGATTGGTCCATGCACATAAGAAAATATATATATTTAAAAAAAAAAAAATCAAAGTGCGTGGATAATATATTAACATGCTTTGCACCGCACGTATGTCAATCAAGGCGCCTTGTCACTAGTGCAATTCCAACATGATCGAATACTGCTGTGTGTGACTGCAGCATGCATGTCTTATTATTAATACAGTGGCCGGTAAAAAAGAAGAAAAAACAGTGTGCATGCATGCAGTGGCGGATCCAGGATTTTTGCCAAGGGGGTGCTAAATTGTAGAATAAAAAAATTAAATATCACTTTATAAAAATAGTGGACCAGAAATTTATAATTTAAAAATTTTAGGTGAATTGTGTAAATATTTAAAAAGAAAAAGGGTGAAAAATGTAATAAAAATAGTGGACCAGAAATTTATAATTTAAAAATTTTAGGTGAATTGTGTAAATATTTAAAAAGAAAAAGGGTGAAAAATGTAAAGATTTGAAAAAAAATCAACATTTTAGAGGCTGGGGGTTCGAACCCGGGACCAAATAACAAAGGAAGGAATATCTTTACCAACTCAACCAACTGCTTTTCTTGTCAACTTATGTATAATGATATTATTTGTTTAAAATCAAGGGTGTGCAACTGCACACCCTAGACCATAGCTAGGTCCGCCACTGCATGCATGACAATTGATGAAGCTGTAAAGTGGGTATTGTATTGTCATATTTGTGGACACGTTTCGATTTCTGAATGCAGGTTGTGTGCACGATTTACATGGTTTTACGTACGAGCTGAGGACTATGAATCTTTGATAACTACTTACTTTGAGGATTAGGACCACCACATTTTTTTATTAATACAAAGGTATCGACAACTACTCTATTTCAATCTGACATTTATTTATTGTTTATTTATTTTTTGAAAATTACAATTCCACAGAAAGCGTTTGCAGCAAAGTATTTAGACCACGTGTCGAGTTACGATTGTACCTAGCACACAAGGTTTTTTTTTTTTTTTTAATTACTAAGTTTACTATGACCGATGTTAAAATTATAGTCAATAAACCTTTTCCTTTAGTTATCATGAGATTTTTAATCTTGATCTCACGTAAATCTAATTAACATAGTCGTCCAATTATTATTATTTTTATTTTTTTTGCATTATTTTATTATTATAATACGACAAAACTAAATTCAAATGATCAAGTGAAACAAAAAATTCAACAGGCGTGATAGGAGATTTGATTAATCCAATAGTTTTGTCAAAAATATCGTCCCCTTAAAATCAACCAAGTCCACCCAACCCAACCCGCTCCATACGCCAAAATTATCGGATTACACCACCAATCTAATTTCATTTTTTTTATTTTTTTTTTCCCACAATATAATATTAAATAGCCAGTGCGAGAATAATTTTAAAAATTCGATGCCATGAAAAAAAAAATGAATAATTTGTCCACAAGAAAAGAAAAAAAAAATGTAATGAAGATTCAAGAATACAATGAGTGGCGGACACGTGTACAGAAGACAACAAAGAAGCAGGACTGAGTCCCACCATAATCCTGGTATCACACCCCTTTTCGCCTGTTAATTAACGAATAGTCCAAAAATAGAAAGTGTCCATTTTATTTACGGATTTAGACAACACGAAAATTGTACGTACTTGGAATAGACAAAACAAAACACAATCAAAAAATCACCATTGTCTTTATTATTTGTTGCCTCGTCCTTATATTTATCAAATTAAGTCATAAATTAAAATTATATATATAGATGAATTCGCCTAGTGATAAATATAAAATAAAAGGATGAATTTACATTACATATGTGATCATGATTTATCTATTTGATTATAGCGTGAGATAATAATAATACTAAGATTAAAAACAGATGAATTTATTTATTAAGTTATTTTGTCATTCAGCTGTGGCATTTATTATTTTAAACCCATTTATTACGAACAGGGATTAAATTATTTATTATAATTTTAAATATATATACACATTATTTAGTACTACAAAAAAAAAATAAAGTACAGAAGATCCAAAGTAAAACAAACAACAAAGTTAAAATAGTTGTCAGGCCGTACAGTACCCGCGCGCATAGTAGTGGCACCTGATTGGATGGATAGCTTTCTAATGTTTGTTGCCTGCTAATTAGTATCTAACTATTCTTTTTCATTTTTATGTTTTATTTAAAAAGTTTTTTGAAGAAAATGCATTAATTAATGGTGGCCAATTTGTCATTCTATTGGGCTTGTTTAAATTTTTTTAAGATTGAATTTTATTGGTGGACAATGATCCAATTTTATCATTTTTAATGGGCCAAAATTAGGTGAAAGTCTCAAGAGTATGCATGACTTATAAATACACAATTTTCTCCACCATAAAATGTACGCTTTATTTACACACGGGACACACTCCTACACTGAATCACACGATCAAATCCCGGAATTTCAAGTGAACGAAATAATTTTCCAGCAATCGAGATCGGGAAAGGTGTTCGATATGTTAAATTGACCTCCATCACTAATTAAGCCCAATAAAATTGAAATCAAAATATCTAAAGTGTCACAAAATAATAATAATGGCCCATATCTGTTTACAACTAATACTTATCCTTGAAAGAAATTAAACATGTTTAAATTACTTTTGAGTTGAGAAGAAAACGGTTGAAGCAAAGCACAGTCCACGCCGCATTTTTTGAGTTACCGACTAACATACATATTTAAGTCATGCTCTCATAATTAACACTGTCTTAAGTTGAGAAAGATTAATTACTGTTGAAAAAGAAAAGGCATAATTAGTGGGTTGGTAATTACTACTTAAGTTGCATCCTGTTATTTGACCGTTATGCCCATGAAGTCTTTCTAGAACTTTCACTCTTGCTTTTATTTTCTTCAACAACTTTTCTCTTTTGATCATTATTTTTCCCCATCTCAATTCAAGAAAATTCAAAAAATAATTCCATAAAAAGAATATATATATATATATATATATAGGTTTTATATTTTCTCCCTGGAAATTCTAATGTTACAACTGGTATAAAATAGGTGGACTGACCAAGTCAATTAAAAGTTTTGTGTACGGCAAAATCGTGAAGAAAAAATAATTGCGAATTCCTTCTTTTGAAAAAAAAAAGAAAAAAATAAATAAATTCCACACGCATAAAAAAAATTAAGAAAAGGTCAAAAATAAAAAAATTGGGACCCAGTTTAAGGGGTAAATGGTTCGAAAACTTGTATACAAAGGGGTTGGACCGAAATCCACTTAAATGAAGTGCCATCAACTTGCCCCAAGATCCACTGTTGTGAACAGCAAATGCGACTATGATGTATATATATATTGACAATGGTGTGCAAACACGACTTTACGTTAAATTCCACAAACAAATATGGATGTATGTATGGATGAATACCGACTTCTCCTCATCTTTCCAACTCGAGAGCTTCCTCCTATATTGGGTTCACAATGATTTTCATGCACCCTCTTTCTAACTATATAATACGTACTTATCACTTTCTTAATTACGAACTTATTTTATTTGACAAAATTACCCCTCTGTTGCTTTTCATTTTCTCCTTATCATTTCTTCAATCCATCATCAACGTGAGGGTAATACTGGAAAAAAATTAATTATGTTTTTCAACTCTCTAAATTGACACTGAATCTGATACAAAGAGATGGTGAGAGAGAGAGTATTTAATACGACTTAAGTTTAATTATTTTTTAGCCCAAGAGTACTGAAGCCATAAAAATCCAAATGCAATTAATTTCTTTTCATCAAGTATTTGTGATTTATGATTAGATAATTATATTTACTTGAGAATTAAAATATATGATTTGATTAATTGAATGATTTTTCGGATCCGCCGTGCCAAAACAAAAAAAAAATGGTTAGTAATAATAATAATATTATTATTAAGTGTGTCATTGTGGATCAAATACAGCACAGCATAAATCGGGCCCTAAAACAGGCCTCTGGATTGCTTGGGCCCACCACCTCTGACCGTCCAACAAACCCACATTTTTGTCCTTTGATTTCTAATCTTCTTTCATTTTTTTCTTGTCTTTTTCTTATTGCTTCCTAACCGAAAACGATCCACCATATTTATTTATTTGACTCTTTAATTTATTTATTCATTTATTGTTGAGCTCACCTTACTCAGCTACCAATACCATTTACTACCACATTATTTCATACATTTTTTTCTTATATATATATATATATTACATAAAACATGTCGACTAATTAATTTAAGCACATTTTTTTTAATGACCGAGTAATCAATTAAGTGTAATAGTGTGAGGATATCGCAGTGGAGAATTATAATATATATAGAAGAATCTCAGTTCAATTAAAGTGTACACCACATTTGCTGTATCTATCTATCTACATATATATACATACATATATACATACATATGCTGGCGCATGGCGGCAGCTCATTACACGACACCCATTACAGACCAATTCATCCACCACCCCTCCCCCTATATATACCCCCCCTCCTCTCCCTTTTTCAAACCCCCCCAAAACTCTCTCTCTCTCTCTCTCTCTAGCTCTCTCTCTCTCCCTTTCTCTCTCTAGAAAAAACACGCACCAGAATGTGCAAACAGCAGACAACCCCGTCATCGCCACAACCAACACCACCCAGTAAGATGAAATGCAATAACATTTCATCAGCAGATTCCGACATGTTCACTTCTTTGATTCCAGCAATTGATCATCACAAACCCACCACCCATCTCTCTCTTCTGCTTCAAGAATCAATCTCCATATCCAAAATAGCTTTCCCCATGATCCTAACCGGTCTGCTCCTCTACTCCCGCTCCATGATCTCCATGCTCTTCCTCGGCCGGCTAGGCGACCTCGCCTTAGCCGGCGGCTCACTCGCCATCGGCTTCGCCAACATCACCGGCTACTCCATCCTCTCCGGCTTAGCCATCGGAATGGAACCCATTTGCGGCCAAGCCTTCGGCGCTCAAAAATTCTCCCTCCTCGGACTCTCTCTGCAGAGAACAATCCTCCTACTCCTCTTCACTTCACTCCCAATCTCCCTTCTTTGGCTCAACATGAAACAAATCCTTCTTCTCTGCGGCCAAGACCCCGCCATTGCTACACAGGCTCAAGCTTATCTCTTCTACTCCCTCCCCGATTTATTCGCTCAGTCTTTATTACACCCACTCCGAATTTACCTCAGAACCCAATCCATAACCCTCCCACTCACTTTCTGCGCGGCTGCATCGATTCTCTTACACGTGCCGATCAACTATTTTCTTGTCTCGAAGCTCGGAATGGGGATTAAGGGCGTTGCGCTGAGTGGGGTTTGGACAAACTTCAACCTCGTAGCTTCGTTGATCCTGTATATAATTATCTCCGGCGTGTACAAGAAGACGTGGGGTGGTTTATCAATGGAGTGTCTGAAAGGATGGAAGTCTCTTCTTGATTTAGCCATTCCGAGCTGCATTTCTGTTTGCCTGGAATGGTGGTGGTACGAGATTATGATTCTGCTTTGTGGGCTTCTGTTAAACCCCAGAGCAACCGTTGCTTCAATGGGGATTCTGATTCAGACAACCTCGTTGATCTACATATTCCCGTCTTCTTTAAGCTTCAGTGTTTCTACCAGAGTTGGGAATGAAATGCGGGCGCGCCGTCCGAGAAAGGCGAAGCTTGCCGCCGTGGTGGGGCTCTCCGGCAGCTTTATCCTGGGTTTCTCCGCCCTGTTTTTTTGCGGTGTCGGTGAGGAAGATCTGGGCGACGATGTTCACACACGATAAGGAGATAATAGCGCTGACGTCACTTGTTCTGCCCATAATCGGGCTGTGTGAGCTCGGAAACTGCCCGCAGACGACGGGGTGTGGGGTTCTGAGAGGGACGGCGCGGCCGAAGGTGGGGGCGAATATCAACTTGGGGTGCTTTTATATGGTGGGTATGCCGGTGGCGGTGGTGCTGGGTTTCTACTGTGGGATGGATTTCGAGGGGCTGTGGATCGGGCTTCTGGCGGCGCAGGCCTCGTGTATGGTTACGATGATGGTGGTTTTGCTACGGACGGATTGGGATTACGAGGCCGGAAGAGCGGAGGAGCTCACCGGCGGCGGCGGCGGCGGCGGATACGAAATTATTCAAGAAAACCAATCACAAGTTGACGAGAAAGTTATTCAACCACAAACAAAGGAAGATTGTCTCTGTTAGTTCTTTTTTTAATTCAACAAAAAAAAAAAAATTGTAGGTAGTAGATAGTTTAGAACTATATAGTAATATAAATTAAAATCGTGACTGATTTTTTTTTTTTTTTAATTGTTGAAATGTAAAGAGGTTGGAGGGAAACTGGGAAGATTGGGAAAATTAAAAAATTTAATTTAGTCATGATATTTTTATTATTATTTTTTTATTTTTTGAATTTGTGATGGCAAAGGTGTAATTTTTGCTTGCTTCCTTGTGGGATTCACTTTAGGAAGTAGTAGCATACATTTTTGACCATGTATTAGTAGGTCAGAGCAGTCATTTTGTACCATAAATCAAAGAATGTCTTATGGCATTTTTGTAATATAATTTAAATGATGCATTCAATATTTAAGCATCCTTATTTTATTTTATTTTATTAATTAGGGATTTGAGAATTTTTACAATAATACGCTGAAAATTAAGTCACCTACGATGTAGTAATTTAAAACATTGCAAACTAAAATGATTCTTTTATGAATGAGTAATGGACGTGCCATCATACACGTGTCCTGCTCCTGGTAATTCAATTATTATATATAAAAAAATTAAAAATATATATCGGTAGAAGCTTTAACTAGCAGAATTAAATAATGTGTGAAATGTATGTTTAATAGCACATGCTTCTTTTTTTCTCTCTTTGTAATTTAACGTAGCCTAATTTTTTATTATTATATATCTTAGCTTATTTTTTTATATTAATTTGATAAATAATGTAATTTGTTATTTTTTTTTTATAATAAAATACTATTATTTTCCCCTTAATATAAGTCGAGAGCGAATCAAATCACTTGTCTCTCAGAAAATAAAGATCTGCCCGTGATTTCGACTTTGGAGTACAATAATATGATTAATTAATTAATTAAATATATCTGACGATGTAATAAATAATAAATGCTAGGTTAAGATACAGATCAAATTGATAATTAGTGTAGTGGTGGCCATTCGAGGTGATATCCAGGCAAATTGGGTATTACTATGATGAAAAAAGATTCGATTTAATTAGTTTGAGAAATTTAAGGTATTTACGTACGAAACACATGATAAATGTTTATGTGGAAATTAAATGAGCCATGCAATAAATCAATAAATAATATGCTCTACATATATATTCCGTCCTTTGACGCACGTGACTTTAATTCCTACGTACTCCTCTTTAAACCACCTAATTGGAAACATTTTTGGTAATAGTACTATGATTTTTATTATTCTGAAAAGCCATTCTACATTTAATTATTTATGCCTTAAAATAGGTTTATTTGGCTTCATTTTTAAAGCAGGAATTTGATTGTGGAGATTTATTCTGTCCAGTGTCCACACTCACACTATTCATATTTAAAGTTTAAAACCCCTCCAACTTGCCAAATTTGTACACTTCTTTGATACAAGTTAACCAGATTCCACACCCCAAAATTAGAATTTTTAATTAAATTTAATTTCCTATAAATATATATCCAAAATATAGGAAATAATATTTTTTCAGATATTTTAAACATAAATTAATGTTTGTTTATATTTTCATTTTGAGAAGTTATGTTTAGCATTATAGCAATTAAATAATGTATAATTAAGTGTGGTGGAAAAAAAATATCTTGGAAGAATAATTAAAAAAAATTAAAAAGATTTGTACGTTGTTAATTGAAGAGTTCTTTTATTTGAACTGAAGAATTTTTTATTTTTTACTTTTATTTTCCGACCAACATGTGTCTTAGTGTAATTCAGAAATTAATTAAGGTTGCCGTTGTTTCCTAGGACGGAGTTAATTTACTACTCCCTCTATTCCTCGTTAATTTACATCTAGATATTATTGAATCGATGGAGTAATAAAATTACAATTTCTTTTTAGGAAAATCATAAAAAATCTTTAACCAAAAGAATACATATCTAGATTAATTCAAATTGTTTTATTATATTATGAGCAGCAATTAATTAATCATGGGCTCCTACAGTACACTAACAAATAAAAAAGTTATTAAGCTCGATATGTATTATTAATAAGGTTATTAATGCCAATTAAATATATCAAATGTGCCCTTAATTAAACTATATGTTAGCTGCTAACTCGATGAAGTTAATAATTAGTTATATTAATATAATCAAAGCAATCGGGATTTAGGATCTGCTTAAACAAGAAAATCCATATAAAAAATAAGTAATCGTACGTACACTCAAAAATATATACAGAAGCTGGTCGGTATTAAATTAAATGTAATTTCATAGGTCAATCAATAGCACTAATTAATGAGATTAAGGGATGTTTAAGTTAGTCTTAAATCTGCCTCGAAAGGTCAGAACCCAGTTGACCCTTTAACCTTTTAAAGAATCAAGAGACCTCTCCTAGCTACTAATTAATTGCATTGCATTAATTAATTAATTATGATTCTTCCTGATTCTCGATTTACTAATCTCTTTGTCACAATCTTTCACATGTGATACGGAATCAAGTTTTATCATGCAATTTATTTCTTATTTGGGTAAATTACACACACCCCCCTGAGGTAAGCTTAAATAACTGTAAGGTCCCTGTGGTATCGATAATTACACTCAGCCCCCTGAAACGTAGTCAGAAACTCTAATGGGATAATGAATTGGATACGTTATTCCGATAGGGTTCTAACGGGC